GTAGTGAAGTATTTAGTAAGCGTCGACGCGTTCTTATAATACCGAAAGCCGTCTGAACGGCCGGAAGCTCCAGCGTAGAACTCATTCAGGATGTTGGCCCGCTGCTGGGTCATCTTCCGGTCCGAGGAGGCGTTACTACAGAGCTCATATGCGTCTCGCAAGAGAGCCTCAGCCGCCACCAGAATCCGGACCAAGTCAGGATCCTCAGCAGCCTCTGCCTCAGCATCCAGCTCTCTCTTCGGCGGGAGGGCGTACGAGCTCTTGATCTCGGCGTCCTTCAGCCCGGCCAAGTGGGATGGGAAGCCGGTCCGCTCGAGCTATGGCACCCTCTCTGCCCTAGAACCCCCAAAATCGTAGACGAGGCTTGCCTGCTCCTCCAAATCATGTGTCACATCACCATTATCCTTCTCTAACTTCACAAACAGTTCCTTTTCTGGCTCTGTTAATGGAGCAAAGTCCCTAGCTGTCCCGAAGACCCCGCCTTTCTCTTCGTCCACCACGATAAAATAATCAATACGCCCCCCTGCAGTAAAGTACGTCTATAGCTTGCATTCTCTCTATAATGGCCCGTTCTTCTGTTTTGCATCTTTCACCTTATGAGAGGCTATGTGCTCTTTTATCCTAGGAAGGTGCCGGGTATAATACGTGCAGTGGGGGCAAGAAAAGCCATCATAGCTAGCAAGGTGCTCAATTAGCTGACATTGATCCTTAGGTCGAGGCTTATGCTCCTTGAGCTCTTCGACAGTCCTCAAGTCGTAGCTGCTTAAGAGTTGAAGGGCCGTCTTCAAGACATCCCCAAGTAGGCGGTGAGGGGCAGCCCTCAAGTGCCGCTCCTGGGCTGAGCGTCCAGGGACAATACAGGACTTGCAAGTGCGGCATACTACCACGCAGTGCAGGGGATCATATGAAAACATAACGGGGACTATATAGAAGCTTTCCTACATAAATAATGATGCGAAATAAGGGTCTCCTTTCCCACCGTACTTTCCGACCGGAAAGTGTATTAGTCAGCAGACAAGCGAGCCAATCAATCGATGGCCGTCGTCCTTTCCCATCGGAAAAGGGGCCCCGCATAGGGGGTAGATCTGGTGAAAACCTGCAAGGGACTGGTGGTTATCGAAGGAAGGTTTCTCCGGCTGTCTCATTTGTCGGTGCAGAATTACTGCGAGAAACATAAGCAAGAGTGGATCAGTGGCCGCTACTTTGATATTGCAAAAGTATGCGCGTGGTTCCTGTTCCGCTACAAGAGCGAGGACATTGCCCGTTTGCGCTGGGCTAGATTCTATACGGGACACACGGCTGTCCTGCCCCGAAACGAAAAAGACGAGCTCAACGACCTTTGGATATATGCCAATGACAACTTGCATCGCCACTTCGCTATGATCAACGAGAACTCGCAGAAGCAGACAATCGCAAAGCTCATACAGGAAGGGATCGATAAAAACTCCCTCAATTCTCAGGTCTGGCTGCTTCGCTTAGCGGCTGAGTTAGTCCCAGACTACGAAGAACATTCTCGGTTTCCCGATTTCACAGGTGACTTTGTGAAACCAATAGGAGAGTTGACTTGTGAAAAAGGTCGCCTTGTCAATCTTGACTATGCAGCCTATGCTTACCACAAGTTACGCTTCCCAGGAGTTTCGGTTATTATTGAGGCCCTAGTTGCTGGCATTCTCTGGAAGATGAAGGATCGCCCAGGGCGGTGGGAGCAGGTGGTGAAGGAATCCAAGATACGAATCTATTCTCGGAAGGTTCAAAAAGAAAGAGGACCACATAGTATTTTGGATCCACCCAATGATAATCAGAGCAGGGAGACGTCGCTCGAAGATATTGAAGGCCTGACAGAAGGTGATGGGAATATGGAGGTGCTTTCAGAGAATCCCGACCCCTTAGTGAAAGAACTTCGACCTCTTTTATTTGCATTACACAAGGTGGACGAGATATACAATCAGAAGGAAATTGACGAGCCGTTTCGCTGGGAGAAATATGACCACCTAAATCGGCTCAAAAGCCTCTTCGAGCAGAGGGATACGAGTGCCCGCGGCATAGACGAAGACATTTATAACGAACTTGCCAGACTAACGCTTTTAATGCTATGCGTGCAGGGAACAGCTTGGAAAGGGCAGTACAGCAGCTTTGTCAATTACCTCTTCGACGAGTTCCCCAAAGCACATAGCATCGACTATCGCAAAGCACACAGCATCGACTATCGTCACCTTCTCACGACGGTCAGTTCTCTCGATTGGTCGAAATGCTTCTTGGATGCTGCCTATAACAGCACCAGAAATGTCTTGGAGATTTTTCTAGCCCACAAAGCCGATCCAAATGCCGTGGAAAAGGACTCTAAGGCTAAATATGGCACCCCACTGATTGCAGCTGTCTCTGGTGCTAGGCCCGAAAACGTCAAGTTCTTGCTGGACAACAACGCAGATGTCAACGCCAACGCCAAGGTAGGTGACTATGGAACTGCTCTAATCGCAATTTGCTCAAAAGAAATTATACATCAAGGAATACTGGAGCTTATACTGGGCCAATCTACCATCAACGTCAACGTCGTCTCCTCGACTGGCAGCTACGCCACAGCATTGATCGCGGCATGCGCGAAAGGCCATTTGCATATAGCAAAGATGCTTCGGGTCAAAGAATGTAAACTTGACATGATGACAGACTACGGCACTCACCCCAACGCATTATCTGCAGCAGTTGAGGCGGAAAGCATCCGGAGCGTGGTCTTCCTCCTGGACTTCGGCGCTACAGCCCAGCATTGCAACAGAAAAATATGGAGCCCTTCATATATCCCACCTTGGAAGGAAAATGGGGCCAACAGGAATCGGTCCTGTATCCAGGTCACCAAACGGGAGTTGATCTCCAGCATCGTTTGGGGTGCCGGCGACGAAATTAGCCAGTTGCGGGAGTTAAAGGTTAGGGGGTTTGGGTCTGATTCGAGGGACGAAATTGCAAAGAACATGGCGAAAGCGTTTGGATTCTCAACCAGAATCCCGGCGATTACAAATGGATTCTCGTGGATCATACAGGAGAGCACAGCAAATATATTGGAATGGTCCGAAGCCGTTCTCCTTTGGCGTCGCCTCATTAGATTGCTTGATATAATTGAAGACGAGAACTTGACAGTTGAGGACTCGGAATTGATACCATCAGAACAGAAGAATGATATCTCCAGAGGCGAATGGTATAAGGCTTTGGATTTTCGCCCACTACAGAGGGTTTTCTCAATCGAGAGTGAAGGGTTATTTATAGAACAGGGGGTATTCGACGAGGGAGACGACCAGGAGTTTGTTACGGATGACGAAGAGATAGCTGTTGATGAGAGAGAAGAATGTCTAAATAGCCCTGGAGAAGAGCAGTGGTGCCACGAGGGAGAGGTAGCTGCCAATGATGAGAGAGGGGAAATCCCCAATAATCAAGAAGAGCAGCCCGGAGATGGACGAGCAGCAGCTCTTGAAAAGGGACAAGTAGCCGGGGGTAATAATAAGGAGCAAGCAGATCTTGGCGAGCAGGAAACAAAGATGGGGCGTTTCGCAAAGTCATTTTGTTGCGTATGTTCGTAATAGCTGATTATCAACTAGTACTTCCACATGACGAAGCCCAAGAGGGAATTTCCTTCAGTGCTCTCCTCATGTATAATGTCAACGCGATTGATTGAATTGGTAGCACTCTAGCAGCCTAGCTGTGTCTTATATTGGTTTAGAGAATATTACTTCAACGGCTCAATTATAAGCAGACTCCATCTAGCCAGTTTTTGGGGAGGGGGGTGTTGGAAAGGGTTGATTTGTTGCTAGCAGTGCTACTAACAACGCGTTTTACTTCGAGCCTGTAGATCTTCGTTGATATTTTCCGATTGGGAGATCTTGTGGTTGACTGTTTTTAGGATGTCCTCCGAGGTGGTTGGCTTCTGTCGAATTTCTGTGGATATCGCCTAGTTGTTCATTCGAATTCGGATCTCGCAGGGGTTGCCCCGGGCTTGAAGGGCTACCCGTCTTTGACGATGTTGCCGTATCCATGCAGGAAGAGGTACCAGATGCGGAGAAGTCGTCAATTAATGATTCGACGTTGTGGGAAGCTCGGAGTCTTCAATTTGTTCACTCCGGCGCAAAGCCGCGCTCAATCCAAATTCGTCTTCGCTCCGCACGCAGCGACCTCCTCTTCTCCCGCTCCCTCGCCTCAGCCTGCACCCTCTTTAGTTCCTCTACCGCTCTTGCCTTCTCCAAATCTTGTGTATGGCATGAGAAGCATAACGGCACTGCTTGATCCTCTGGCCCTTTGGCAATCATCTTACACCTTTTGCATCGTGCATAGGGTACGCCATGCTCCTCCCACCGCGCGCCCAACATATATCGATGCACGCCTGGTAGCGGTCGGCGCCCACATTCTATGCAGAACCGGTTATGCGCTTGAGCCCCGCCCGGTGCCTTCTTCTATGTAAACATCTTAATGCTGAATTTGGCCACAGGACGCAGCCTTGTGCAGCCAACGCAGGCAAGGAAGTCGAATTTTGGCGTCTTCTCTGCTGATAGAAGCTCGGTGTGTGAAGGCGGAAGGACCAGAGCGTGGAAGTAGTGGTTGACCAGCCGCAGAGTATGGAGGTCGAGGAATTGCAAGTGAGGGAGAATAGCGGCATGGATCTCCGGGGGTAGAGCGAGAAGAGAGAGAGGACGTGATGAGAGTTCTGGCGAGGCCATTGTGGATGTCGGGGCTACAAGCTCCATTACGTGTTTTGCTAAGGAAAACAGTATATATCGGCTTTGAGAGGGATTCTGGGTTCGCAGGGATGCCTCTTACGGGCTATAAATAGCATGTTACTCGAACCTTCCATAGGCACGTGCCCTCTGGCGCGCCGTTGCCAAACCGCTGCCAGTCCGTCGTCTCGTTCACGACGCCATCACCACGGCAGGCTAACATGGACAGAGCTAGTCAAGTATTGGCGCAAGGCGTGCCTCCTGGCGTGCCTAGGTCATACCGTGCTCTTGCAGATCATGGCAAAGTCCCACATTCTACACTCCACCATCGTGCTCGCGGACGACCCTCGATGGAAGCGAAGGCCCAAGGCCAACAGTACCTCAAACCGTACGAAGAAGAGGTTATCGTTAATATACAACAGTTGCGAAGCGAATTATTACTTTAGAGGGCGATCTGGCGATTTTGGGCTTTGCAGAATATAAAGCCTGGGAGAAGAACCGACTTCCATCTTGGGTTCCGGACTGGATGATGAGTACTCAAGACGTTAGCCAAGCTTACAGAATACTCAATGGGAAGTACGCTGAGTTTGGCTATTTCGAAAAAGATTGGCCGTATTGCGCAACTCTCAAATCAAAAGCTAGTATTCAGGATGATATCTTAAGCAACCGGTTATTGGGACTTCGTGGGATTGGGCGGTATGAAGTGAAAACGACAGCAACACCATACAGCGAATCAGTTGACCTTGAGTGGCTCATAAATCAATAGTATGCACTAGCTAACGCGTGCCACCCGGATGGAATTTATCCGAAGAATGATGAAGACATGGAATTGGCATTGATAAGTACCATTTGCGGGGACCTTTTTCCCTCTGTGCACAACAAAAGACTATCAGACAAATTCAAAACCAGGTTCTACCCAAGATCCTTCAAGAACAATACTACTAGAGAAGAGAAGTTGGTGGAAATATTTACCTTCCTTTGCCACTTTCATACCCGCAGGCGATTTTTTATTTGCGGCCAACAGGGTCTTTTTGGCGTAGGGCCAGCAGAAACTGGGGTGGGAGATGTGGTCTGTCTCTTACTTGGAGGCAGAGTTCCTTATGTCTTGATACCATTGGCGAACGGCAATTACCTTCTTATTGGTGAGCGTTATCTGCATGATATGATGGATGGGTGGTTGATTATAGAGCTTCAAGTTAGGGCTACAATGGCAAAAGGTGATAATAAGTTTCGCCCATCGGATATTCTGAAATGTATTGAAGTAAATGAGCCAATTGAACATGAGTGGAAGGTTTTTATTGACCAGATGTTACAGGGTATTTTCAAAATCAAGACTAGTTCAAATTCACGCAATAATTAATTTGTTAAAAGTTCTCCTGGAAATACGCAAGTTAACTCCTATAATTAGGCTTCACAGAATTATCATATATAGTAAATTGAGAGTTATCAATAGTGTCTGTAAACCAAAATCCACAGCGAAGGAAAGATACAATTATGTTCCATACAAATTAGTAATCTGAAGAGCTTGGCATTTTGTCTCACTAAGGTGCTTAAGGCACTGAGTATCAAAGCTGTTAACGGGTCTGTCGATATTTAGGGTCAAAATCATTAATATTCCGATATTTACAGTTATTAGATCTGGTAGGAGAAATGACAAGGTAAGCAGCAAAGACCTTGAACTAAGCCTAAAAGAGCGTGTTGAGACACCCGAGTGCAAAGCCCTCATTTGATAGGTGTTGACAAAGAAGAGAGAATTTTTGGGTCCTTAGAAATGACTGTATGCGTTTCTCCAATCCTCCACCTGAATCAACACGAGGAGAAGTCCTACTGTTGTTCGAGCGAACTAAACTGTAGACATACCGAGCTCCGCTTATGCAGTCGCAGTCTCGACGCAGGAACAGGCAGAAGAAATTTGTGATGGGTTCGACTGGCATTCAGAAACATAGATTGGCAGCCCTGCGGTAGCAGTGTTCACAGCATTCGTGTACGAAGCACAGAAGCTTGTCACCAAGGCCGTGGACTGAAGGAACTGACGCAAACAGTTGTTATGTTCGCAAACAGCAGTTGTAGTTGGGGCAGTTGCCTTTGCTGTCGCAGTGGTGCTTGAGGTTGTTGAGGTGGTGGTTGTAGTTCCGGACCCAGGCTCAGAGCCGTAGACTGATATTTCATAGACTCCCGCCTCCCAGTCAGCTTCTTTGTTGTGGTCAACATCCCAAATGCTGTAGTCATTGATTTTGACATAGCGGTAGCTGCCGCTTAGAATGTGCGCTTGGTAACCCGGGATCAAGTTTTCTGTGTTGTCAACGAGTTGGATCCAGGAGGAATCGTCGGTGCTACCACTGACTGTATAGCGGTTGACACAGTCCGACCCACCAACACTCATGAATGACAAGCCTATCCAAGCAAGGTTGTAGTTCTGTTCGAGATCCACCTGCCAAAAAAATGGCACCCCGGTAGGTTGATAGTACTCCTCAACGTCATCATACGGACCGACATCGTAGTCAACCCCATCATTCGCTGCTTGCGCACTGAAATTGTACGTCCCAGCCGCTATCTGAGCCGCTGTCAGCTGCACCGACGGCGTCGCTTCGACTGGCTTATTCAGTGAGAGCAAGTTCCACGGGAAAGGGGCGATTGAACCGTTCGCTACGCTGAGTTGCAACGAGGGCGTATACTGAAGATGCATAAGTCCAGTGCCCGTGTCGCCGGTAACCGCTGGTGCAGTGTCATTGATGGTGAGCGGCATGAAGACGTAGGTAGACTCAAAAAAGGCAATGGTATTGTATCGGTCCCCAACGTAAACGTACACCGGATCCGCGTCTGTGCCAAGATTGAGGATAAAGGTTGGCTGGCTGAAATACGTGCTGGGATCACCAACGGGCTCCATGCTTGACCAGGTTGAATTTCCATTTCGGTATCCGGTGATGCTGTCGCGAGGAAGGTCGAATCCAGCCGTCAAATTTGACGTGCGGATGTACTGCGCCTGGTTTGGGTTCCAACCACTCTGGGTAGAGGTGGTAAGATATACGTACTCACCGGCTGCACCGTAGTGTCGAACAACTGTTGGTGCCTCACGAGATACGGCAGTGAACGTATCGTATTCTTGATCAGCGACGACGTCGGTGAAGTCATCGGTGAGCAGCCACAGACGATTGTAGACATTATCTGAAGCGGAGAAAAGGTACGCGGAACCATCCTTTGGATCTTGCCAAACGGTCATATCACGAGACCGATATCCGAGGTTGGTGCCATTCATGGGAGGCTCGGGGTCTAGGCCGTCGGTTGTATAATAGCACTCCGTATTGTATGTTGGGCAGTATATCTTGACCGACTGGTATCCAAACGTTGGATCCTCTGGCTCGTATGTACCTGAAGGAACATTCACAATCGGCCGAAATATTGGAACCGAGGTCGTATTGGCGACTACCGTGTATGTCTGGGATACTGTGGGGCTGGTTGCGTTATTGAGGGTACAAATCGCCTTGACAGTCGTATTGGAGCCCGTGATAGAAATTCTCGTCCCACTCCAGTACTCGGTACTATTGATGGTTGGGTTGGACCCGTCCGTTGTGTAATAGATGACTGCATTCGTGGTATTGCATGTGATGAATGCAGCATCACCACTGTGCACCAAAACGGTTGAAGCAGAGGAGGATTCATCCAAGCCGGGGCCAATGACTGGAGAAACGAGAGCTGTTCTTTGGTTTCCTGGGTCTCCGATTGTGATGACGGTGGTTGATACCTCAGATCGATTCGCGGTGGGATAACGGATAATATAGCTGCTGGCATCAATGTTGTAATCCGGGCTGTACTTGTCGTAGAATGAGGTATCATATGGCGTCATCTGTACCGAGACCGCTTTCAAGGTCATATTGAACGTAATTCCCGTCAACTCGTACGTCCAGTAGTTATCGATCTCGGCTTCCCCGTAACCGTCGCTTTGCGAGAGGTAGCTGACTGCTTGTGGATTGCTGGTGCTGACACCGTTGTACTGTTGCACCTTTGGTGGATAATCCGAACCTGAGTTTGGCACATACGCAAATCCTTCAACGCTGCTGTCCTTGGGGGTGGACGAGTAGTCAATGGTGACCCCCCCAACGCGGTCACCCATGGCGGAAGGATCTTGGTTCCCGGCACCGGGACGATGGTGGCCTTTGGCGGTGAGCGTGTATGGTCCTTCGACATCGTCGGCGGTTGCCACGAAGAGTTGGGAGGGGCCGAAACTTGCAGTCATCTCCCAGTGGGCCCACAGGACATACTTGCTGGTTGCCGCGTTGTAGAGAAGCTTGGGGCGTTGCACTTGGCAATAGGTCAATTGTTGAGTGCCGTTCACGTCAGGAGTATAGACATTGATGACCGGTCCGACGTATGCCCAGTTCAAAAGATCCTGGGATTTGTACATGTTGACGAGGGCTTCACTGTAGGGCGGCCCGGTGCTCGAACTGAACACCTGACCGACCCAATAATACCAAGTGTCCACCTCGAGGAACCCCCCACCAAAGGCCTGTATGGGATTGCCGGAGGTGTCATACCAGATTTGACCGTTTGGGATGGCGGTATAGTTCGGCTGTCCGGGAAGTGCTGCACCGGCACGAGGATTCAACTGTGCCTCTCTCCTCCCCAAGTCAGGTTGTCCTGCGCCAAATGTTGGCACGGCCTGAGTGAAGGGGAGGCAGAGGAGGATAAAGTGAGGCAGACTCCACTTCATCTTGAGACGGATCTTGCCAGCTGATTGAGTGAAAGAGTAAAGAAGACGTGGCAAGTAGGCGCTGATGGATGTGGAAGATGACTGAGGTTCTTGTCGTACTCGTCGAAAAGGGGGGATGTATGCAGCGATTTTATACAGATGCAATTCTCTCTACACGACCTCACATTTGCATCAAGACATTGCTCCCCGTCCTTTTCATCTGGCTGCAAGGGACTGCCCCGACATCCGGGCGAGGGACATCTCGGTGGAGAGGACCTGTCCTATTTTGCCCTTTACTATTTCCGTTCCTCGGAAGAGATGCCGAGACCACATCTCAACCCCACATCACGATGGCGGGGGTTGGGAGTGATGGAGACGTCGTTGCTTCTCCAGGTTTTTGCGGCTGAGAGGCGATGATGTTCGCATACCTCATAAACGGGCGACTTGGGTATCTTTCGGCAAAAGTGGCAATGGTCATCACCCCAATTGGAGGGGATGGGAAATTCCTGCTTCTGTTGTGCTTCGGGGAAGACGGGGCTAGATATTGTGCTTTTGTTTAGTCTTGGTCGGGGAAGTCGATATTTGAGCCCCCTGCGAACCCTGAAGTGAAGTGCCGAGCGGTATGCAAGGGTCAGGTACGCACAAGACTTCGTGCGGGGTACAGCAACTCCCGTTATCGAAGACGCCAGGGCAAACGAAGAAGGTGCTGATTACTGCACCTGACCTGTGCTGTGCTGTGCTGTGCACCCCACGTGGCCATCGTTACGAGCCCGCTTGTTAGAGAGCTGCACACCCTTCACCAACCCATCGTCCTCCTTAGGGATAGTAAAATGTGCCGTGCACGCTTCCTTTGGGGTCCTCCTTAACTAACGGACCGCAACGGGCCGTGACGGATCGCACTGAGCGATTGCTTTCTACTGTGCTGTAGCACTAAACTGTCCGCCAAGTCAATGGTCAAGGCTGTCGTCTGCCCCGCATTGAGAAGCACGGTGCAGCCTCCCTGGCTTCCCCACCCCCGCGAAACAGGTCAATCTATTTTCAGATGCTTAAAAAGTAGGAAACAGGGGTAGGGCCTTGGATGTTGCTGAAGTTGCTCACCTGCTGATCTGAATGTAACTTCGCGGACAAAGTATTTCTCCGTCCCCACCCCGTAAATTCCAGTACTGTGACCCCACAGTACGAAGTAGTATCCGGGGAACTACCCGCTTGGAGACCCCACGGGGGGATGATGGCAGTGACTATCAGGACTACCTATGGGCAAAATGTGCTTCGAAGGCCCAAATCCAAATGCCTAACCCCCGCTATCGTGCTATGGTTGCTTGCCCATCGGACATATCGTCAGAGCCAAATTTTTATGCCATAACGCCGCAGAAAGGTAGGTCAATTTGAGCGTGTTGGGGCCATAATATGCACATTTGGAATACAAGAATACGCAAACAACACTTGCCGGTTCGCAACTACCAAGTGTTCCCCTTTTCATTCGCACGAAAATCAGACTCTTCCTTCGAGATCAGAATTTAAAGCTTCGAGGAAACAAGTCTGAATTGGCACAATCATCAGACATCGCCAAACCGTACGCAGGAGAGATATTTTGCTTCCGGGTCTGTTGCCTTTAGCTGGCTGCACAGCAATTGTGAACGATGGAACCCAACTTCTTTGCAAGGTATCGTTCACTTCACCTGAAATCGTGTTAGATGCCCTCCTTGCTGACTCGCTTCTAAAGGCAACATTTGGTTCTGGTATGCATGATTGTGTTCGGGATTCTCCCATCATTTACTGGGAGAGTAAAGGCAGACACATTTGCTCTGGGCGCTGTTGCAACTCCTTTCCAGCTCTCGGGCGAGCATGCGGCAAACAATATCAAGGTCGATTGGAGCCTTGTGGCTGGGGCTTCAAGCTACCAGATATTCCAATCTTCGAACGCTGAATCAGGCTTTCGTCACACCGCAACTGTTCCTGGAAACACGTTCGATGACTATGGTCTTAGGGTTGGGGAAACGTACTACTACCAGGTCCAGGCATTTGCCAGCAATGGAACAGCACTTGGGCAATCCACTGAAGCAAGTGCTGCTACATTTACGGTAGAAGATGATTATGACTCGTATGATAACACTGTACTGGAAACCTTCGTGCCAAAGTCAAATCTGGAGTCAGGGGGTCTATACTACCAGTATAACTATGAATCGGATGCCAATGGGTTCCTGCAGTTCGTTCAACAAACCTCAACTGATGGGTTCAATTTTGCCGGCAATACTACGGTCCTCAACCGATCAGAGGTATGTGCCTCAGTCCCTGGGGGATATTGCATACTGCAATCTACGAACATTGTAAAGAACCCAACTACGGGTAACTTCGTTATGTGGGCGCACCTTGAAAATAACGTGGACTACACCCTTGCCCAAGTCGCGGTAGCGGAAGCTGTCCCAGGTCAGCCGTTTACTTTCATTGGAACATATCAGCCTGAAGGTCAGCAGTCTCGAGATCTGACCTTCTTCGAAGACGTCGACGGCTCTGGCTACCTCATCTCGACCGCGAACAACAACCAAGATCTTAACCTCTACCTCTTGTCGTCGAACTGGACCACAATCATCTCCTGGCCGGCCATTCTCCTCGCCGGCCAGTCACGAGAGGCGCCAGCAATGGTGCATGTAGACGATTATTACTACCTTTTCACGTCAAATACCGCTGGATGGTACCCCAGCCAAGGGCAGTACATCTCAGCATCGGATCTTGCCGGACCTTGGAGTGAATCTCGCGATATTGGCAACACGGCAAACTTCGGTGCTCAATCGGGCTGGATTGCCACTTTCGGCACCCAAATGGCCATGATGGCAGATCGCTGGGGTGCCGAGTGGGCACCCCCAGAAGAATCCAATTCTCAGCGGATGTTGCCAATTTCGTTTGGCAATGGGTACGCAACGTATGGATTTTACGAGACGATCAAGTACAACGTGACTAGTGGTGGCATAGTTCCGGTGCAATCGGGGAAGATTCTGTCAATAGGCAAGCCGGTCAGTGATAGCGGACTGAGTACGGATGCACCCGGCGACGCGGTGACATACGCAGCCAGTAAGGCCAACGATGGAATCCAGACTGATGAGGACAATTACTTCAAGTCCAACTTTGTGCCTTTCTGGTGGCAAGTTGACCTCCAGACCAATGCATCAATCAGCCAGATCGACATGACCACAAATCTGGTCAAGGGTTCCGAGACCTATTATGGGTACACAATTATGGCCAGCTGGGACGGTTCATATTACATTCAGCTTGTGGACGGGTCGACCAATACTGCAGTAGGATTCGTGAGCAATAAGATCAGCAGCACTTACAAGTTTCGGTACATTAAGGTCAATGTGTACAGGGTGGTCAATGTCCAAAATGGCGGAGAGGCTGACTGGGCAAGAGGCGTCGATGAAATTATGGTATATGGCACCACTTAACCGCTTCTATGCAATCGCGACGATCGCTTGTGTGGATTCGTCCGCAATCCATCTGCATCAAACTTCTGCGTTACCTACACCACTACAAGCGACACTGCCACTTCAAGTTTCTCCAACCGATATCTCATATTGCTCAACCCATCCGTCACCAATATTCTCAGCTTCTTCTTGCCTTATGAGTCTGTTGCTGCTACGTAGTGGCAGCTCTCATTGAGAACGGCTCGCTGCAGCCTTCATTAGGATGTAAATAGAACGAATAGGCGAAATCGATTTTGGGCACAGATTTCTTATTCTTTCATTTCTCTTTCCCCTTGCTTGGTATTCAAAAGGAGTTGATCAACGAGGACGTAGCCTTAGTTTTATTTAACACGTGCAAGCGAGTTGTGGAATTAAATGAGTTGTCTATAATGTTGTTCCCGACGAAGCATACAGCTACCCTCCCAGATAAATTGCCAGACTGAACAAATTTCTTCTCAATTAATCTAGTTTTGATTCACAACTATGTAAAAGGGTCTCCCCAACTACCCACTAAACCTCAATAAACAGTAATAGTATGCACATACTTCACCTTGCCATCCACCAGTATAATCTCATGACTATCCGGCATATTCCCCAAACTATTAAAAGGGCACAACATATCCAAACCTCGTTGTAAGCCTCACAAGAGATTCGCCGTATTTCGGCGGTGTGGCGCGCGGGCCAAGTACAGAGGAAAGCACGGATAAGGCGTTCAGGATGCGACAGGTCCAGGTGAAGCTGGGAGATGTACGCCTAAGTGGATTGGACGCCCACCACAACGTCATTGCTTTTGCCCCAGAGAGGAGAGTTAGGCCCGTCTTGGAAAAGACGAAACTCGGCGTATAATGAAATAAGGCAGGGAAGCTTGGTGTGACGGGCATATGGTAACTACATGGGAACATGGTCTCAAGCTGTAAAATAGTATCATCATCATATAGCATATTCACAGTCATAGATAGGCCTGAGCTCTATAGCTATGAAAAGATATGTTGCCTGGAAAATGTGGGAAGAGAAAGCAATAGGCTGCCGCTTAGCAACGCCCCCCTTTTTAAGCGAGTCGTAGCAGCAACTCGCTATAGAACCCAAGCGAAACTGTTGAATCGTCATAAGTTGCTTTAGACATTCAAGATAGCTATGACGGCATCCAGTTCCAAATCCATGGCTTCCATGAAGCGAGTATCGGCTGGGAGAAGAATTGGATTTGCTAATCTGAAGATTTAATAATCGAAAGACAATTTCCGAGGATTCTTGAACAAAATATTGCCTATTAAGTAGACTACTTTATTACCTAAAGTTTAACCCTGCTACTGCGACTGCGTTCAGTTGAGTAGCTACATTTGTAATTGATTAAGCTTATCCCTTGTTAGGACTTGCTCATCCCAGTTATACTTCGCCCAATAATTGCTTTCCCTGAACTGAATACACCTTGACTCTAGTCTGGTTTCTCTTTGTATCCCTCGAAAATATTGCCACAATAATGCGTCGGCCTCAGGTAACTTATGGTGACAAATTTGCTCATTAGCTTCCTTCTCATTCCATTTCCGATCAGCGATCGCACCCAGCAACATATCGCATTTCGGATCAGTCTCGAGATCCCACCAATCATATGTGTCGGACCATGCTGGCTCATAGATACTATTATCATGCGATCGTTGGTGTCTTACGCCGAGTCTACATTTTGCAATCCATTCGGTCACTGGTGGCAACTTTTCGAGAGGCTAGTATAAGTTAGAGATGATCCTTTTTACTGGGAAGTTCAAACTTACTTTGTTACATGTGTTGATGAGGATGTCGGAAGCGAGGGCAGATGCATAAGCTCGTGAGCTTTTATCCATTCCGATTCCTTTGAGAAATGATTGTGTCTCACTGGACCACCAATTACGACCGCAAGTGCAAGGAAAATTGCCGTTTTTCCTCTCGTTGTGATGCTCATGATCCCATACGACAGCATGCCGACTGATGTATACAGGAAACGAGCTCCCGGAATGGTTCGAAAAGTCAAAAGCCTTAGGAGCCACGTTGCCATGCTGGAGATACTGCTCGTACGTTGTTTCAAAGATCTTGTCCATGTCGAATCCACAATGTCCCAGCTTATCTGCACCGATTATTGGGATTTCGTGGTTAAATCCTTCTGTGAACATTGTGTAACCTTCTGGTTGACAAGTGATGCCATTTTCGGGGCAGTAGCGGAGAGTATCTGGATACTTATTGTCGCAAGACCTGGCGTCGAGATATCCATCGTCTTGACACTTGAGATAAAACCTTCCAGCTTTCCACGCGGTTGTGATGAGGTAGCCATACATGGCCTGTTTCATATCACTGTTCCAATTGAATTAGTACTCCATATGGAATTGTAATCAAGAGGGGAGAATCGTGCCTTTGTTTGATGTGTAAAGCTAGTTGATTCGACCAATCATGTGCACTAGCATCCACAGTCTTCAAGAGTGCCAGAAGATCCTTTCCCGGCTCCTTTACCTTTGTAGAGATCAAATCGCTCCACATCTTGGAAAAGAAGTACCTTTGATTGTCAAACGAATCTTCGATATGCTTCTTCAATGCCGCGCTGGATTTGAAATTGTCGACCTTTTTGTTAACGGCACAGGCATCCGTAGCGTAAAGATGGGGAATAACGCCATCTTGGGGCGCTTTCGCCAGCTTCTTGTCGGCTTGAATCGCCCTTTCTTCTTCCTCAAGCTCAATGACTTGTTTTATAAATTGCGCGTACCTAAGCACGTCTCCAGCGAACGGGATCTGTGAGATACCGATTGAGAAGCTAAGCATTGTAAAGATGAGATTTCCTAAGTTCTTGCCCATAGCCTAGTGAGCATCAATGACTGCGTCCCTTTGGGCGGTGAAGTCCAGGACTATTTGATCGCTAACGAGGGAGGCAGTGGTACGAATCAAATTGAGGCCATCCTCGCTCCTCGTTAGTGACGAATGAAGAAGTTGAGACAGCTTAAACCTACGTAGGTACTTTTCATAATGCCATTGAGAGTCGTCATCTTTAAAGCGGCGAGAACAACTATCTTTACTTCCCTCTCAATCTCCTCATCCGTCCTACCTCGTGGATTGTCTAGTTCGTGCGACAATATTTTATCGCAGTCCGGCCCTTTTTTGCAGCCGTTTTCGAGATTACAGCTAAATTCTCCATCGTACACATGTACCTGGCCGAAGTATTCCAAAATCGAATCGGAAGATTCCATCTCAGCCCTTTGAGTTGGGTCTTTGAGAACGCCGTCTAGCCACCTTGCGAGGTAGTCGTTGACTTCTGTGCCATATGTGTGGAGGTCTTTGAGTCTGGGCACTTCTCTACATGTGCGAGGGACGCACCGGACGCCCTCGATATTCTTGCTGACCAGTCTGCTCGTGCCGCCCAGCTCTCTTGTGCTGACGGTGTGATTGGGGCAATTATAATAGTGAATATGGAGAGGCGGGATCACACGAGCTGAACCCGAAACAGGTGTAGGACTCGAAGCAGAAGCATGGAATGGAGGTGTGTCTCGAGCAAGTAGGGCATTCCCATATGCAGGCTGTATAGCCAAGAACAACTTCCACAAGGCCTCGATTAACTTGGAAGGCCTCATTGTGATCTTAGATTTGCTGCGCAAAATGTCGTTGGCATACGAGAGCCGTCAGTTCCAACTTCTGAAATGTGAAGATGTAGAGGGATTATGAGTGAAAGGAAGAGGTTTTTTTAATTTAAAAGATGTCCTGTGGACTTCAAATTCAAACCATTTTGGTACTTGTTCATCCGGATTAGAATGCCGTTCCGATCCATGGGTTATTTGAGGGACTAGTGACGCCGCGCCCAATGTCCTCCGCGCCCTAACAAGAATATAATAATCCCTCCAGTACGAGAAATGTAAAGTTGCCTGGACTACCAGCCGGAATTACCCATTCTGAACCCAATTCTTCCCTTTTCAAAACCACATCCACTAATGGGTGGAGAGACATTTCTTCTTTCTCAAAGGGGTTAAACTATCAAAATCACTTGTAATCAATTACATGTAGATCGTCAATTACAATTTAGAGGTGAAGGCCGAATCCGCGGAAGGAGACGAGGAAGCTGTCTCGTGATCATATGTCGAATCCGAACTTGGCACTTGACTGGTATTTTCGTCCTTAATCTCGTAGAAAAGCACCTGCTTCCACTACAGCAATAGTCAACACTGGATTCTTGGACCCGATGTGATAGTCAAGCTCCTCCATCGACTTTCACATGATCGTAGATTTCGTTGACTTCTAGGTAGTGAAGCGAAGAACTCTCTGGTATGGACTGCTGGGCTGCTGCCGAATTGGGTTGCTAGTACAAACAATGTTTAAGCTGTGACTGACTTCGTCATGAATGGAGATAAATAGATGCATCTGCAATATCCCAGATCACCAATGCAACAATATTAATATTCAGATCCGACTTGGTTTGTGGGAGCCGGCAAACACTAGGCAATCTCAAGTGCTTAACTATGAAAATTTTATCTGAGCTATTGGCATCTTTCGGGCTATACTAGATGCTTATGACGTATTGAAGACTACTTGTATATTGTCCGGTCAAGTAATGCCACTTTAATTATTGATGGACGAAGTTTAAGTAATTTCATAGCAATGGGAATTGGATCCCGTGACTGTTGCCACATTCTGCAAGTTGAGGAACTTTTCTTGAGACATTCTACCATTCTTGGATTAGGATACTTGCCTGCAATTCAGTATTAAAGCGCCAACTTTGGCTTTTCCCACCAGACATTTGTGAGGAGAGTGAAGTGATAGAATGCTTGAAAAGATTCAACATCCCCGAATAATGCATGCTGCGGTTAAGACAGGGAGAAATTTTGACAGTAGCGTAGAAACGTATCGTGAAGATGAGAACAAACATAGAAGCAAAGTGATGAAGGCAGCGAATTGCATGCACAAAAGGTGTGCACTTTAAGTCCGTAAGATGTTGGAATTCATGATCGTTTCTTTCTTCCATGCGCCAAGTGTGTATGGGTATCTTGAAAGCTTCCAGTCAAACGCCAGATGTAACAAATTAATCGCAAGCCCTAGCCATCTACCAATGATCTCAGAGATATGTGGGACTTTGCTGGCTGCAAAATTGGACGAAGCTGGAACAGCAACTTTGGAGGGTATACGAGCTCAGAATTCTAGGTCATTGGAGGATGTCGTAACTCAAGAAACCGCATCCAACTCCATCCCATCCCCATCCTTCGCGGCAGCTTTCGACTTGGTTGTTTTCGGTGCATCTGCAGATCAAATCAGCAATGTCTACATTGCATGAAGAAGCCCACTAACCAGTCATCTCAACTTCACCCTCTTGTTCCATGGCCTTCTCAATTGCTCTCTTTCTTGCATGATTCTTCGCTTTCTCAACCTTGCGTGCCTTCTTTCCAGATAGAAGTGCTGCTGGTCCACTGGTAGGAGCTAGAACTGTGCTTTTTCTTGTTCCACGTGGATTCTTGGTGACTTTGTTGACAGCATTGCGTCGCTGAACCTTGGCTCGACTGGCGATCCGACGACTTTTCGAAGGAGTGTTGGGATTTCCTCGAGAAGCCATTGCGGGGGATTGTTGTGGTTGGGGATTGAGTGATTGGTGGTCGTCGTGAGGAAGAATTTATTTCTTGACGATGATCTTGGAGGCTTTGCCGTGCCATTGACCAGGCATGAGTGTTATTACTAAGCTAGATGTGGCGCGCGGTGAAGCTTGGCTTTTATGCCTGAGGCTTTACAGATGAAATTACGGCATAAACATTTTGGGTGTGCGGGGCGGCCAAAATGGTCGATCCGAGGTACCGTACCGCGTGGCGATCCTGCAAAGATATGCACGCCACAACAGCCATAAGGCTGATAGCGACTTCCAAAATGGTTAGAGCACCTAAGAGCTCGAAATAAACATTTTTATAGGTATTAGGAGTTGTGAGAGCTTAGTGATAAAGCGGTGATAGAGAAAGTATATTTCGCTACAAAAGTAGACCCTTGCTAAATCAGCCGTACCGACGACGATATGAATATGATTTTCTAGTAAAAGAGGTTGAGGGTGTTTTAGAATAGCCATAGAACATGACTTTCAAAACATTATAGAAGGTATTAAAGTATACATAGAATTTTTGATGCTCAAAGTCAAAGTACCTGCTATTTTTTCCGGCACGGAGGGTTTTCCGGCACGCAGGGATGGACGTTACGCCAGCAGCTGCTTTATGGTGGTGAAGTACTTGGCGAGCGTAGTCGCGTTCTTATAATAGCGGAAGCCGTCTGCTCGGCCCGACGCCCCAGCATAAAACTCGTTCAGGATATTGGCCCGCTGCTGCGTCATCTTGCGGTCCGAGGAGGTGTCGCTGCAGAGCTGGTACGCGTCTCGCAAGAGAGCCTCAGCTGCAACCAGAATCCGGGCTAAGTTGGGATCCTTAGCATCCTCAGCATCGGCATCCAGCTCCTTTTTCGGCGGCAGCGCGTACGAGCTCTTGATCTCGGCGTCCTTGAGTAGGGCTAGGTGCGAGGGGAAGTCGGTCCGCTCAAGCCAGGGCACTCGAGCTGACCTCGAATCGCCAAAGTCTTGGACAACACTAGCCTGCTCCTCGAGGTCACGTGTCACATCCCTATAGTCCCTCTCTAGCTTCTCAAACAAGGCCCGCTCTGGCTTTATTAGTGATAAAGAGGCCCCGGTTGTCTCCTTGACCTCGCCCTTCGCCTTCTCCACTATTACAAAGTAATCAATACGCCCCCCCGCAGTAAAGTACGTCTGCAGCTTGCATTCGTTCCACAATAAATCGTTCTTCTGTTCTATATCCTTTAACTTGTGAGAGGCTATGTGCTCTTTTATCCTGGGAAGGTGAAGGGTATAATACGTGCAGTATGGGCAAGAAAAGCCATCGTAACTAGCCAGGTGCTCGATCAGCTGACATTGATCTTCAGGTCGAGGCTTATGCTCCTTAAGCTCCTCGACAGTCCTCAAGTCATAGCTACTTAAGAGCTGGAGGGTCGTCTTCAAGACATTTCCTAGGAGGCGGTGTGGGGCAGCTCTCAAATGCCGCTCCTGGGCTGAGCGTCCGGGGACGATGCAAGACTTGCAGGCGCGGCATACTACTACGCGGTGTTGGGGATCATATGAAAACACCACGGGGACTTATATAAAAGCCTTCCCATATTATAATGATGATGAAGTGAGGGCCTCCTTTCCCACCGTACTTTCCGACCAGAAAGTGCGTTAGTCAGCAGGTAAGCGAGCCAATCAATCGATGGCCGCCTTCCTTTCCCACCGGAAAAGGGCCGGCGCCTCTTTACGATCGAATTTTTTTTTATACTGCGTTTATCGCGGACTGTAAGCTTCGTTGCTTCCATCCTAGACTACTTCGGCGTCGCAATTACTTAGAGCCATCGGGTTGCTCTCAATCTCGATGCAACGCGAAGGCGATTTAATTGAACGTGAAATCCTGCGTATTGTGGGGCAGGAACAAATTGTTTAGACAGGATATCAATCAAACCAGGTTCGTCTTGTTTGTTATGTGGATTTTGCAGCTCAGAGTAAGTGCAGCATTCACCGCAGTTGCGACTCGTAGAAGGATTGGAGATGTTGATTATCGCCAGGAAAATATTTTGGAATCATTATCTAAGAGTGATATATCGCTACTGTGTGTTGAGCTGTATCAAGCATGGAGGACCTCGTCCTCAAGGCTTAGAGTTCGGAGTCCATGGTGTGCAGTCACTCTATTTTCCTCTTTGCTTAATTTTATAGAGTGTCATTTGCTAGTATACTTTGTATCGCAACGTAGCCTGAACGCTGCGTCCATTATTCTCATCCATGAAACAGTAAATGTGCTTTGCGAGTAGACTCCAATCTTCTCTTTCGATTCCTGCTTTCTTCGAAACATTTCATTCGAAAGCACGCTCAGGAAAGACCCGCCCAGCATGTCTGGGGAGGCCGATTCTAGGATCTGTCATATGTGCAAAGTATTTTTGATCGACGCCTAGTGGCTGATGCTTGCATTGATGAGCTCTGATTTCTTCTTGCTCTAGCTCTCTCGTGAGAGCTCCATCTTGACTTGGCCTATGCAGGTCAACGCCTCTCGCAACGATCTGCTGGTACACATTCTCATCCCAAGTGAATGAAGAGTCATCGTCATTCCACTCATCAATTTGCGTGGGAACTCCAACCAAATCAAATAAGCAGACTTCTTTCAACATTTCGTACTCTGGATCTTCTACCAACTCTAAGATCTTTCGCTGTAGCAAATTGGAAATATGGGGCTGATGTCGCAACGAAATATTTACAGCTTCAGTCCCGAGCGGGTTGCGATTGGACCTAAGAGCGAACCTGACCTTCTCAACCCCGGAAGGAACCACATTCTTTAGGTCTTGCAGCACGAACCACAAAGTGGGCTGCTCCTCATCTAACGTAGGTGGGTAGACAAATTTCATGAAGTTTTCTAATTCAAAGGCATCATCGCGCTCCGCTCCATCATCGATTCTGAGCATTACGTCCTCACGAAAGTAGAACTTGCGCTCATCGCCACTTGAGTAACCAAACTCATATCGGTCGTCAGCAAGCCACTGTTTGAAAGATTGGCCGTTGATTCTTTCGAGTGAGTCTTTGGCTGAGGAGTGAAGTAGGAGATTTTTGAGGCTCCGGGGTACCAAGAACTCGATCCATCTCAGTGTTCGACAAGCCAGTACGAGCTGCTCGATTGTTTCTTGTGACATTTCACAGCAGTCCAACTTCAAGGTTTCAATCGAAGAGCAACCGATTGGGAGTTCCCACTCCTCTTCGTCATCAGGATATCCAACGACCTGTAAGCTAAGTGCCTTCAGGGCCGGGAGGTGGAAGAAGGGGACGATAGCTGAGACTGGACAGTAAAAATTGTTATGAGGATGCTGCAGACTCGTGTAACTTGCGATGGAGATGTTCGTCAGGGACTGAAAACCTGGAGGCCAGATTGGAGTGGGTGACGAAGCTGCGACCTTTGAGATTGCTTTGCTGAGGAATTTCAAAGGGTATTTCTCGAGAGGAGGCATATGTCTGGCACGGATTGAGTCATGTCTATCAAAGAGGACTTTATACTTACGCAACAAAAATTACGGTACTGATACTGGGAGCAAGAGCGATCATCAAACCCTTCAGCGCCTCATCCGAGCCTGCATGGATACGCTCCATCCATTTGCTTGCCTCCGACTCGTCAAAGTACAATTGTTCTTTCATCACCTCTTCCATTCTGTCCCCAAACCCACCATTATAGTATTCCTCACTTAGGTCCGTATGATCATCAGTCTCCACTAGACCCCCATCTCCCCCGAGATCATGGTCGTACTTGTTCACATCGAAAGTATCCCAGTGACTCCATTCAAGTCTCGTACCCCAGGATTCGAAGCGCTGGAGATGCCACATTTCAGCTTGCGAGTCTAGCATCCCACGTTGGAGAAGGGCCGGGGTGGAAAGAGGGACGCGATCATGAATGATGCGGAATTGTAGATGCCATTCTTGGTGTTGAGTCAGGAGGCGCTGTGAGCAGTTTAGCGCTCTTTGGTGGGTTGTTGCAAAGGAGAAGAGAGATTCTGGTGCGAGGAAGGATATAATACGGAGGAAGAGCTCATCAGAGAGGCTGGAGAGAGTCGTCGAGTAGGCCATGGCAGAGGTTATGTTGTTCAAGGTTCGTGTGCCTGAATCGTGAATCGCCTTCCTACGTAACCGTACTCGTAGCCGAGGTGTAAGCAGAATCCGGGCTCTGACACAACCTTGCATATCTTAGTAATTTCGGTATCAAACTCCTAGGAAGGAACATGAAAAGATGGGAGATCAAAATACTTCCAAACAGTGCACCAAACATTGACGTTGCTATCATGTGATTTTGCTGCGGTCTGAACAAGATATATACCAGTACCACGTATGAAGTTATCATTGTTAGGCAAAACGAAGAATAATGCACCGTTCTGCTCTCTAGTGCCTTTATCGATATTTTTTCAGACTCCCGTTTGCCTGAGGAGTCTTTCCTTCATGACAGAACTATCCCAAGCCTCGATCAGCAGACCTTGATTTGATTCTCTGGTCGAATTTGTACATTAAATACTTGTGTGTATTATGTACACCGGCATCTTCTTGCTCTTCAACCTTGGATTCATTTAACAAGCAATTTCATGCCGCTGCGAACATTGGAGAATGCGTTTGATACTGTTATTCTTCCTCTTCGTTCACTGCGTTAACTCCTGAAAGGGTCTGACAATGCTTCGGGCCTCATTCGATATTCAATATTTCTATGCAGGTCGATTTTGTTGCACTGCAGGCTTGCCAATAATGTTGATTGTTGTCAGCCTCAAGAGGCGGGGTAATTCCCGTTCCTGACACAACGATGGCGATATTCAAGGTACAATGCATGTACAACGTCTTTTTGGGTTCATTCAATATTGAAGCCCCTGGCTTGGACTCATTCAGCTCGCGTCATCTTGTCGATTCCTACATCAGGCCACTGCAAACCTCTGAAATTAGTAACAAAGGTAAATGCTCAAGTTCCACAACATAACAGCAAAGATTTCGCTAGCGATGGTCGCAGTTCAGAAAGCAATGAATGCATCTTCTCGTATTCATCCCTACTTTCCAAACTCCGATGCACGCTGACCCTCAGCACCTGAAAATTCAGCTGCTCTATTCCGATATCGTTGGGTGCCACTGAGTACCACTGCAGTCTGTCAAGACCAGGTGTAGCACTCTTTGAGAGGTTATTATGGCATCGTTCCATCATTTATTGCTTCAACTCCCGCCTACGTATTTCGCTTTCTTTACATTTCAAGTAAAAGTTTTGTGAGCGACAGTACACGATGTTGACCCTGACTAATATCCTCGTTCTCACCTTCCTCACCCTAGTGGTAAATGTTTCTCCTTCTATCATTGCCGAAAGATGGACGCCGCCACTCCCTTCGTGTAGTTGCTACACTCCATACAAGTATGCTGGGTGTTTCGCCGATCCTAGTTTGCCTACAACTGCCTTGATTTATCGTACCGATCTGCCTAGCAGCAGGCTTCGGCGCCGATATTAAATTATTCGATAATATCGTGCCGATATCGAATCCGTTGAATGAATAAAAAATATCGTATCGTCTAAATTAGGAAGTACGATGTTGAATGAATAATCGAATATATCGCATATATCGGGTAATATTTTTTAAAATTAGTACTGAAAGCCTTGTTTTTGAGGATATATTTCTTCGATTCCTAAATTTTAAGGCATTACTCGGTCAAATAAGGGGCGTTCCATTCAGCTCAAGTAATATTAGTCAGCTTTGAGCCACATTGCGGCTCAAGTCTTAAGGCCTGAGGCTAGTATGTCAGCCGGCCAGATCCGACCATTTGCCCGATTGAATCCGACTATCCATAGCAAGGGTTCTATTGGCTACGGCGCTGGAACAACTATTTTACGGTCACGTGTACGATATTTCCGAATATTCATTCGAATAATGCCAAATCACTTGAATAATATTCGAGTCGAATAAGACCTTGCCCGGTATTTATTCAATATTCAACGATATTATATCGTAAATATCGGAGCCGAAGCCTGCCTAGCAGCAATATGACCGTGGAAATTTGTACCGCATTCAGCAAAGGTAGCCTCAAACTCAAAGCTCCGTCCACGGCCTAACATTCGCAGGTAACGATTATCAGTACGCTGGCCTCGAATATTATGGAGAATGTTTTTGCGGCGCTTCTGTAAATGGACCTCAAGTGAACGAATCTTTTTGCTCGGATCCTTGTGCCGGAGACACATCTGAGATTTGTGGAGGTACCGACTATGTATCAGTGTACCAAGACCCAACATATCCCGTCGAGAACAATTCCACAATTTCAGACTATAAGCCTCTAGGTTGCTATACCGATCTCACAGATACCGGAAGGACACTGCCATGGCAGCAAAGCCAACTTAATGCTTCAAGTATGACTGTTGAGTCTTGTCTCTTTGCTTGCAAAGATGGGGGGTATGCATTTGCTGGAGTCGAATTTGGCCAACAATGCTTCTGCGGCGTTGTCTTGGGCAATTCAACGTCAAAAGTTGATCTCAGTGAATGCAACACTCCTTGTACAGGCAACAGCTCAGAGAGTTGTGGGGATGCTGCTCTTCTGAACTTGTATGTTGCTGCGGATATCGAATCGACGGAACCATGCACTGGAGGCACTCCGCCTCCTTCAAGCACCACCAGCTCAACTCCAACTCCAACTTTGTGCACCTCAACCGTTACTGTGTCTTCAACACCGAAGTATGAATACAACTGCGGTGAGTGGTGTTCCACTCCTATTCCGCCCTTCACCAACCCAGAATTATGCACATCGGCTGTCGGCGCTTGCACGGTTCAAGTGGCCTCCTGCTTTCTGAATGCTGGCTTCCCAGCTTCTCTAAGATGCTTTGAATTTGGCGCATGGTGCGATAAGATCAGCACCTACTGCTCCAGCTTCTGTCCTGGAAATTCGTGCTCAGCTTTGAGCTGCAAATCCAAGTATCCTCCCCAAGGATATCAATCGCCAACTCCCACGATCTCAACGTCTGTCTTCACCTGCTCACCCACCTCCAAAACGACATCGACATCGTCCACAACTTCGTGTGTTCCAGTCCCAACCACCGGTAACGTCTGTAAACAACCAAACAGTCCTACGAAGGGTTACACTTCTTCAAGTCCAGTCGGAAACATTCCCCTTCCTGTCTTGACCTGCAATAATTTATACTCCGACTACGTCCAACATCCCTTCAAGCTCTACACATCATCTGATACGACGCAGTGCAAATCCTACATCCCAGGATCTTCCGGCTCCAGTTCAGTATGCCAAGGCTGTAAAGACGCCTGCGACTCTCAATACTCGAGTTGCACCACGACTTATGCTCAGAGCTGCAAGGGCAATTCCGGTTCTGGAGGGCAGGATACTTATAGCAGCGCTACCACGAAGTGTACCGATCAGTGGACAGACTGCTACGCTGCTAATTCCGGTGTCAGCGGGAGCGGGCGTTGTGGGTCGTGGAACTCAGGATGGAGTAAGTGATGACGGATATGACGAGGAATTGTTTGCCAAGGTTCGGAATGTGGACGTACGTTGAAGCCGGATTGATGGATCATGTAACATGAGAAAGCACTTGCTGTGTCTGACCTTCCTTTTGATAGTCACCAGAGTAGATTTGAACTCCCTAATACAATGATATAATTGCCATGTTTCACCTCGGCTCCACGACCGAGAATCTCTCGGTCAACCATAAATCGGATATCGTAGTTCACCATGGCCGGGTGGAAACATAAACATTGTCTGGCATTGACCTCAGACTTGAAACGGCAACAGCGATGATTGACAACCTCGCATAGCAATACGCAATGCCAAACGTCAAAAGGAAAGCTCGTCTTGGCCAATGATCAGAAAGCCAGTCTCCAATGTACCAAGCAAATCTTCGAACTCGACCAAGCAACCCCTCTCGACCTGTGAGCGAGACATCATGCAATGCTCGTTCCTTACTCATGATCTTGGGAAAGACGTCGAAACGATCAGCCTCATCGTTGTACATAGATGTCCTAGATGCCGGAGCAGAACGTTTATCACTTGTAATATTATACAGTCGACCAAGCCTCATCGCGAAGCGCTGATACGCAGTGCTGGTTTGTGGGTCTTCGGCTTCTAGATCAGAAAGAATGGCTAGAAACTCATCTTGGTGAATGTTATAACGTTCCAGTAATCCAGTTCAAGTCTCGATCAAGCCATATCGAGCATAACGAGCTATGCTCACTTTGACATCGTCTGGGATTTGCGAAAAAGGCCGATTTGCTTTCGGTCTCTCAGCTTCCATAGATTTGGATATGTCGAACAAGGTTGACGCAAAGGCTTCTCCGGATTGCTTTTCACTGATAGCGAGACCCGCAGACAGACCATTTATCAACAGGGCTACACTGGAAAGCAGATGGCAATCAGTGTCGATCCTCGCCAGATCCAACGTTCTATCGTTGTGGGAAACGTATAATTCCAGGCGATGAGATAAATAGCTCCGAAGCCAATGGTCACCACGCTCCAGAAGTATGATGATTAAAGGGAGGTTCTGTCTCAATGATGATACACTATCATTCGGTATGCGGCTGAATAGTTGGTCGCCTTTTGGTCTGTTTCCTGGCGCAGAAATCGCTGTCCGAAAGCTATCTGCCTGCCCTTGTCTAAGCTTGATGATTCTTTCTCTCGTTTCGTTCTCGTGAAAAAAACCTGGCTGGCCTTTCAAAACGAAAGCTGTGCCCACATCCTGGGGCTTATGCCAGCTGAACACATACGATAGCAAGCTACACACTGCAAAAGCAAGAGTCAAGACCTCCAGCTGAGATGTTGAATAGTGCATCCCAGCTCGTGTCGGGATTGATATGACTAGCCACAGAATCTGAACGAGGACAACAAGCTTTGTGAATGGATCTGATTTGCTTTTGTCCTGGATGTCTTCATCTGATAGATCCGGCAGCTCCGTAATACCACCATCTCTTAGCATCATTGCGAACTGAATCGCATTGAGAACGAGTGTTGTGGATTGGGTTTCGCCATGTTCAATCCGAATGATAGACTCCAGGTTCTGTTCGTCTGCAGCTACAAAATTCAGGCGGAACCCACCCATGTTCGCAATAGGCATGCGTGATCGTCTATTTCCATACCGGAGTTGGCTTGAGTCTTGTAGATGGGCGGGCCATTTGTCAACTTACTCTCGGAACTCTCTATAGAGCTCTTAGAAGTAGCACTTCGGTGGGAACTGAAAAGTCGTGACAATCGAGGTCTAGAAGTCTGGCCATCTTGGACGCCGATAGGTAGAAACCTCTCTCATCTCTTTCATGTTTTGCGCGCTAGGAGGAAATCAAGGATTGCGTGGACAAGAATAAACTCAGGAAAGAGTATTGTGATCACAAACCACTTGAACTTCCGTGCCAAAACAAGGGACCGATAGCTACTTGGAGCGGGAATGTTGAGGTGCTGAATACTCCATGTACATGCGAGGATGGTAACTAGACAGCTAAGTATAATCTGCAAGGTCCCTCAACGAATGGGACTGTTTTGCCACCCAGTTTGGGGCTGGCCACCCATCGTCGAGCCTAGGTAGGACGGTGCTGGACACCCGTACCAATTTAATTGAACAACCGCAAGCACTTGGCAGATGGTCTGAGTAATCTCCAGCAGGGAAGTTATATTTGATTGATGTTGGTAGGCAGCAGAACAGAAACAGCAGACGAGGTTGAGGTTGAGGCTTCTCGAGCAGCTGACGATCACAACGAAACAAACAAATCAAGCGATGGCAGTGACAATCAATAATCAATCACCGAGAATCAAACAAAGCGCAAACTCAAAGTCGATAAAATCATTAAGCTCGCAATTAGACGTCAAGACAGGACGGTAATCTAGCGGAGACTGCTCGTCCTCAATTTCTATTGTAACCTTAACACTCTGCGGCAAAGCCGATTTGTGAACCCTGAAGACGAGACTTGGCACCAACCGGATATCGACAACGATGGCCTCGACCACCCCGCAACCTCTCAATTCTCCCACTTCTCCCATCCGCTCCAGCGACGAACCCGAAATTCTTCCAAGTCATCGCCAGGACAATTTCAGGCCGCCTCAGCATGCCAGCACGTTCGATGGATTCGAGCGTCGAGTCGAGACGGGCTTCAGGAGCCTCACACGCAAAGGTCGCAAGTCCACTCACACATCGCTGCAGGATTGGGCTGCGAAGGACGAACCATACCATCGCTATGTGCGCGAGCTCGTCGCAGCAGGATGGAGCAATCTGCAGGACCTAGATGACTACTTAGGACGTCCCGCTACACAGCACAACGAAGTCGTATCCGTGTTAGATATCACATCTGCGACGAAGCATCACTACCCGGACCTGAAGACCAACTTCGAGCTGAAGAATTTCTTGGCCGTCAACAAGAGACCGGCAGACACCGTCCGCATATATATGGCAGAGTACAAGAAGCTGCCGTCTGCGGAGCTAATAGAAGCGTTCGGAAGTAGCTTGCACCTGGATCGAAGATTCTTCCAGTGGAGCATTCACAGCAAAGGCCATGTCTTCACACCTTCACAGCGACATCGAGCTCCATACGTGACTCTCGGTTGTGGGGTTCTAGATGCTTCAACAGCCAGAGCGACCGATGTTGAGAAGTTCAAAGTCCTGGTCTACATTCATGATGGAGAGCAAACGGAAACAGGCTGGACAGGTAGATATTACCACAAAGATCAGGATCTTGCTAATCAAATTCTACAGCGCTTTTTCTCTTCAGCTCTCGAACGAAGATCAATATGTCTGTAGAGCTCCTGAACGACCCGCCTCCTTTCCCCTCTTCTCTACCTCCAATTCGACCCGAGTTCAAGTCCTTCCGCCAATTATACCTCGATTCCTTTGACTACGTCAACCTCGATTACGCTGTGAAGTCTCCCTTCATACTCGTATCCAGTCTTTTCGGTCTCAACTGCTTCTGCTGGAACCAAGTCATTACCACAATTCGAGAAGAAGATGCTCGTGTGGGAGGGATTTCGGATACTACAATCGGACATGCGGAAGAAATCACCAAAACTTTATCAGCGATTGAGCGTGGTGGCAGCTACAAATGGCATGGCAAAGATGAACAACCGGCACAAGCCCGCAAAGCTGAATTGATAGAAGATTACAATCATTTGGTGGATCAAATAAAGCTGCTTTGGGAGACGAGAGACAAGATGGCCGACATTCGAAAGCGGAATTCAGATACCCGGTGGACTGCTCTTACAAATGCTTTCACTTACCTGTGAGCTCCTTCTCTGTCCATTCTGCGCTGAGCTGACTATGAAGGTTTGCCCCTGTGACAATAATCTCTGGAATCTACGGCATGAATGTGTCGCAGATTTCTGGAAGTACTTCGAATCCGAACATATGGCAATTCTTCGTCGCAGTTTTGGTCTTCAATGTTGTCGTCCTACTAGCTTTGTCCATTTCGGCATGGATACAGATCTTGTCTAAGCATGGCAGGAAAGCACATTGGTGGGAAGTCCTCGGATACTCGGTAGGGAGAGTTGACTGCAAGTAGAATACGTCGGCTTCACGTATATCGGCCTTATGCATCTCTTCCCAGGTTGTGTCATGAGCGTTGCATTGCAGTCTGGTACAGCGTTGTCTGTGTTTCTTTGTTTGCGGCCATTTTTGTTACTGTGCCAAGCTTGCGTTCTCAATACCCAGTCAGCCGTTTGTAAATACTATTGCAGTACGTGCTTCAATGTCCGCGAGAATCTTGTGGGCAAAAGTTGCTGATCTCTTGTTGTGTAAAATTACATGACATCCAAATGAATTGAACTCGACTTTTACACTTGAATTTTGCATATGACGCAACTCGTCAGTGATCTAATTTACACTGTTTCTCAGCGATTTCGCGCTCGAAGATCCTCCTTCCATTATCATCAATCTCACATCCCCTCCTTTCGTATTCCAGTCAGCTCAAGCAAGACGGCATATCATAGCCTCGAAGACTCCTTTGAACAACAACCATCCTTCTTTACCAATGTCGATGACAAATTGCGGCTCGATGGGACGTCAATCGAAGGATTTTCGGTGAAGAAGTCAACAGGCTTGAGATGTAACTGGAAGATATCAACTGGCCTGTAGACAACGTTAGCTCTTCTCGTTAGTCCAAAGATCCGGTACTTACATCACGGGCCAATCCTCGACTACCCCCAAATTGCCATGTTAGCATACTTTTTCTACATGCTGCAAATGTAACCCTGCAAGGGTTGACACCTCAAGGTGGACGAATGTCCGGCTGGGTTTGAAAGACTCACCTCGAGGATTATGCGTCAAGCCGAAACAACTCCAAACCACAACATCAGTGTTCAACACATCATCTCGCCTCTTCACCGCGTCACTCACACCTCCGATCTCGTCTTGACTCTGCAAGGTATATCTGCCTCCAGCGAAAAGCTCACCGTCTTTATATTTCGAGATCCAAACATGATGTTTTGCGAACTGAGCCCGACGAGCTTGAATTGAATCTGGCTGAGCGAGAAGGACCTGACTGGGTATCGGAGTAAACTTGTAGCCCACGGGATGCCCACTGACTGGGTTGATTTTGCTTGGATTGATGATCTTGATGACGCGGTTATGTTGAGGAGCAGCATCCAGCCATTGGGATTTCTTGACCGGGTTTTGAACCACTTCGAACAAATTCCCCCTTGGGTTCCGTTCTGCTGAAGTGGGGACCGGATGCGATTCTTCAGTTAAGACAGTATTATTGGCACCATCGATCGCAGGATCGATACGGACGGCGAAAATGTGCTGATGGTTTTGTGCAAGGACGCCTGGTGAAACCACATTCCCGTAAGGCGATTGCTTGCCTGCATCAATGGAGACCACGCTCACGATTCCAGTTGCTCGAGCTTCAACCATGATTCCACCCGACTGGTCGAATTTGTATGCGAAGATGTATTCATAGTTCGCCAGCGTGATGATGAATTGGACAACCAACTCTCGATATCGGGTTACAACCGCCCGGCCAGTCCTCCAATTCGAATGCTTCCATCCGATACCATTATCCTGCTCGTGTAGACACACTACGTTGGGGCTCACCGTTGCTGTGCCATCATTGGCAACGTTCACGGCATCAAAGTACTTCTCCGTGTCAGCAGATCATTTTGAATGCCCGAGTGGGTTTCAAACCTTGATATGACCGAGACAGTCGCAACCAAGTTCGAGATTGTTGGCACAGATTCCCGCTCCGCCATCTCCAAAGTCAAAGGCTTGTTTTCTTTGAAACGGGGCTCTCGGATCTGCATACGGGACCGTCTATTCTGGTTAGTCTGGTCGGATCTAGGAGGGTAGCCAACTGACCATCTCGCTGACACTCAACCTGTACATTACACTTCTTCCATCATACGTAATATTATGAAGGGTAGCTCCCTCTCGGAAGTTAAAGCCAACTCTGAATCTCCATTTCTGCCATTCCACTAAACTCTCATTTGTAATCTTGAAACTGGGCCCATCTGGCTGAACCACATTTATTGGTTTCATATCTTTGCGGAGACCTTGGGGCAGGAGTTCGGGCACATATTCGGCTGATCTGTACTGGTTCATGAAGTTCTCTGATCTGGTTCCATAGTTGAGACCATCTTCTTCACCTCCTGTTGCCAGGTGATCGATTCTCACGATCTCCTTGGTTCTGGCATCCATAATTGGGATTATGGGGAGAGGATATGCATAGAAATTGGAGTCTGGATTGCCAACCCTCGTGTCGTTTGCAAAACACAAGGCCTGAAAGTATCGGCAGTATTCCTCTTCCCCATCTGGACCTGCGTGATTGTCAGACTGATATTACAGCAGCGCAGTAATCTACTTACCTCCATATGGCCATGGCTCGACCACAACTTCGAATCCCTCAGGGATGTTCAGCTTAGTAACTTCTTCTTTGAACACCGATGAGGCCGCTACAGCTTTCGTCAAGGTTTCGAATTCGGATCTTTTCCCATCAGCCTGCTCCATACCTCCAAACATAAACAGCACTTACAGCGTCAAGGCAGCATGGGCTGGTTTCTCGACAACTTCATTCGAGACCAGAGCGCCATTTATTACGTCAATCAGTGTTTCATAGTACTTTGCAATTTTGTCTCTTCCAATGACATCGTAGTTGACTCTTGCCAGACGATGTGGACGTGGTGTTGCTGGTGTGAGCTTCCCCGCATGCTCGAGGTCGAGGAATGGTTGGAGTTGTGCTTTTGGAGGCTCTTCCAGAGAAATGGATCGGAAGTCAAGAATGGACTGTTTGTGTGCACCAAGCACAATATCTCTAGCACGATGGCACTCTTCGATGCTTAGTGGCTCGAGAGGATGAGGGGTCATTTTGGAAGCCATAATTGGAAACATTCAATATGAAGCGAAGGGTTGACCACAAATACTACAACGGTCGATGGTTTATATGTACGGGTCGTAAGAATCTAGCGCAGCATGATCTGATGTTCGGAAAGAGGTGGGGCATGTAGAATCCCGAGCCGGACGCATAAAAACCTTTCGAGTTTTCTCACAATCAGGATGATTATATTGGTTGCATAAGCTGCCTCTGCCCAATCCTCGATCATAGCTTTGAACGAGTCATTGGGACCATGGATGCAGGGGCTTATCTGGAGTAACTTTTCTTCCCGGATAAGGGTAACTTACCCGGATCATACCCGCGAGCTGCCTCGGCCATCACTTTAACCTAAAGGGAAGGTACAGCCGGATTGGTTTCATTGGTCCTATATCCTGAACATGAGTTTTACTGGATTTTGCAAAGACACTCTTGCATCTCTTCCAGAAACTAAAGTCTTTCATGTCATCTCCTCCTAAACCCCAGGAGCATAGCTAGAACTATTTCCCTCCGTGTCAAGATTAACATCACGACTTGGCAAATCCAAGACCGACCGCTAAGTAGCTTCGAGACTGACCTCCCAGCCTTAGTGTCCTTACCATTTGTGAATTGAACATGCAACTGAACATGCTGTATCTACCTGTAATAATATATCTATGTACTCTGTTTCCCGGATTTCCATGGACACTAATGATTTACGAAGCAAATCTTTCATGCCATTTAGCCACTAAAGCTGAACGCCGCCGGATCAAAACCGCCATCGAGCAGGCCTCGGAGTTGCACATCAAGCTCGTAAAATTCATCAGTCGGGTCTCCGAAGTCTCGTAAGAAGGTCCAGTCTTCCGGTGATTGCGTCGGTGCATTACTTATAGGGACATCTCCAGCTGCGTGTTGTGGAACAGCTGTCCAGCGAGGCTGCTGGTCAGTAGTCTGAGGCTGAGGTTGTTCAGTGGTATTGTTGGGCCATTGATCGTCAAGATGCTTAGGGAGATCGAACACTTGAGACTGTCAATATATAGTTCATTGGCTTTGATCCAAGAACATGAACTTACTGTCGGATAGCAATTGATGCCTTGCACCTGCACTTTTCCAGGACTTCCCCAACACAGAGAGCCAATGAACACAAAGCCTGAGTCTCGGTCGATACTCCCCACTTGCATCCTGACGCTGCTTTGACTGATACAATAGCATACTAGCAGCTGTAAATACACTAAAGATCATATCACAAGGCAATCCCAGCAGGCGATTAAAGTACTTTTCCAAAACTAAGCAAATGTTATTCGCAGCTTGTAAACAGACGTCAAGTGGATTGGCGGAGTCCGTGCCTCCTGTGTTCAAAGACCATCTGGCGATGAAAGGGCGATGGAGCAAAATGGTAGCATGCCACATAATCTATGATAAATGTCAGATGATTGCTGTTTCTAAGATAACAGACCTACCACATAATTGGTGACTGCTGCAGGAACAGAGGTCAACTCCTTGCTCAAGTCAAGCTTCAATGGAGATCCTTCCATTTCCCTCTCCCATCCTTGCAGTGCAAACCACAACTGCATTCTCTTTGCCTCTCCTTCATTCTGGTTACCGCGGATAACTGTTCGTGCCGAGATGCCATAGATTTCCCTTGAAATTCGTTCGATGAGGGCGGAAAGCTTGATCGTTGAGTGGAGGCCGGAGATCGTTCGTAGCTTGGTTGGCACACTTCTCAGGTGAGCTGCAGTGCCCTGAGATGCACTCTGAGCGGACATCAACTCGAACTCGTCTGCCTCTGCAACTGACGGGAAGGGACAATCCGATTCTTCCGACCTGAGCAGTACGGGCCTTCCCATTTCAGTGGACATCATCTTCTCCAAGATATAGAGGTTCCACCAGAGTCGAGACTGGATCTCTCGTTTTATAGGATCCTCAGACTCGCATGGCCTATGTATACGCAGCTCGATGGCCATTGCCGATGCGAGGCCGCAGAGAATCGCTGCCCGGGAGTATTCAGCGACACCATGCTGCTGTAGTGATAAAATTGTCAGCACTTGACAATTCGTGATAGATGGAGTCAGGGCATTGGCAAGGCTGCGGTTTGTGCCCCCAGCATCGCTAAGCTGAAGCAGATTCAATGCTTCCTCGAAAAATTGAATTGGCTCTGGAAACTTCTGCACGATTGTGTTCGTGGTGTATTGCTGAGGTCCGTCCACGCAAGAAGCGATAGCGAATATAGCAGCAACCAAAGCAGGAGCCATCATATTGGTAGGATTTGCATAATCAGATGACGAGTAAAGTGGCTTGTACAGAATTGGCCAGAGAGGATGTAGACAATTGAAATATGTCTGAAGTAGTCGTGTGGAGGCCGCTCCAGATATCATACCAAGAGTGATTCGCGATTTATATGACAACTCAGGTGCTGTAGAATCACTCGTAATGTAGCCACTGGACGCCTGCACGTGCTCACTTGACCCTCCCGGAGACATGTTGGAGAGTGACTGACGTGACTGTAGATTTCTCGGTCCATGGATGGGGTGCACCCGTGTCCTAGGGAGCGATTGTCAGTGCCTGGCATTGGGTACGTTTCTAATACTCTTCAGGACATCCTGTGATATGATATCTCTTTCGTCTCACACGAAGATGCCAAGACTAAGACACCACTTGCCTTCGTTTCGAAACTCCATAGGCACAGCTTAGTCCCTTGTTTTGACAAGGGCTACATACGGGATAGACACCGTCACACTATGAACCTCGGATATCAGTTATCGGGGCCATATGCTTTCAGAATAGAGCGAGCATACCTTGACCTTCTTTAGCCCACAAGGCTGGCACGCTTGTGTGACTCGCTTTCTTGGTGGTGGAGAAGACATGATCGGGAGTGTGAACTCCGGGTAAGAAATGTGTAGATGGGCGGATACCGATATGAGGAATCACACCACCCTTATTGATCGCGCCGGATGAATTTCGACGGGTGGAGACGTCTGGGATGCTCGGCTCGAGCGGGTAAATTCGGCGGCATGAAGTGGCTGGCTACCCGTAGAGAGATCCGGAGCAACCTAAAGCGCAAGACGAGGCTGACGTCTGATTGCTTGCAGCTCCGATGTTATCAGATGAGAAAAGCCCCCATATGCTACCCTGACATTAAACTTGGAAAAGTACCGCTGTGAATCCAATAAACGGACCACTGAATAAAGCCAGTCACTTGACTCTAGATACAGGTCTCCCAGAGTTGGGACTCTTCCTTCCCGCTTTCCTCTGACTACGTGAAAAGCGACGACGAAATCCGAAATCTACTGTGTATGTTACAATTGAAGTTGTTCTGCTAATAGCAGATACTTGTGAACAGATGCATTTCATCGGCTGTTATATCTACCAAGGTTGGACTTCTCCAGGCTTTGGCTTCTGTATGCGAACGACCTTGTCGGCATTCAAGATGCAAAGGGGATCGAAAGTAAGTTTGAGCTTTCTCATGGCATCCACCGTCGTCTCGCCCAATTCGTGATTGAGGTAATCTCTCTTCACGAGCCCAACGCCGTGCTCACCAGTGACCGTTCCTTCCATCTCCACGGCCCTCACTACCATCCGATGGACAAGCTCTTCGGCAAGCTTACGTTGCTTGTCATTGTATAGGAGGATAGCTGTGGACGTCAGTCGGAATTTCTGCGCTGGAGAGAGGATAGACATACTGTGGAAATTCCCATCACCAACATGGCCAACGATTGCAGCAAACAAACCACTCTTCGCCATGTCCGCCTGGGTCTCTTCAATGATATCAGGCAATCTGCTGATAGGAACCGCGACATCGCCAGTCCAGACGTGATCGGTGTCGTTCTCTCTCATTGCCATTACAGACCAGAGAGCCTCTTTCCTTGCACTCCAAAGCTCGGCTTGTTCAGAAGCATTCTTTGCAAACTCGAAGGTCTTGCTTCCTGTACTTTTGGCTAGCTTCTGTACCATGCCAATTTGCTCCTTGACGGCACTAGGAGTTCCTGCGAATTTGAAGAACAGAGTTGGTGCTTCAGTCCAAGACTTCTCCGTCATGCCTGCAGCATTGATGGACTTCATCTGGTTGCCATCCAAGATCTCAATCGCGGCAATAGGGACGCCTTCATTCACTACCTTCGCAACACAATCTGCAGCTTGTCTGACGCTTGCAAAGCTACATACTGCAACAGACGTGGTGTTAGGCTTAGTAGTGACTTTTAGAGTAGCTTCGGTGACCAGGCCCAATGTTCCCTCGCTTCCAATGAACATCTTCGTCAGATCATACCCAGCACTGCTTTTCCTCGGTCTCTGTCTCGTCTTGATGATTGTCCCATCTGCCAACACAACTGTTAAGCTGAGTACCCACTCTCGCATTGTGCCATATCTGTATGAATTTGTGCCGCTGCAACCAGTTCCAACCATGCCTCCAATCATTGCGCCTGGCCCAGGATCAGGTGGGAAGAATAGGTTTTCCTTTCCCAATTCTTCGTTCAGCAGTTCCCATCCGACGGCAGGCTGAACTACAACATCCATATCGTCCTTGTGTAGTGTGAGAATCTTGTCCATGTGTCCAAAATCGACGCAGATGCCTCCTCTGGTGGGAGCGAAATGGCCCTCCAGACTCGTACCGCCACTATAGCCGGTAACAGGAATTTTCCTCCGATGGCAGACCTTCATAATAGCACTGACCTCTTCCGTACTTCCAGGGTATACTACAAGGAAAGGCTTCTCTGTGTCGTCATGAATATGCGTGCTCCATTCGCTGCCAGAATGATGGGTCAGATCGGTTTCCAAAGTCGAGACGTTGTCCTTGCCCACTATCTCCACGAAATCTGTCCAAGCGGCCTCCATATTCGACCCAGAGATGTCATGTTTCGGGGGAATGGTGGCAGAGAGAGGAACGGTCGATGCACTGGAGGGAGTTTGTGCTTTTTGGGTTCCAAGGTAGTAACCACCGATGCCTACCGTGAAGAGTACTAGGACGATCGGTCAGTGAATGGCCTCTTCAAATTAGTGGAGTAAGGACGTCTCCAATACCGAATGAGGTTGCCATGTACCACCCTCCTGAACTATCTTTCCTAACCTCTGAAAAGCGTTCTTGCTCTTGTCTCTCGCGTGCCAATCGCACCGCCGTGCTCTCATAAAGCTGCCCCTTGAAAGATTTGCCATTTCCAGGAGGCTTTTGCTCCGTTGATTCCCATCGTAATTGTCTTCCAGCGAGTCGAAGGCAAGGAGTCTTTGACAGGGGAGCTCGAGTGGAATTTCGCAAGGCAAAGAGAAGTGCTCTGGAAGGTGCGTGTGGCAGCGCCATTTCGTACGATATCGAACACTCGATGCGTGTAGCGGTCACATATGGTGAGTGAGCATTAGATGTTGATGGAGGGAGTCTAAAAGTGGAATTACTCTTTCTATTGATACGCAGCTGCAGATAAGACGAAGCTACAAAACACGGGTGCACGGCTTGCTAGCTCTAGCTTCTTTCCCCGCAGTTTTGCCAGTAACTCCGACCTCGCCTCGTTTGCCAGCTCACTCACCTGCTCACCTGCAGCACGCAATAGCCCGCGTTTATCTCGACAGGCCTGCATGATTATTCGCAAGTCATTACGAGTGTACGTATCACAATTGCAGACTCGGATATTTAGGTATTAAGGGAAATAACGATAATCCATTTGCCAATCTATGCTCAGCCAGGCCAACGCCAATTTTGAAGTCTCACCTGCCAAAACCAGAAGCTTCCGACTCCACCAATGCAGCTCGCTGTACATGAATAGGTAGCTATAAGCAAGAAAAATCTGTCCATCACTCAAGGCATTCCACTCGACAAAAGCCCCATGTGACTACGTGTCAATTAATCACATCTGACCCCCATTCTTCCAGGGCGTAACGAGCTGAACAGAAAAGATTGGCTTTACACCTGAAATTGCTGCTAGATATGCCTCCAGTTCTTCATCTTGGTCGATGGGTAGAGTCATCTCGTGCCCATTCGGCTGCTTGATAACACCTTCAATCCGGAAGACTAGCGTTCCTGGAAATTTGAGAACAGCCAAATGTCGTAGTTCGTCAACCGTGATCGAGCTCAGTGTGCTAACCCAAAGCCTGGCGTTTGACTGAACATCAGAAGCTGGGTGAAGTCGGAAGTAAACAGCAAATGATGATGGGTTTGTTGCAAATCCGGCTTGAGCTGCTTGAGCGGCATACTGTTGGTCTGTATACTGTGGATCCGCAAACTGATTCTGCATTCCACGGCCCATGAGAGAAGGATCATTCGCGGCTGCTAGCAGAAGGGAGGGGTCGATTTGCATGTTGTTGTGATCGAGGATGCTCTGTGGATGAGATGGCATTTGCGGCTGCCTAGTTTGCGGTTGTGCTTGAGCTCGGCCCATTCCACTTTGTGACCCAGACGGCGCTCGAGATTGGTCTTGTACCATTTGGTTCTGCATTTGAGTTTGTGCTTGTGCGAGAGCAGCTGCGCGAAGCAATGATGGGTCTGGCTCGGACTGGAAAGTATTCTCGGGTTCTTCAGCTCCAAACGGATTCATCTCAGAATCTGGGGCAGTGAACGTCGAGTCAAACTTCTTCTTTCTCGTTGGATCCCGCTTCGTCTGGTCGTCCCGTAGACGTTTCATTACATCTCTGCAGAGAACCTCCATTGCTTTGACTTTCTCTTGATGTTGGGGGTCGGATTCTCCTGGAGCAAGAATATTCTGGAGCAGCTGGGAGCTATTGATCCACTGAGCCTTGAGCTCCTTCCAATGATCCTCGCCTGCCTCGAGCTTGCTTGTGAAGTGATCCGCCTTCAGTACTTGATAGAAAGCATTTCGTAGCTGCCGTGACTCTTCCGGATTTACACCCAATGAGTTCTTAGCCTCTGCTATGGTCATACGACGTTCCAAAGTGCGCATTCTCTTCGTAACATCGCTACAGACGACGTCCAATGCCAACTTCTTTGCTTCTTGGTTCTCTTCATTGCCCCAAAACACGGATTGGAGATGCGGACTCTCTTGTACCAACCTATCTTTGGCAGCCTCCCATCTCTCAGGGCCTGCAATGGTCTTCTTTATGATGTCAGCTTCCTCGCAGATCCGTTGAAAGCGACCACGTATGTCACGATACAACCGATTGTCGAGGCTTAGGAAGGCTTTGCTCTCGTCGATCGTAGTCTCGGAGGGGAATCGTGGAGGTCCAGGGGGGTCTGCTGGTAGACCAGCCCAGCCTCGCGTTCGACGTCTTCTCTTTCGAGTTGCCCATCGTTCTGCAGATTCAGCTTGGAGTTTGGCAAGGCGCTCCTGTCTCTTCCGCATAACCTCAGGACTGAGTGGAGGGGAGTCACCTCTGGTAGAGCGTGCAGGGGGATCGGGCATCGATATATCGTCCACGGGCTCGTCCTCGACTTCTGCTTCTGCCATTTGTCCATCGGGGTATAGAGCTTGTTGCAGCTGGTTGATGACATCTTGGTCAGAATCGCGCTTCTTAGTCTTCATCCCGTTAGGGACTCGCAATAGCCATCTATTCTTTGCGCGAACCCGCATGAGCTCCCGCTCTTTGATATCAAAGCCTTCATCGTTGAGGGTCCGGAGCATCTCCCGTTGGGAGGTGTTGCAGTCCCATAACTCCTTCACGCGTTGAACGAGAGCGGCGTTTTTGTGCGCGGGGTTCTGCTTGGAAGGGAAATCCCATCGTTTGAATTGGGTCTGGAACGCACGTTTGCTTCCATGTTGTCAGTACGGACGACGGTATAGATCCTGTACGGTGAAGTACGTGCAGCGGCATACCTTGGAGTGAACTTGTGATGTTCTTTCATATAATCCATGATCTCCTCGAGAGATTTCTTCTCCTCGATATACATTCGATAGCATATCTCTTCTTTGTTCTCCCAGTCGTACACCATTTTTGTTCTATGCGCCTCCAGGCGACTGACAATTCGAATCTTTTCGAATCTGATAATGCTGGTGGATGTGGTTCGTTGGGGTTGCCAGACTGCGTCGACGACGTTGCAGGTTCCTGTACTGAAGCCGCCCCGTTGAAAAGCTCGGACTGCGGCACGGGTCATCTTTAATCCGAGTCATCATACCAAGATCAACGTCCTTCCGTGAAGTTTCATCAAGCACATTTCCATCTCGCTATTGCGAGCTCACCTACATCGGTATCTATATATTCCGTAGTTCAAGGAGTCTCAGAGGCTTGCTTCTCTTTCTTCCCTCTGGTCATGATCACGTGGAGAGCATGCCGAGAGTCGAAGTCTTGGCTCTTGACTGGGCAGTATGCCTGCAATGTTGGACGCAATCTGGAAGAATACTCGTCCAGGAATCGAACGATGATTCTGTCTATCTCCGACATTCATTGCTCATGGGTTTCTTTCGCTACATCTTCTTTCTATAAGATGTCACAAGCTGGAAAAGTTGAGCTCGTCAAACCTAGCACCTCAAGTGTCGTGTTAAAGACTCTCAAAAGTAGAACTCCATCTTCCTTGCTAGTTGTTACCTCCATCGGGGTTTCTCGAAGCTTGTTGCCATCTCCTCCATCGGAGAAATTGCACTGCCCTTGCAATGAAACATATCGGCTTGAGTTACCGCGGTCGGCTCCGCTCTCCGCATTCAGTCTTTTATTAATCTTTTGCTACATGTTTGTGCTATTGTTTTGGGATTGTACCGTTCGTCGATATTCTTTTCAGCATCTAGCCTCGTCCAATCTGGCAATCCCAAGGCAAATTTTGAAAATGGCTCTCTCCTCCAAGAAAATGCAATTAAATTTCTTTGACGCTGCTTGCACGGGTAGTCATACGGCAATTGGGCAATAGAAGTAAGAACACCAAGTATTTTTACCCTAGAAATGCTCATGTGTGCGCAGGAGTCCCAAAGACAATTCTCGAACCAAGGAACGATTAGATTATTGGCTCTGGCTGGCCAAGCTGGCCGAGAAGGGAAAGATCACATCCATTTTCATAGCTGATAGTTATGCTAGTCACAATATCTATGGTGGTTCAGCGGACGCTTCTTATAAAGGCGGCTCCCATATTGGAAAACTCGATCCTTTGATGACGGTATCGGCCATGGCTGCAGTCACGAACTCCGTGTCATTTGGTATCACCGCGAGCACTTCTTACATCCGTACGAAACACATCCTTTTTCTCGATTGCAATTAACGTTCTTGTAACGCCGTACATACTAGCTCGTACGTATTCATCACTAGATCATCTCAGCAATGTAGGCTCTATCTAGCGCATCCACGCACTACATTTGTCCCATTCATAATGCTGATCATCTGACCTAGGGCCGAGTTGGCTGGAACATCGTTACAAGTCACAGTAACTCAGCGGCTCAAGCCATGGGCAGGGAAGAGGTCATGCCTCATGATGAACGATATACAGCAGCTGAAGAGTATATGGATATCGTATATCAGTAAAAAGCTACATTTCCGAATATCCATTCCGATCTGATTTTGCTAGGTTATGGGAAAAGTCGTGGGAAGATGGAGCTCAAGTCTGGCAAGAAGAACCTGAGATGGCCTACGACCCAAGCAAGATACACAAGATTAATTATGAAGGCAAATATCACAAGATGAACGCATTCCACCAAACGCATCCATCGCCCCAGAGGACGCCCTTACTGTTTCAAGCAGGTTCTTTCAAAGCTGGAATCCAATTCGGAGGCAAGCATGCAGAAGCGATATTCTGTGCAAACCCAACAATCGAATCCACAAAGAAGTATACAGCTGCTGTACGTGCCAAAGCTGTGGAGGAAGGGCGGGACCCCCCGTCGATCAAGTTCTTCTTGGGCATCATGCCTATTCTGGGTCGAACCGCTGAGGAAGCAGAGATGAAATTTGAGGCAGCGAAGAAGAATGTCAGTGTCAACGGTGGATTGGCGCGCTTCTGCGGCTTTACGAACGTTGATTTGAGTGGCTATGCAATTGACGAGGAGTTTAATTTCGAAGGCAAGCACCACGAGAACAGCATTCAAGGCGTCATCGACAACATCAAATTAATTGGGACTGAGAAGGTCTTCACGCCTCGAGTTGTGGCTGAAATGTTTGCACTTGGTGGTTCTGGGCCACGGCCTGTCGGAACTCCCGAGATGGTGGCCGACTTTTTTGAAAAATGGTGGAGAGAGGGAGATCTTGATGGGTTTAACTTGAACTGTACGTTGTCTACCATGCAGTCTGCGGCGTCATTGACCAAGACCAGATGTATCGAACCCTGAGAGTTTCGAGGATGTCGTGGAACTACTTATACCAGAACTCCAGAGGCGTGGGATCTACTGGGAAGATTATCCTGTCCCGGGTGGTGCAGCAAGAGAGAATTTGCACAGCAACCCAGGACAAAAGTTGCTTCCGAAAGAGCATCCTGGTGCGAAGGTCCGCTGGGATGTAGCCCGAGAAGCAGCGACTAAACACAAGGCTGCAGAAAGCTGACATCAGCTGGATGGAATTTCATAGCAGACATCTCCGCAAACCCAAGTATTTCCTTTCCAAAAGAGTACCACTTCTTGATATGCTTGCTTGCTTGTTTTAATCGACCCTTTCTGCACCCCGTCGCCAGCACTCAAGTAATGCTGGTTTCGATCCTTCCAGGAACCAGATCTGCGTGCTTTCTTGTCGGGTACCAAGCTGTTGGAATTCATGCAGCAGTGCACAGTTATTGGCGTTTTCGCCATGACAACTTTACCATCTGACTGGAGACGGAGGGGAACTTCCTAAGCTTTCTTGGCCCACATAAGTCTGTGCCAAGACAACACTCCTGCCCGCATTTGTCCAAAATTCCCCACTTTCGTTATCTGCATCTCATTCTGCAGGGTCAATGGACATGTCGGAAGAGCTTCCCGCCCATGTCTCATGTTTCCGACAGCTCATCGTCTGGCCTTGCGTACGCCATACAGCAAGTAGATGTATCGTATCTTTGTCTTGGGAAATTCCAATCTTGGGACTGACCAATCCGAAATTTTGAGTTGATCCAGAAGAGTCCAGCCGTCGTTATCTTAAGTTGTTATCAAGATATCACTCCTGCCAGTGTTGCTCTATGGTAGGAAAAATACGCAGTGGCGACGCTTAAATATAAAGCCACTTCAACGTCCATGCTGATCACTCTGGACTCAAGTCGAGACGCTTTGATCTTTTTCAACTAAGACGGTAATTATACTGCTTTATCTTTTTGTTGCGAATCATGTCGAAGTTCTTTACTTGGGCAGAGCTTCCCGCTCGCGAAGACATATACCAAGAAAGAGGAACCACAAAATGGGGCAACCACGATTTATATCCCATTGTTCCCAAAGAGCGAACATATGGCAGGGGCGCGTTCCTCCTGTATTGGGTAACTTGCGGTGCTGGTCTCTCTACTTTTGCCATCGGCAGTTCATACCTTGCTGTTGGATTGACTGCAGGTGAGGCTTGTGGTGCAATTCTGATAGGCGCTTGTATGTCCAGCTGCAATGCGCTTCTTTGCGGGCGTGTTGGGTCGGAGAAGCACCTTGGTTATGTAAGTTTCATAGCTATTGTTGAAATATGACCCTTACAAGATTTAGACTATGATGGCCCGAGTTTCATTTGGACTTCGTGGCATGTGGCTGCCGCTGTTTTTCCAAATAATGAGCAACATGGTCTTTGTGAGTACAGTGCCGTCTAAAGATTCCATTCACTAATCGCTCAACGTAGTTTGGACTTCAAGCTGTCTACGGCGGTCAGTACTCCTAATTGATACTCCTGTCTAGTCTCTTGCTGATGTCCTTGTAGGTCAAGCTATAGGAATTATGCTCAGCTCCATATTTCCTCAATTCAAGAATTTGAAAAACACTCTCCCCGCCAGGTATTATCTCAACCCATCTGTTCTCACAACCACTAATCGTTGAATAGTGCTGGTACCACCACCCATGACATAATCGGTTTCTTCCTCTACATCATCTGTTATCTACCTATTGTCATTTGGATCAAGCCTCATAAACTCGAAAAGTTCATGTGGCCTGCATTCATCGGCACGGTAGCCACAGTCTTTGGCATCATGGGATGGGCAGTGAACGTATATGGAGGATCAGCCGGTAACTTAGTTGCTCCAGCGATAGCGCTCTCCGCCAGTGATCGTGGATTTCGATTCGTTCAATGCATTAGCAGCGTTGTCGGTACATACGGTGGAGCAGCAGATCGTTTCGCTGACTGGACTCGATTCTCCAAGAAGAAGGACTCCTATGTGCTTGGTTCAGCAACTGCCATGCCAGCTGTGATCACGATGTGTGCTTTACTTGGCGTTCTGACTGCGAGCGCAACCCGGGCTCACTATGGTACTGCAATGTGGCAGCCACTGACGATTCTATCATATATTCAGAAGGATACTTATACACCAGGGGCACGAGCTGCAACATTCTTTGCTGGATTGGCGATTTGGTCTCATCAAATCTTCGTCAACGTTACCCAGAACAATGTGGGTGCGGGAATGGATTTAGCAGGGATCTTTCCTCGGTATATTTCGACCCAGCGAGGAGCAGTTTTGCTCTGTATTTTGGGAGTTTTAGTGCAGCCTTGGAGGTTTTTGACCCAAGCAACCGTGTTCATTTCAGTCATCTCAAGCTTTGGTGGTAAGTCACTCGCGAAACTTCCTGCTGAAAGCAATGATTGAGCACTAGCTAATACACCGGCATAGTTTTCTCTTCTGTTTGTACCGCAATATTGGTGCTCGACTACTGGATCATCCGCAAGCGAGCATGGAAGGTTCCTGATTTGTACCAAGGTGGACCAGAGTACATCTACTGGTACTTTCATGGCATCAATCTACGTGCCTGGTTCGTCTATATCGTTACGGTCATTCCGTCTCTGCGTAAGATCTCTCCTCTTCCATACACCGGTCTCATAGCCGATTATTGCACTGCAGCTGGGTTAGTGCTGAGCATTATGGGACGGACGAAAAGTGGTGCGGTTTAGCTGTATCAGATTTGTTGAATGTTCACTCATTGTGCAGTCATCATAGACTATTATGGTTGAGCATATGTTGAGGAATGGAAGAATCATTACTCTTAGTTAGTGTAGTACTAGTTCAAGGGTATGATTTAATGCATAATGCAACGACTCCACGACTGATGACACCTGTCATCAGCTAGTGGGATCGAGCATTATATAAAGCATGAAGACAACCCTGTAGTTTTAAGAAATCAAGTCAGTTATCACACGCGAATATCAACAAGATTACCTATCTCTTTGATTTCTTTTTCGGTGTGATCCTTCACCTTACAGTCAACAGAATCTTTCCTCCGCCAGGGATAGGGATCGATGAACCATTCGATGGCCTATACACAGTTGAAGGTGTCGCGCCATCCGATGGTGGAGCTGAGACCCTTAGAAAAGAGCCGATGGCTGTTGAGAAGCAAATTATTGCAGATTTGAAAGTCTAGGTTTCTTCCCCATTCATGATAGATTTCAAGGTTGAAAGGCTCCGTGCTTTCTTGGAGGACTGATTAGATTTTGTTGTTTAATATTGATCTCAATGCAACGATGGTCTTGACTTTTGCGCCTCTAGGATACTGCTTGATCAAACTCTTCCAATCCACTATTCATCCAATTCCCATGACCTGAATCGTCCCAACTGTCACCGTCGCCTGTTACCAAGAAGCTAGCTGTGTCCATTCCCATTTCGAATCCCATATCAACATCATCCCAGAACATTGGCTGCCCAGCCATATCACTGATCATCTGTTCCAAATCGTCTGGGATGTTCTTCATAACAGCGTCACTCTGTATACCGTGCAATGTGTCTTGCATGTCATCCTTCATCGAGGTCACCGCAGCTCGTGGGATGTGCTTTCCTTCAGCTATTGCGTCAAGGACTGACTTCTTGACCACCTCGAATAGATCTCGATACTTCTTTCCACCAGACCATTTTTCGGTCATGACGCAAAGAATAATGCTGCAATCAGTCAGAGCACTTATGCTTTTGAACCCGTTACTATTCGAAGTGTCCTGCCACATGCAATAGACTAGTGTAAGGCCTGATTTGATCGGTCAGTAACTAGTGTTTCTCAAATGAGCTTGCATCTAAAAGTTGCGTATCTTACCTGCTAAGAATACGGTCTGCAAGGAAACCGACGTGAAGATCAGTGGGATCCGGTAATGCAAGCGCTTATAGGTCTCACAGACTGCTCTGCATGCTTCCGCACAGAGTGCAAGATATCTCTTATTAATCTTCTCTTCGTACAGTCTAGGCTGAAGCAAAACCCTGATAGTTTTGTGATACGATGCCATCTGTACTCCTTGTCAGATGGGCTTTTTCAACACGATAGCATGTGTATGATAATATCATCCACTCACATGTGAATCATAACTCCGATACTCGTCGCCACGAAAACTCTGCCGATCGCTTGGGTCCCAATGAGTGCTTTCTGGCGGAATTGCAGCTTTCCACGCATATAGCTTCTCTAAAATCAGGTCTGTTGTCTTATAGATTGTTTCGGGAGACTTGACACGGTCGACACGGTATATCTTATGCTGAATCTCGGAGTCAATGACTTTAAGTCTAAGCAAGTGGATATAGCATGACATTGTAGTTTGAGGAAATGCTGGGACTGATCGATCCACTTCTGCAGCCGCTTTCAAGACATTCAAGTCTCGATTTGCTTCGTCGACATCTAGAGGAAGCTGTACTTTGTGAGCTCCGGGCCGTGAATTAGAAGAGGACACTGACATCGATATCAATATCGTGGTCTGAAATTGAAGGTGGTCGGCCCATTGCAATAGCGATTTCACGGTCCCACCAATAACAGGACCAAAAGAGTCTCTTATTCAATTCCGCCTTCAAAGAAGGTCCCGCCGACCTCCGTCGTCGATGCAGTCCAAGTTCAATACACATTCTCATCGCCAAACCTGTAAACGTCCTATCCATTCATTCCGTCAGTCTTTTCTTCAACGACTCGAGAAATAGGCACTAACCAAGCTCCCGGTTCCTTAGGCATCCTCAAGCAATGTTGTCCCAATAGCAACAGGTAAGTGAGGGACCTGCTATCACCATATCGTAGGATCGTTTCTCGATTGTTCAGCGCAATTTCATAGTGTCTTTCGGGATGATACGCCTTGCTCAAGTCTCCTGTCTGTGACTTGATCGTCAGCTCATTACAATTTAGAGCGATCCAACAGACTCGACAACTACTAGCTTTTCCTAGAAATTTCATACTTTCTCCAAAAAATGCCCTCCAAGTCCGTATATCAAATTTAGAATGCTCTCCTCGTACACGTTTCTCAGGCTACATCGTCGTTTGTGCAAGTCCAGAACCTCGAAAGAGTACATGATTGGGAAGTTCGTGTAGAGATGCCCAAGATATGCATTAACCATTCTTTCCGCAGCATCCCGGTTTATTTGGGAAAGTTGAAATGTGCTCATGTCTTGTAAAGAGTTTGTGTCACTTGCCACAGACTCGGTGCGAACAGTGCTATCTCTCCTCAAGCTCTCATGCTGAAACAAAAGATCTGTTTTCCCGGCAAGAGCAGATTCTAGAGCTCTCCCTAAAGTCATAGTCGAAGCGCCGCCAACATAAGATCCCGCAATATCAAGTGAGAGATCTCGAATGGCGTTCAGCAAAGGTTGAATCTCTCCTTCTTCGCTGCCATTCAAGTCTTCCAACAAATGGTCGTGAGACACCGTACGATCCCCTCCCTTCGTCAAAATCGTCTCGAGCTCGGCCACTCGATCTTCCAGGGCTTTGATATACACTTTTGCTTGACTGGGCTTTGGATAGCTGGGTATCACATAGTGACATTCGAAATTTAGCCGGGAACATCTTGAGCAAGAAGGTTGATTGCCGTTGCACTGTCTCGGAAAATTAAGTCATTATTTCGAGGCAAAGATTTACGCCGCTCACCTTTTGTTTTCTTTGTTTGCATCTTTGACAAGCAAGCGATACTCGAGATCTTTTCACCGGCTTTGAAAGAAAGCTTGGAGACAGATGGTCCTCCGGACTTGAAACCACTGGCGGACTGATTAATCCGTCTTGATCCATTCTTCTTGTTCGTGATAAGATAGAGAAGTCGAGGAAGTTAAACAAAACGAAAGGTAAGGCTAGAATGATTATTGCTTGATGGGATATTCGAGATTGGGAGCCTCTCATGTCGATGATTAGCTAGGTTGGGGTGACCTGGGGCTTATCTACTTTCATCTTGGCAGCCAACTCCTGCCGCATTGATAAGATTGCAACCATCAAGTCAACGGGAGTCAGACAAATTCCGATATCGATAGCAATAAGGCTGCGATGTTTCTGAAAGCTGTCTTTTTTACATGTTGAAAATTCGCCAAGTACGTTTGCAGAAGGTGCAGAGCCTCCGCGGGCAAAAAAGGGGACTTCTTGACACTTGCTGATTGGCCCATGACCGAGATGAGGAAACAACCACGACGCGACGCGTCTCCCACATTTCTCAAATCACTAACTTCCTTCCTTCCTTCCTTCCTCCCCGTTGGACATCAATTTACTAGTGGAAGCACATGTTAATGATTTTCTTCGCAGCAAACTCCGCATATCGCTGTTGCAGTTTGCGGGCTGCTCTTTTTCGTCCCACCTTCTCCCCACCTTTGATCACATCGCACTCCCAACGTCCTCGACCGAAGCGGGACAGTCTTCCGCTGCGGTGCAGCCTACCGACACGATGAACAAGCAGGGTCGGTACTACTGACGATATCTTGAGCCAGGCGGAAGTAGCATGGCAAAGTCATGCTTCCGCATGGCCTCGTACTATCGTCAGTCGGTGTACGATCCGTTGATGTAGGTTCCGCTTCAGCAACCTTTGACTTCCGTCGAAGATTTCCTTCTTGTTGTAGCAGTATAAGTTCTTTCAGGACTTGAGTCTGAGGTCATTTCTATTCGTTCCCCGAAGTTTTCAAACTCCGTGAACCATCGAAAATGGCGCCCAAACGGAAGATCCATCTCAATTTCTTTGAGATGGCTTACAACAATGCACACATGGGTCTTGGGATGTGGAAGTAAGTATTTATTCTTTCTGATTAGTTTCTCTAAGCTAACTCTCGTGACAGGCTCCCTCAAGATTCTCAGCCGACCAAGGACAGCCTGGAATACTACATCTGGCTTGCGAAATTGGCAGAGAAAGGCAAGATCACTGGGATTTTCTTCGCAGATGTCTACGGAGTGGACGACACATTTCCAGGTCAATTCAAGGCACAGTTCAAAGCTGGCGCAAATTGTGCTCAGATGGATCCGATCGTATTTGTCAGTGCCATGGCATCGGTTACAAAGTCATTGTGTTTTGGAATCACTGGGAGTACATCTTATATCAAGGTGAGTTTCCGGGCCCAGTAGTAGCGTGCCTATTTTCTTCTTTTTCTTCTTCTGCCGAACGATACTAATTGTGCTATTCAGCCTTTTGTTCTCGCTCGTACCTATTCCACTCTTGACCACGCCACCAAAGGAAGGATAGCATGGAATATCGTCACCAGTTACTCGACATCTTCAGCAAAAGCGAACGGGAATGACAAGATCACGGCTCATGACAAGCGATACGAGAAGGCCCATGAATATCTAGACCTCGTAAGATACCACCAATATTTTGTGGAAACCCAGGATGTTTCACTAATAAATGAAGGCTGTGGGAAGGCTCTTGGGAAGACGACGCCAAAATGTTCGACCGTGAGACGGGTATTGCCTATGACCCTAACAAAGTTCACCGGGTAACTTTTCTGGGAAATCACCATAAGACGGCAGCTGTTGGAGCCTGCCACCCTTCGCCGCAGCGAACGCCTGTCCTCTTTCAAGCCGGTCAGTCCACTGCTGGAAAAGCCTTCGCAGCTGCAAACGCGGAGGCCGTCTTTGTCGGTGGAGGGAAGCCCTCGGATACTGCTCCATACGTCAAGGAATTGCGAGCTGCTGCCGCCTCGCATGGCCGAGATCCAAATCATGTGAAAGTCTTCCCACAAATGACACCGATCTTGGGACGTACAGTTGAAGAGGCGCAGGCAAAGTACGAGAAGTATAAAGCAATGGCTGACTGGGAAGGTGGAATTGCCAACCCGAGTCAGTACTTGTATGTCGACCTGAGCGCGTATCCCGTTGACGAGCCTTTTGATGTCAACTCGGTAGGAAAGTCTGACAATGCAGTTCATGCTATCATCAATACCTTAAAACGGTACGCAGATCAGGTAGTTACACCAAGAATACTGGGTGAGAATATGGCTTTTTGTGGATTTGGTCCGATGCCAGTCGGCACACCAGAAATGGTTGCAGATGTGATGGAGGATTGGGCCAACAATGCCGACATTGATGGCTTCAATATTGCTTGTAAGAACCCTGAAACCCCAATAAAGCTCGGGTTACTGAACAAATAGATGTCTCCAATCCCGAGTCTTACGAAGATCTGGTCGAACTCTTAGTTCCTGTTTTACAAAAGCGCGGTCTGATGTGGGACGACTACACAGTACCCGGAGGCACCTACAGAGAGAACCTCCTCGGTACGCCAGGACAACCAGGAGTGCCTGAAGGTCATCCTGCGAGACAATTTCGTTATGATAACCTAAAAGAAAAGTATGCAGATGAAAATGGCGATATCACGATTGATCGGAGGAATGCGGCGCAGGAACCAGAGGTAGAGACAATAATTACTACATTGAACGATACAACCCTCAATGAACAGCCAACCTTGGTCAAAGCCTCGGCCTGAACGGATGCCAAGGTTGACTTGGTGTCGACAAAGTCTGCCATGCACTGGATTATGACAAGGGGACACCATGCTGACCAACTGCGGAGCCGGATGGAATTCGAATTTTCACAAGCATGTTGGCATTCAAGTGCAGTGGCATCTACTTGTTCATCCTCAATAGTGTATTCAGTCCTTCGAAATATCATGCATGTTGAGTGCTGTTTTGTAAGGTGATTACTTTCCAGCAGTAGCTCCCAGAGGTTTGATTTCGAACCCAGACAGATCATTCAGTCTTGTCTATCCGACGTCACATTGCCTAATATTTGCTAAGTGCTACCCAACGCAAGCGATTCCAAGCATGAGAATTCCATTAAGACAGCAGTGGAAAGCTACACACCTCCAGCGACTATTACTTTCAGTGTTTTTATTTTGATGGTTCTGATTGTATTTTGGGTTATCTCTTATTCGACTCAGCCTCTCTGCATGTGACTTGGTGTGCATGCCAATCAAAAGCAACCACGAATCGACGCAGCGAGATTTGTCAAGTGGCACTTCAAATAAGTATAGCGACGCTGCTGCTAAGAATGCGACAGGACCGAGCAAGATACTCATATTTGTGTCACTAGTAAGACAAGCAACGATGGAGGATGACAACGGAACCTACGAGTATTCGAAGATAACTCAATCAGGGACTATAAGACTCATTCTGCTTCATCCCTCGGATGACCTGGAGGCTGGGCTAATCTGTTCACTTATCGATGCACGCTTGCAAGAATGCGACGACGATGTTGTCGAGCACTATATAGCTATATCTTATGTTTGGGGCAAGGCTGTTGAGAACAAGTCGGTTCTCGTGGATGGAAAATACCTCGAGATCACCGCTTCACTGGATCAGGCTCTCCGGCATGTCCGCGATCCAAGCAGAATACTGCGCATCTGGGCTGATGGCATCTGCATCAATCAAGGTGACGTCCAAGACCGCAATACGCAGGTCGCTATCATGGATTCCATTTATGCGACTGCTCGACACACAATAATATTTCTGGGCCCATCCTATTCCGAGCATGAACTGTTCCTCCAAAAGATGGAAGCTCTGAGTTTATCACGGGAATCAAGTGACAAACAGGCGGATTCAGGGTCTCCACAGGGCATGCTTGAGTATCCATGGTTTGGGAGGGTTTGGATTCTACAAGAATTGGCACTATCACCAGATCCGAGGGTCCAGATTGGCCGTGTTCGTGTACGGTGGAATCATTTCTCGAAAATGATAGAAGGAGAAGCTGTCACCGTGCAGTCATTATCAACTCGTCGCAAGCTCTTTCACGAGATGTGTCAGATAAGAGGCAAGCTCCAGGGTAGAATGTATATGGGGGCAGAGAGCGAATTCAAGATCACTATTCTCGATGTTCTTCAAGCCAGGCGAGGTCTTGGTGTCACGGATCCGAAGGATATGATTTATGCGCACTTGGGAATCTCCGAGTCTCAACTCAAGTCACACATTACTATCGATTACTCCAAGTCAAAAGCACAGGTGTACGAAGAAACCGCTCGGTATATCGATAATAACAGCGACTTCTTCTCTGTCCTTACCCTTGTGGAAAAGGTGGATTTGCACACTCGCTCAGGATTGCCGACATGGGTGCCGGATTGGTCAGTTGAACTAGAATCTATGTCGAATAAAGCACGCATTCCAATCAACACAACATTTGGCACAAGTCCTCCAAAGTTTAGATTCACTGAGATACCAGGCGTTCTTGTTGTCCCAGGCTATCTTACTGGAAGGATTGCGTACATCGCTTCTGAGGAGCTCCTGAGTGACCTTGTGAAGAGGCTCGACAAACTATATCTTGCAACTGATCAAGCAAGGGCCATATTGGAGTTTTTACCGACAACGGAAATGCAAGGCGTCATTGAAGTATTACTCACATACTGCGCTTACTACTACAAAAAGTGGTCGAAGGATTTTGTCGGGACAACCGCACATCCTAATATTACCACAGAGGAAGTGAAAAGCTACTTAGAGGACTATCTCAAAACTAATCCAAATTGTATATCGGAACATGTTGCCAATCTTCCAGAGACGACTCGAAACATTCTCGATGAGAGAGCAACTGATTCACGCGTACTACTCGGATTCCTTGTCCAGATGACTTATGAACTATCCGTCCAAGCCAAACATGAAGACAGATTAGAGAGTGGAAGCCGGCTAGCATTGGCCCAGAAAGGCAAAGACATCAAATTCTGCTTTGCACCAGCACATTCTTGCGTCGGCGATCTCATTGGAACCCACTTTAGCCGCAAGGATATTTTTCTCTTCCGCCGCGATGAACAGGAACCTTCACCAGCGAACAAAGTTCTAATAAGGCAGTCACTAGGTGCTGAATTCGAGGAGGCCAATAATTATCCCTCGCTTGACATTATATCCTGCACATACGTGGGTTGTGGCCCGATCCAATGGCTACGCGAGTCAGAACGTATGGGAAGACCATATTATGTCTGGGCGTCTCCAAGGCCGGACTGTCCAGATACTCTGTTCGCTATTCATTGAAATATCAAACTCCTTGATAGTCTCAGGATATGAAGGACAACGCAGATTTTCGAGAAGGATGTTATGGGTGTAATTTCTCTGCTTCTCAACGTATAAGGTATCTGCTGTGCCATTTCTCTGTATACTGATGCTATGTGAACTTAAAGCCTCCAGTTCGACTTGGGAAGAACCCAGTCGGGTCTACGCTCTGTTGAATAGCCTTCAGTTTTATATACCCATCATTCTCATAGCTCTGCAGAGGCATTTGGTCATACATAGCATCATTCATGAAAATTGGGTTGTACTCCTCCTCTTCCAAGTTTCCCGCCTCAAAGTGAGTGTTTTTAATTCCAGCATATACTGTTTTGGCATATTCGTCAATGGTGGCTGTGATATTCATCGACATTGCGTGAGCATCATCATCACCCAACGCTGTCAACCAGGAAATATCATACTCCATCCACATTCGGTCTCCTTCAGCTGGATTCATGCCTAATGCATTACCTCCAGCTGCGACTGATTCAGCGGGAATGATGTAGGGCATGGGTTGAAAGGCAAGGCTGAAAATGAATCCTGGGTGGAGAATACCTTCCGTCATAACGTAATTTCTCCATTCATTATAGTGATAGTTGTACAATGCTTTCCCTGTAGCGTTCGGAAGGTTTGGAAGAGTGGTGGCCTATACACAATTAGCTATTTAGATGGCATCCATGTTCAACGAATCCGGTATTCTTACTCGAATTAGATATCTCAATCCATAGAGGTTGGTGCCATCATCGCTGTTGATCTACAACTCGGGTCAGGGGCGAAAAACCTCATATCAGAGTGATGACCTACCAAGTCATAATAACTTCGAGTTTCCGTGCCGTCAGTCAAAAACGGGATGGCATTAAATTCGTCGAAGATACCGGCGGGCGCAGTGGGCCCATCGTAGAAGAAGAACACAACAAAAATTTCCAGAAGACTGTCGATAGCTATCTCTCCAGTTACAATCACAGCGGCTTTCGGATCTTTGTCGTAGTTCTCGTTGAAGTTCTCCGTCGCGTTCAAAAGCGCCTCTGCTTCGGTTGCAGCATACGATCGGATGCCGCCCCAAATCTGGCAAAATCAGCCTGGAGTGTTCAGGTTACGTCTGCCGTTGTCACAAACCTGACCGATCGGATGGGTCTTCATGGTGAACTTCGTTACAATTCCTTTTTGGATGTCAACGTGAGATCCGTTTCGGAGCGATGGAGGGAATCATACCAAATTGATTTCCGCCGCCTTTCAGCGCCCAGTATAAATCGGAATTGCTAGAGGCATTTGCATTGACAATGGAAGCGTTCGCAAGAACAACTTCGTAGTTGATGACATTGTCACAGACCAAGCCATACTCAGCGCTAAGAAAGCTCAGCCCGCCACCAAGGGTGAGTCCACCAACACCAACATCGCCTGATTTTACATGGTCAGCTTCACAAGATTTTGCTTCCTCTAGGAAATCATACTTACCAAGACGACCACTCACAACCGTCACTCCAGTCCCATCCAGCGCTTCTGCAACCTGAACCCATCTTGCGCCTGGCCCTATATCTGCCGTAGTTGTATCTTCTGACAAGACAGTCGATGAGAGATTGCTCATAGAAATGAGCACACCGCCCTCGACGGAAGAATAGCCAACATTGGGGTTATGGCCGCCACTTTTCACTGCAAAGGGAACCCCAGTATTATTTTGGAGGATAGAAACAATCTGGGATACTGCTAAGGCAGAGGTAGGGTATACTGCACAGGCCGGTTGCAAGTCAGCGTTTGCGGCGCTCCAATAATGGCTCTGTGCATCAGTCCATTGAGGGTTAAGTGCGTCAGCCAAAGTCAAGACTTCTGTGCCAGTTGCAGAGATAGATTGACATGCTGCTGTGGCATTGACTGAAGATGCCGCTCGAGTGAGGGGAAATGATAATGCCAGAGCGCTGAGCAAGGAATGGCGGACGTTGACACCCATTTTGGGTGACCTTTTCTTTTACAGAATTATCTATACAAAGGAAGGACACGAGATGTATAAATGGCATTGGCTTCAATCACCAACCATGAGCTCCAATACGCTACGAAGCTCAGCTCGCAGAAGTGTCTCGAAATAGCATGTGCCGATGAGAGTATTCCATGACCCCGCAGGTCGAGTAGTTAAAGAGACTATCAAAGAGTGCACGAGGAAGGGCTGCACGGCGTCTTACTGCCATTTGTAGGAAAAGATCAGCAGAAATGTTCAACGGACAGGCATGCGGTGAACGAAAGAGACCAACGCCGTTCTGACCTTAATTAATGATGACAACCTTGCCCTTACAGAATGTCCTGAACCGAGCCGCGCTGCCCAGCCCAGCCCAGCCTGGTTCAGTTCGGTACTGTATCCGATTTAAGGACCTGGACGACATCGAAATGGTCTCGGATAATGGATTTGTTGGCAATTCGTTGGCACCAATAGCTTCTAATCAGGCAAAAGCACATTTGGTGATGCCTGAAAAACAGTTTCGTCATTCCATAGTTGTTTGATCTCTCTGTGCTCGTATCCTTCCGAGGATGCCTCTATTCGATTTTTTTTCTCGTGTCGTATCCGTCTTTCCTGGCAAATATGAGTGGACATACCTCCGCACATGGAACAATGCTTGAGCATTGTCATCCGAAAATCTTGATCTTCGAGGTTTTAACCGAGGAGAGCTCGCTTGGAGGCTAGCGTTACCACCCCACGGGGCCACTTCCCCACTGTGCACCTTGGCGTTGCTGATCTCTGATCGACTCTGCAATTTCCACATCTACCGAACCGAGCGAGCAACTTTCACCCAATTTTCATGTGAGATGAGGCAAAGCATTTATTACATTGAACATTACAAAGTCTGGTAACGACTGCTTCTTGGAAGTTGTCCGTACTGTAACCGAGGTGGAGTGCCGGCATGCATATCTGACAGTCCGGTGTCAGTCCCTTCTACTTCTCCTGCTCTGCGCTTCCCGAACCTTTGCCAAACGCTCGGTTTTTGAATCCTTCTCTCGCTCAGCCCGCTTTCTATCTTCCACTGCGTAGTGCGCTATCTCAACTGTAACCGGTACTGCACCCTCCTGCCCATGAACCTCCATCAAGAGGGCGAAGATCGCTTGGCCATCTTGTCCCAGCCATGAATTCCATTGCTTCCATTCCTTCATGTACAAGTTTGGCCCCCAGCCCTTGAATCCTGCTGCGAGTTCTTTTGCTACTTCGGTCGACTTGCCAGAGTATTCGCTGAGGACCGCTGCAATCCAAGCTTGACATTGGGAATTTTTCCATCGCCATAATGGGGTTGTGGCAGCTGTTATGCTCGTTTCGTCGTCTGGAATGGATGATACTACAACTAGAACAGGTGCTAAATTGTTATTTGCAGCTGGTGGCCTTGAACCGATATGGGCTTGTGGTGGAATCGGAACATCTGATGAGACAAAAGTCGATGCCGATAGGTGTGGTGGAGTAATTCGGGACTGTGATGTAGTTGATTCATGGCTTAGCACGAGCTGGTCCCTCAATGCTGGGTGAGCTGAAAGTTCTGGCGCATCGTCTTTGTGCAATTGATCGGAGCTTACAATTGTCCTCCTTCCTGGCTCGTAAGGTGGTGGTGCTACATGCTCAACCTCTCCTGGTCGAATCCTTATTCGACGAATCCCTGAGCACGTGCTACCCATTCTGGGTCGCGGTGATGGAGAATCATGAAATACCAGAATCAAATCCTTGAGGCGGAGGACGTATTTCAATGATCAGCTTTCCTCCTCTTTGGGAGAGGTATCAATCTTTTGATACTCATTGAGTGTCATTGATAAATGCTCACACCAAGAATAGATAATCCTTGTCCCGCGTTGAGTGTCACGAACCACCCCCCTTAATGTAAAGCACGTGATCTCGTTTCTTCTTAATGAGCTGTCAGCCTACCCTATCCATGTAACAGCTCTAATTGTATCCGAAAAGCCTCATCAGTTACATGTTGATAGCCTTGCGTACGACTGCCTCACTTCCTGTTGCTCTTCTCCTAGCCTACCAAGACCTTCGATCCCTTCTGCTGCCGGAGTTCACTTGGAGGGTGCACACCTGCAACCAGCGCTTTATGGCTGCTCCCCGTCTCTTGTAGCAACCACCAGTATTGGACTCTGAGCAAACCGTCTCACGAACACGTGTGGCTCTTTCATAACTTCAGGTATGTATAGGCTACATATCGGAGTTCCATAGCTTGAGTTCATTCCGAGATCCATGCTCAATAACAGGAGAATTCATGATTCCGTCCACTTGCTTCTAGCATTGCTAACCTTTTCTATTTGAGCAGACACGGGCTTATTTGGAGCTCCCGGAGTCCCGTACAGACTTGAGTAGAGTTGCGTTTGCTTCGGTTAGGTGAGGACAGAAAGATGGATTTTCGTGGGGTGATTGCGATGCATGGTACAAGCCGATTGGGGAGAAAGAAGATTATGATGCACATCTTACATTGGAGAGTTTATTGGATGGATTTTCGTTCGAGCTGGTCCCTCTCCTAGGCAATATTTTCCAATAAGATGCTTTGGAGACGGCCAATGCCAAGTCACAACCTCACTGTACCTCCTTCCAAGGATCGTGCACTCCAATACTTCTAGGGACTGCACCCTTTTCTCTCTGCAAATTGTATATCAACATGCATACAGAGTGTGCTTTGTGCTTGTTGCCAAATATCATTTCCCAGTTCCGGATCGTGGTAGCAAATAACGAAGGTCCAAATCCTTGGAACTTTGCCGCAGCTTTCTCTCCATCGACCTCATCGTATCCCAAATACCATACACTAACTGCTGTAATCCACTCTCGGCATTGTTTATTGGTCCATGTCCACTGAGATGTCTTCGAAGCAAGTTCTTCGTGTCGGTTCGGTTGCTGTCTCATTCTTGCGAGACTCTTGAGCAGTCCCTTGTATGATTTGGCGTTGGCGCTTGCGGATTTTTGGCCCTCTTTGCCGTCTCTGCATTTCTCGACGGAAGCTTCCTTGCTCTTTTCCATGGTTGGCTTTGTGGATGTCGAAATCTCGTGCTGTTCGCTATAAGCAGGAGGTATTTGACTTGGAAAAAAAACATGCTTCTGTGCTGAGTTTGGACGTTCGGACATTGGAGATGAGTTGCCAACGAGTGAGGTAGTAATTGTTCAAATGACAGCGAAGGCAGTCCAAATATGGGGAACCTGATAATTGAATTCGTGGGGAAGCTAAGAAATTGACCTGCCAAAGTGGTCATCACACGAATGTCGGGCCCTTCTGGAGCAATTCTAGATCGATTCTAGCTGCGATAGCGCGTACTAGCACCCATACTTATGAGTTGAAAAGGTATGACTTTTCCTGATGGTAAGACGTCATGTAATGAATACGATGATGTACTCCATAGCAGGAATCCCCACATTGGAAAAGTAATTGTTTGAAGGCATAGAGCTAGTCTTGTGATATCCGACCGATGTGACCCTTCCAAAATGTGAAAGCTAAAATCATTGCAATATACAAGCAGCAATATTTCCTCGCACGCGCTCACCCAAAGAGTACTTTAAAGCAGTCTAGTCAGGGACGGAACATCCAATCAGAAGGATTGAACAAGATCTCGAACTCCACGGCCTCAAAGGTACCAATCGCTGCATAGATGTCGTTGTATCCTTCCAGTCCTATAACAGGCAGGTCTTGCTCCGCGTCTCCTTCCTCGTGTAAGTTCCAGCCACCGTCTTTCATACCATTCCTCGTGAAGAATATCTCGACATTGATCGGTGTTTGAACTCCGGATGGAGCGGCATCATATGATGGTGGAGCATTCAAGTCTCTGGCTGTGAAGGACATTCCAATGCCCACGTTTTCTCCAGGTTTAAATGGTTGTGTGAAGTCTTTTCCACCCCAACGATCATTGATATATTTGCTTCCATCATCACCATGAACGGCCAAGCAACCCCGGTGCCAACCAGGAAGTCGAAAGGTAGGGTAAGGAGAAGCACCAAATCCCATCGCAAGACTGACTTCTCTTCTATTTCTCTTCGCGATCCTGACCTCGTAGTATATTATTTTGCTTTTCCCTGTTCTCATAGGAAAATGTGCCATGACAGAATAGAGTGGAATCGTAGAGGTAATGCAAGAGTCTGGACAACTTGACTTCGTCTTTCCAGCCCAAATTCCAGGTCTTGGACGATCCAATGTGCCTTGATAATTGCGAGGTGTTATGACTCCGATATGTCCTTCAGCCAGTGCTTCGAGAGCTGCTTCAGGGAAGGTGATGGGCGCGGTCATAGTATTTCGTTTGCACCATTCTTCACCCTGTTCCGCTTCCCTTTCCGTCGCATTATTTGTAGAGCTTCGCTGGTTTCCCGAGAAGAATGAAGGTGGAGGTGGCAGCAGAGAAGTATCCGGCACGGCAGTCTGCCAATCGTGTTGAGGTTGTTGTGAAGGAGGAGGCCCTGGGGGAGGAGCATAATCGTCCTGTCTGTTTGGAGGAGGGCCCGCGGGAGGACTGTAGCTATCGACGTTCGTGTGCGATGGTGGTGGGCCAGGTGGCGGAGCGTAATTTTCCTGTGGCATTTTGCTTGAGTTGCTCGGAGCTGGAATTGATTCAAGTGGTCTTGAGTTGGGGTTGGAGTCTTCCTGTTGGGCCGAGAGATCCTCTGCTCTCGATTTGCTGCCGAAGCACATTAGGAGTACGACTGAATGAAAACTGAATTAGAATCTTTACTTGACCTTCGAACGGGAGACATATGACCCTCTTCTGATGTCACAGGGCAGTGCAGTGCTCGCCTTCAGCAATGCCCGTTCGCTCTTATGTGCCAAGAGCGGCGGAGGCGTATTTGAGATGTAAGGCGGGAAGCTGTGGCAGAATTCCCAAAAAGGTCCAACAGCATCTGTAACAACGAGCAAGCGAGCCGAGCGGCTGAGGACCCAACCAACTTTAAGGTTAATCTGATCTCCCGATGACACGATATTCAAAGTTGGATTGCACGTCCGCCGACATCAGGATTCTTTCTCGTGTTCATTGCAACTCCCGACAATGTCTTGTTGTTGATTTGTCCTCCCTTGAACTATTAAGTCGACTTTCAATTTCTTCGCGAACTAGTCTCCTGGAGGCATATCGGGCCACCACCTTATGACTGATACCGTCGAGCTGAAGTACTAGCTCGAACTCGACCCCAGTGTAAATAGCATTGTCCTCCAGCCTTTTCATCCTTCGCCATGATAGATACTCAACAAGATATGCCCAAGCGCTTTGCCAACTACCCTCTTGCAGTTGAGGCCCCCAAAGTCCCGTACAAAAAGGAAGATGATGCGAATCCCGTCTTCTCAGGCCGACTACTTGCCATTGGAGCATGGCTGTGAGACTTCTGTTCCGCTTCAATTGGGCTCAAACTAATGAGAACCAGAATTACCAAGGTCCAGCCTGCTCAGAAATACCTATGGCACAATGCTGGATTCGACGGTTTGAGGAAAGTTCCTCACCTTCGTGATTACACACCAAGATATGATGTAACTGATCCTTCTACCCTATATAGCTATCATTAATATTTATAGCCTACCGTCATTCCACTGACAGTTTCAACGCCACATGATCCTCTGCAAATCGATCCGCAGTTCTTCCCAAAACAATCGCAAGACCTGCCGGGACGTTACTATTCGATTATGGACTATCATGAAATGTACTTATCCGGGCAATTGACACCCTTGAACGTTGTCGAGTACCTGCTCCCTATCATCAGAAGAGATGTCCAATCACCCAGTCATCACTCGATCGCCTTCATCGACAGCAAAACAGATCTCATTATGGACGCCGCCAAAGCATCGACGGAGAGGTACAAAGCTGGTAAGCATCTGGGTATCATGGATGGAATCCCCACTGCGGTTAAAGACGAAGGTGACGTCGCTGGCTACAGGACTACAGGAGGTCGGAAGAGAAATGACGAATTCTTCAAGATTGCGACGAAATCGACTAGACCTGCGCAGCTGCTCCAAGAATCCGGTGCTATCATTCTTGGAAAGCTGAACATGCATGAGCTTGGTGCGGATACGACTAACAACAATCCAAATTGGGGAACTCCACGCAATCCTCACAATGACCAATACTATACTGGCGGGTCTTCAGGCGGGTCTGCCTACGTCGTCGCAGCCGGCCTCGTGCCGTTTGCTCTTGGTGCAGATGGAGGCGGAAGTATTCGAATTCCATCATCATTCTGCGGTGTTTACGGCCTGAAGCCATCGCACAATCGACTTGAAGATACAGGAAGTACTGTCACTGTCACTGGACCACTGGCTGCAACCATGGCAGACCTCGAAATGGCATATCGAACCATGGCAGTTCCAGAACCCAAACATCCTATATCGTCACTATTTGCCCCACCTGGTCCTTTGACCATGGAACTTGACCCTAAAAAGACCAGATATATTGGCTTGGTTGACTCGGAGTGGATACGAGCTGATAATAAAAGCTCAGCGTGGAGTAATGCTATGAGTCACCTCGAACGGCATGGTTACAAACGCGTTGCTATTGACCTGCCATATCTTCCTGAAGGACAACTCGCACACGCGATGACCATTCTCTCCGAGATGACAAATGGGTCTCGTTCAGATCCCATGTATCCTAACAACTGGTTCAGTGGCTTGAATGCTGCTAATAAGGTCCTTCTGGGAGTTGGCGATCAAACTCCTGCTCAAGATTTTCTTCTCGCCCAGCAGCTACGGAACATGCTGATGCAGCACCTGGCATTTCTTTACAAGAAGTATCCGGGTCTACTCATCATAACTCCAACTACACCGATGTCTGGCTGGCCGATTCGTAAGCAGGCGGATTTGACGCATGGCATTACGGACGGCAATACTAGCATTCGAAGCATGCAGTTCGTATGGCTGGCGAATTTCTGCGGCAACCCCGCAATTACTGTTCCTTACGGCTATGCCGAACCTGTAAAAGGCGAAGGCAAAATTCCACTAGGACTGATGGCTATGGCAGAGTGGGGCGGCGAAGATGAACTACTCGCCTGGGGTCGAGTCATGGAGAAATGGCTCGGCCTCTCAAATGAGGGCACTGATGTTATTGGTGGCGGTGGAAGAGTGAGACCATCAAACTGGGTAGATATTCTTGTAAATGCTCGAAAGAAGGTGGCGACATGAGAGCTCGAGATGCTGTGAATAATTGTAATTTATTTTGTAGTATTCAGTTTAAGAATATTCAAAACATACCCCAACTCCATATCAATTCGGCGATTGATGAGGAGGAATGGCCTCGAACTATCATAGCCCACGGACTAGAAGGAACAAGTATCACCCGGTCCACTCGGCCTCTATGAACCACATTCGACTCTTCTCTGGCTTCCATGCTTTTAGGAATTTGTATCTTTCATCCGCTTGTTTGAAGAGCTCAGCCCAATCATCCACTTCTCGTTCTCTGGCATTCACGGTGATCTGCATGAACAAATCCATAGTCCTGTCACTTATAGTCAGCAGAATGTTCTATGAAGCCTCTGCCCCCGGCTATTCCCTCGGTATGAAAGCAGGTCATACCTCATACTTTTCTCCTCCACATAACCTGCTGTGCCTGGTTCGGGCAAAGTTCCGTCATTTATCACAATCTTGGCCCCCGTCTTCAGAGCTGGAGTAAGTGCTTGCAGGATCTTGATGCAATACTTCTCAGAAAAGCCATGAAAGATCCATCTGAAGAAGTAGACTTGCGCGTCTACAGTTTGTGGAGTAAAGAAATCGTGAGTTGTGAGTTGGACTCGATCAGTAAGGTGCTCTGGTACTTTGGCAATTGTTGAAGACACTCGCATGCCAGCTGTATCCTGGACGATGAAATTGAGCTTAGGGAACTGTTCAGCTATTGCGAATGAGACATAACCTTGGCTTCCGCCCATCTTGTTCAGATCATCAGCCATGAATTCTTGAGGAAGGCGACGAGTCAACTCACATCAACGACAGTTGCTTCGCCCAGTTCGCCCCAAGGATATCCATTGACTGTATGGCTAATTGCAAAACCCTCTCCGCCACCATGAGCTTGCATAGCAAGGCCATACCTCTTCGCCAAGTCTTTGTCTTCTTGCAACCAATCGAACCAGTTGGTGTCCGTCCCGTAGGCGAGATTGACGCTTGTCTCGTTACTTTCCCCACTTCCAGGCCACTTCTTCATAGCCTTCACAACGTTGGCAATGGGAAGCCACAGATCGTTCGTCATGAAGCCAACCCAGCTACTGAGGGGCAGATCCTCGAGTAACAAACGAGAAGTGCGAGTATGTGCTACGAAGCCTTTCTCTGGTTCGTGGAAGATGTGATTTGTCATCGCATGGCGAATTACTCGGCGAAGGTTCAACATAGGTACATTGACTTTTTCGGAGAGATCTTGGTAAGAGATTGAACCAGACAGTGGAACTGCTTCAGCCAATTTGAATTCATATACTGCTTGGAGCGAGAGTTGATTCGCAGACTAAAAGGTGTTAGACGCAGTCCAACTAAGAATGGGGCTTCCTCACATCCCATGCTAGATATCGGAGACCTTCTTTTGGGCCAAGAGATAAGTCATGGAGCTCCCTCGTAGCCGCGATGAGAGCCAATCTTGCCTTGAAAGCTTCCTCATCACTAGGGTTTATAGGGAATTCAGCTAACCCATCGACATCGAATGACGCAGCCTCGAGGCCTTTCTCGGATAGGTAATCCGTGACAGTTTTGCTGTTCTTTGAGATCTCATCTGAGAGGGCTGTGATTCTCTTGAGGGATGACATCGCTCGTTATGTTCCAGATACTGGGGTCGGATGATCAACTTCTTGCTTTCGGACGAAAGAATATCTCGGTTCCTCAAGATCCGGGGTCGCAGTTCCACGGGAGCGCTCGTGTTATCTGAAGTTCCACTGCATTGGATGAGAACATAGAAGATTATTGGTTCATGAAACAGCTGCATGGGACGGCAAGTCTAATAACGCACGATGACTGAGTGATTGGATCTTGTGGAGCCTGTGTTTGTGCTGCAGAAAGTGGCTCCACGCTAGACGAGGGGAAATTCGGAGATTGCTTCTTCAAGTTAGCGGGCTCTGCCGTTCGAGTCTCCCCCTCTAAATCGAAATAGTGCGAGTGTGGTCCTGTCAAGCCGGGGTAGATTGGCCGTAGCTCCAGCTGTGGGTTGTAGTTGTTCTTTTTTCGTCTCCATAACTTCATGTGTCCTGTGCCTGGAGTCAAGAGATGTCGCTGCACCTTAATCGGCAGAGATTGTCGGGAAAAGATAACCTTATCCATGTTTGTAAACAATAGCTAGTACTCGAATGATCGAGGCAGTAAACGACATCCAGTGTTCGAGCTCAAGCATTGAGAGGCTTTTGGCCATATACAACATGGAATGGAAGATACGAATGTGTGCTCGCATCCATCAAGCTCTTTCTGACATCCACCAAGAACAGCTCCACCTCTTCTGGTGTCCATTTGAGAGCCCGTGTGAACGGGCCCAAAGCAATTCCTTGTAATCCATCGTAGATGACACTCCTCAAATATAGCCCTATCAATTTCATTGTCTTGTTTCTCGGCCATATGCCGAGGGGAATCTTGAAGACTTTCTCTTCAACATTGACGAAGCCCGCGTCGCGAAGCAATTCTGCATTGCGCCTCATAGCAAGCAAGTCGACACCAAATACTGCAAGCCCTTCCTTGATGAGAGTCAAGAATCTGTAAACGGTGTAATCGTCTTTCATAGTGCCGTCGTCGCATAGCGTTACGAATTCCAATTCTTGAAGCTCGATCCAGCCGCCGGGTTGAATATGACTGAATGAGATATCAGAACACGTATTCATCATATATGGTAGCACTCACTCATATGCTTCTGTCAAAAGCTTAGGCCACTTCTTTATAGAGGAGTTCATATGCCTAATGTGAATAAAGTCGAAAGAATCGAGTGGATGTAGCCAACGACTTTCTGCATCGTCCACCATGAACCTGACGTTGGGAGGCACCCACTGTGAGCTGGATCAGTAAAGTTGTTTTCATGTGGGACAATCGAGAAGTATGTGCAGATTACCAACATTCTGCACAATTATCTCGGATAATAGGAAGAAAAGGTATGCTTACCGCAGGTTGAATTGGACTCAGATCAATACCCAAAACCTGGGCACTTGGATATTCGTCACCCACTGCGACACATTAGCAACTGCTCTTCTTTGTATATGCCACATGATAGTCCTACTATCAATAGCCCAGATTCCAGTCCCTGTGCCGACATCAATGATATTCTGCGGATTCTCCAAAGGGGCGTAGTGCAGCTTCCCGCCGCAAAGGTTCACGACCATCGCATGCTTCATGTCCTCTCTTTCTTGTTCACTCTCGTCGTTGGGAAATTGATATGTCCCTTCTCTGAATTTGTGGTATCGTCTGCCATTTTCAAATGCGAAGTCTCGTACAGAGGAAGAGATTGATGTCGAGGCACGGGACTCGGCGTCGGTTTCGTAGCCAGCGTCTTCGGAGTCGTGTGCGGCTTCGATCGTGGTTTGCGCTTGATGTGCGACGATGTCTGCTTGGGTCTGCTGGAATGTCGATTGTGCTGGAGCAGTGGGCGACTCGGTCGGCGATCTTGGGGACCGCTGCTGAGGTTCCTCAGCTTTCTGGACTGGGTCGATCTCTGCCATCGTCTAGAGCAGATCTGGTTGTCCCGACATTAACGTACATTGGCGGCTCGATGCTTGAGAGATGACTGATAGAAAACAATTCGGAAACCATCTTGATGGGCCACACTGTGGGCGAAAGATATGCCCCTGCTTCCTCAGCACGCCACTGAGTCTTCGAGCAGTGGGGCTGCATCAGCTGGGCTCAGCCTTGGAAATCAGAGCAGCGGTGAAGGATCTAAGCACTTCGAGCGTCATTTCTAGTCGATATGCAATGTTTTGCAGGTTGTTAAACTACTAAGACTTTTAAACTAGCAGCGGGCTCATCCGCAACTATTCCTGACGAACCGTCTCAGCCAGAGCCGCCCATAATTATAGTGAGGCCGACTAAGACTTAGCGGCCCGAGTCTCGATCAATTCACGTTTCTCAGAAGACACTACGTTATTCTGCTACATTTTCCCTCGTCGTCTTCAATTTGCCGTTACGAATGAAGTCTTGGTGTGTATCTCTACATAATGTCCATAATGTCCACAATACACCAGTGGCCCAAAGCTCCTATAACCAGACTTGAGATCATTGCCATCTCGACAGAAGTTGGCGGTTTCTGTTATTTCAAAGCAGCAGTGGCTGTCACGAGAAAGCAGAGGGCGATGGAAGTGAGAAGTCTCATTGCGACGGTACCACTTGCTTCGATTGAACGCTGAGATAGTTTATCGCTTGTGAAGATTTGTATGAGGATTTGGCCTCCTTTTATGTATCGTTTCTGTTTAACACCATGTTTCTAATGCTTGTGATTCTTACTCAAGTTTTGAATGGAGAGCATTGATGATGAAGGAACTAGTCAAGTGCTATGAATGCTCTGCACTCGGTAGCAATACATTTGCGTCGCATTATTCCAAGCTTTCACCCCCAACCCTAATGACACATCGACAGCAGGCAGATGGCCAACAAACCATACCAAATAGACCTCCAATAATGGCACCAATCAACCCGACTTCTGAGATGTCGCGCTTTCGCATTTGCATCTTGTTCTGCTTAGCAGGCAGCGTTGCTCGCTGTTCGTTCTTCAAGCCGGGCTCTGGTACTGAAATCTTGAATGGCGCTGAAGTTGGTGCTGCGTCCAAAGAGCTTGAGGCTGGTACTTGGAGACGGAAGGCCAAGACTGCTACAGCCAAGCAGCAAAGGGTGATAGTGATGAGGAGCTTCATTGTTGCTGTGGTTTCGAGGCTAATGTCTGGTTTTGTGCTTTGACTTTGGAACGAACAATCTCTGCTTCTACTTCGTTGTTGTATGAAGTACTTGAATAAGAGTTCCAAGGAGATATCCTCTTTATTTATAGCTGAAATGGCTAATGTTTTTGACTGTGTTTCTGGATTAGTTGTGAATGAGTATTGAGCGGTGCTAAAGTTTGTTTATAATCAGCTCATGAAAAGAGACATTAGTGAGTGGCATTTCAATATTATGGCGTGGTTTCCATGAATGAGATTCAAATATTGTTTAGAAAGCTCGTTCTTCAACTCATCGATAGATATGGTGATGAATTAAGATCAAAGTTGTGGCGTGCTCCGAGGAATAGATGAACCACGGTGCGTCTTTAAATACCCTTTTGCTTTGGGATACTATTTTGGCTTATCGCCCTCCATTCACACTTTGATTCAGAAGGCATCTTTACTTCCCAATCCTCTTTTCATCCACATTCTCCCATAAAGCTTCACCCACTTTCGTCTTCTCTCTCATCTCCCTGCACTCCCTCGAGCACCAGCATCTCTTAAATCCTATCATCTCCTCATGAAACCCCACCACGCAACAACCAGGAGGAACACAACCAAGAAACCTCCCGCCACGATACCGACAAAAACACCTGTTGAAAGGTCTCTTTTCTTCAATGGTGCTCCGCTACTACCAGAACTGTTTCTGCCACTCAGATTCGATCGGCTGAAGGTACCTGGTGTGAGAGATAGTGAGATTGGCTAGATAGAGGGTGCAGACTCAGGTTGTGAGGTGAGGGGCGAAGCGAGGATGCTTGCTGGGATAGAGGCCAGGAAGAAGGTGAGGAGGAGGAACTTCATTTTGAGGTGAATGATGGTGAGATCTGATCTTTTCTCTTGAAGTCCGAAGTAGTGAATTTGTGATAGCTGAGATTGTTTGATAGTGTGAATGAAAATCGAATGAGATAAGAGAAAAAGACTTTATACTCAAAATTCCCAGCACATTGATGGTCTTGTGAATCAGGTTCGGATCCGGAGTGAGTGGTGGTGCTACGGGTGATGAGAGTGAATAGGTTGTGCCGATGTGAATGGTAGCAACTTGCTGGCAATGGAGACCTAAAGTCGGAAGCTAAGAGTCTACACAGAAAGAAGAAACAGAAACCAAATCCACATCCTCTTTCAACTTCTGTAAAATGCTTAGCAAAGATTTAAAATCTTTTTCTTGTTTTTGCACAAAAATTTAAAAGTAGCTTTAGTTTTCAAACTTATCTGAAAAGATCTAACACGTCGCCGTACCCCGCCGCTAAAAAAATATTTAATATTCACTTTTCTCTTTCACTCCTCAACTCAATATACTCGTTTGTCTACTAATTCTGCGGGAAAGATTTTGTTCGAAGTTTCGGACTCCTTCGTGTTGAGTCGTGGTGATATGTTTATGCTAGGACTTCCGTAAAATGCTCAAAAAAAATTAAAAAAATCTTTTTCTTGTTTTTGCACAAAAATCCAAAGGTAGCTTCAATTTTTAAACCTATCTAAAAAGATTTAGAACGACACCGTACCCCGCCACCAAAAAAATATTCAATGTTCACGTTTCTCCTTCACTGCTGAACTCAATGTCCCCCGTCGCCTACTAATTCTGCGGGAAAGATCCTGATCGAGATTCCGAACCACTTTGTGTCGAGTCGTAGTGGTGTGTTTATGCTGGGACTGGAGTTTGACTAAGGGCAAAGAAGTTCGTTGCGGACAGCTCGGAGCTGTGGTCTTCCATGCTGCATTCTTCTCGTCCAATATCCTTCTCTGCCATCTCCTCAAACAGCGGCAACAAGCTGTCCCTCTCAACTCTCCTCTTCCTGCCTCTGCAAGCAAGTGCACATCCAACGCCGAAGAAAATGGCACACCCAACAATGAGCAAGATATAAAAATCGTGATCCATTTCGTACGACCAGATGTGTTTTGCTTCCGAAATAGAGTCTCTCTTGATATTCGGTGGACCCCAGCGCCGCTCCAGTCCTAGGAACTTCAGTGCCCCCTTCACGACTGGTTCCACGACTGGTTTCAGGAGATAGTCGCTCACGAGACTGGTGCCTGTACCAACTGCCATCCCTGCCCCAACCCCCACTGTACTTTGCGCGCCGCCCATGATGTGTGCGTTTTTGTGGTGGCTATGTATGAGGAATGGTAATTCTGCGTGTGTATGTTTGTCAACATGAAGGTATCAGAAAGAGAGCATGGTTTTTGGAAATGGTGTTGGTGGGATAGAATAAGTGAAGTCATGTGCGCGACGGAAGAGGAATAGATGGCTCCAAAATTCGAAAATTGGAGGGAGAACGGTAAGTGACATGACGCTAATAGTGCTATTCACAGATATACACTGGCTTCTTTCCCCTTCTGGCATCGTGCAAGTTAGGGCAAAATCAAGAAATAGTTCTGACGACTTTTGAAAAATTTGAGTTGGAAGGCGATTTGGCGGCGGCACACCGAGATTTCTGTGGAACTTAGAACTGAATGTGTAAAGTGCGAACGACTCTTTTCGAATGGGTGTGATAACTCGATTCGACAAATAGAATTTATCTATTGACATGAAACTAATTTGAGTCATGCGATGACATCGCCTCAAATTGAAGGTCCGTAGATTGATAATGGTACACGGTGGACAAGCTACAAGACATGATGGCAGGATATAAACTTGAGATCACTACCTTTCATATCTCTCGCCAGCATTTCCAAGGACACCAAAGAAAGAATCAAAAGTTGCCCTCTCATCCTCCCTCTCCTGCCCTTCGTCACCTTCGCTGGAAATCATCGTTGGGTCGTCTCTGGCATTGTGCGGATGGCATTGGACCGAGACATGGGCTCAACGGTGTTCGGCTTGGAGCTTTGATCACGATCCAAGAATGCTCCTTCCTTTTCTGGATCTCCGGTGAGGCACACCCTCTTCTCTTTCCTCGTTCCCAGTAGTATAATGAACAATGCGGTCAACAATACCACAAATAACAACATAAACAAGCCGATATGAGCACTGAAAATCCCTGCGTGTCGATCATCGGCTCCAGTCATCGGATCGAAAGATGTAGGGTCGAGCGAATAAAACTGAGTCGACGGCGGGGAAGGGTCGAAGAACCGTTTTAGAATTGTTGTTGAATTGTCCGCTTGGTCGATCGCTTTGGGCGGATTTTTCCCTTTTTTCACCGTTTTTACGATGAAAGGAGTTGAAAGCCAGATACCCATTTTGATTGAGATGAGAGACGGTTTAATTTGGATTGCGAGGAAGGTAGATTTGTTTGGAGATGCGGCTGTAAGGATCGGAAGCTCTCAATTTATAGTTGTGGCGCGAAAATGAAATTGAATTACTGAAAAAGAAGCAAGAAAACTTTTTTGTGTGGCTTTCCTTTAGGCTGGTATCGTGAAGTCATGAACTTGACCAAAAAGGAGACGGGTTCCAAAGTTGAAGATAATTTGGTCATGTGACATGCTTTTGGACAGAATTTCAAAATTTTGGTTTTCTTGAGCTGTGCATTTGTAAAGCGGTTTTCTTATAGACTGAGAATGTCCTTGAGAAGAATCCCTGAGCTGGTGCAAAACCTCGCATAATGTTTGAAACGCATCTCTAGCTGGATGATAGCAGCCATGAGCTCAAGGTACCGTGACGGCGGTTCAAAGACCTTGACTGAGATCTCACTTGTTTATGAATACTTTCAAAGATCGAGTGCTTCCATCAAATGGAATATTCATTCCGACTCTTTACAGATTATCAAGTACTGCCACTGTTGAAGCGCAACGAATCTGCTCGATCTTGAGACTCGCCAGATTATGAGTTTATCGATGTGCAACAAAAACCCTTCATTGTTGGGAAAGGCGTCAAAAATTCAAAGCAAGTAATGTGCGGTGAAATATACCATACTTGTAGAAAGATATCAAACAATCGAAGCACTTGCTTGGGGTGCTTGGGGCGGTGATCTGGTGAAGAAGAAATGATCCTCATATCTGCAGTCGAAAAACCTCAAAACTGTGAGGGACACTTCAGACATCCACGCCACGCACACATCAGATCTCCGTACATCATGCATATTAGATAACACAAACGTACAAAGCTGCAGTGCAACTTTCCTCCGATGTCATCGTTCCCAAGTTCCTTCTTATCTGATGCAGTGTTCCAGCGATGACGTTGTAAATTTCCCCTGTGGCTGTGTCACCGGACTTTGAGGCTAAATTGAACCAGCCACACTGAGCCACACTATCCGCCCTGAACTCAAAGTGAAGTGAAGCTCATTGCCGGATTCCGAGGCCGTGTCGATCAGCTCGAGACCACGACGGTGTAACTTGCACAGATGGATGATCATCACAACGAGAACAGAAATGTGACCAGATATTGGTACAAGACATTGGCCGGATGATGATGCGTTCTGTGTCAGACAGAGAGACAACCATCGACGCCACAAGAAAACAAAAGGCTCGAACATGATGTGGAGAAGGTTCTACTTGGCGATGGAAGTTTGATTGGAGGAGGAGAGGACAAGAAGAGAAACCTGCTTTGTTTTCTTGGCAGTGTCGAGGATCATTGTGTTCAGAAATTAGAAGTGGCTTTTCTTTAATACAGATTTTCTTGCGCGCTGAATTGTTGCCTCTCTTTCAAACTTCCTTTCATCTGATCATCTGGGTGTCGCGTGCTCACCTACTTCGACTGCCGACGCACTTCAAGGAGGTTTCCAGTCACGGCCTGTGGATGACATTCGAACCCCAACACCAACTGCCGCACCGCCTCACCATTCCTCACCAGCCACAACTCAATTCGAGTGCTAGTCCATTCTCCATTCACAGGGCTGCATCTTGTACTATCTTTATCACTTGGGACTTCGGAGAGATTTCCAAGCTTCCAACAATTCCCCAGCACGCGTTGTTGCGGCCAGTTGACGATACTGTCAGATTTCAGTGAGACATGCGTAAGTTATTCCCTGCTTTCCTTTCGCCTTATTTTTCTCTCGGCTTGGATGCACCTGGACGGCCCAAGCAGCGCCAATACCAACGGATTCCCAACGTTGCGTTGGATGAGCGAATCGGCATCACACCGTGACTGTGGATGTGTGTATTTGCGCCTTGGATCCCATATCTGGAAAGCTTCCCGACTTCCGAGCAAACCGATCGTGCACGACTTGTTTGCTGGTTACTGTACACGGCGTGGATGCTGGAATGGAGTCACTTCTGAATCACAACGACTCAACTTGCGCACCATCAGACAACTCTCATCCGACCTCCTGCAATCTGCATTCTGCATTCTGCCTTGGTCGAAGTGATGATTGTCCGCCACAACGACGCGTGGTTCTGTCGATGCGGCGTTGTTCATCGAATTGCAGCGGGCAGCAGGACGACTCCACTTCTTGGCAGGCTTGGCGGTCCCCATCTGCTCTCACCGGACTCGCCAGCGGGATGAAGCTGCGAACTGGCAAATCCATGAATTGTGCACATCGATTGTCATCAACTCCATCATCTCCATCCGGTCATACAGTAATACAACTATTCCCCAGTATCTCCACTCATTTCGGCTTACCAAAGACACGGAACCTCCTCGCACCGGCCCTCGCTGACTGACTTCAACTGCACTTCCCTGGCGCATTGGTGACCCCTGTAGACACGGGACAAACAAAGACGACCCGGGCTTCCAGTACTTGAAGCTCCCCCACCCGCGCCTTACTGCGACCTTATTTTCAACCTCCTTTCAACCCCACGCCTTCTGGCAGATCACCACCAGCCACCACCACTGCTTTATTTCATTGTCCACCTTGACTTCCAACGTCCCTTCTTCCTCCCACAGACACCAATTCCCATTTGCGTGTCTAACTACATCGATGAAGAAAAGTTCATCTGACTCTGAATCCTTCATAGATCGCATTCGCTCTTGGGCAAGAACCAAAGCGCATGGCCCCTCTCCACTCTCCAAAGACTCGAGCCGATCGACGACTCTCCCCTTAAGCAACCCCCCATCCAACAATACTACTCAGAACAGGTCGACCAACCTTCGAGATGACACAAACAACGTTCCTCCCTTCCCGTCGAGTGACCTCCATGGCATCGCCCGCCAGTCGTCGAAACCAACAGCCAACAACGTCGCCGACAATACCTCAGACGATCCGCCGCCGCCAGCTCCACCTCCGGAAACTGCTGGGGAGGGGACTGTCATAGAAGACGACGAACCCAAGAAACAGAATGTCGGGATGCGCTTTTGGTTTACTACAAAGGACATCCTCTTTTCCAGTCCTATCAACATATTACTGGTCTTTGTACCTGTTGGCATAGCTTCGTATGCAGCTGGCCTCTCACCAGGTATCATATTTGGAATGAACGCAATTGCTATCATCCCACTCGCAGGACTTCTCAGTCATGCTACAGAGAGTGTGGCGAAGAGAATGGGTGATACGGTTGGTGCACTAATGAATGTTACTTTCGGCAATGCAGTAGAGCTCATCATATTGTATGTTCTTCACCCTCCAACCTTTGACCCCAGCTAATCCTCTACAGCATGTATGTCTACCTCAGAAGAGATCAAGACAAGAAAGAGCGAGAAGCCCTCTTAAAGGCATTATCATATCAATCGAGTCCCATATCATCGGTTCCTTTCTTTTGTTCCCCATGCGCGTTTTCGTGATTTTCAAAAGACCCATGCTCACTTTGACTTTCCTCACCTACAGCATTGCTCTCGCAAAGGTTTGTGGTTTCTGATTCCTCTCTACTGGCCCTCACTAATGCGCCCAGGGTGAAATTCGTATCGTGCAAGCTTCATTACTCGGTTCCATTCTTGCCAACTTGCTCTTGATTCTAGGCATGTGTTTCTTGATTGGTGGACTTCGTTTCCGTGAACAGGTATGGACTCTTATTGGTTGAGAGGAGTTAAGCTAATAGCATCAGATCTACAACAGCACTGTCACGCAAATGAGCGCATGTCTACTCAGTTTGAGCGTGATGAGTCTACTGCTTCCTGTATGTTGACCTTGCCATTTATGAGACCGTGCTGACTTCATAGACTGCCTTCCACGCCTCGTTCAGTACTCTACAGGCAGACAAGGCGACAAGCGCTGTATTGAAAGTTAGTCGTGGTACCAGTGTTGTAAGTTTTATTCGCCACTGTACTTCAACTTAACTTACTCCTCTAGATCCTCCTTCTCGTCTATGGAATGTATCTTCTGTTCCAACTCAAATCGCATGCGTACATGTATGAAAGTACACCTCAGCATATCATCGACGAAGAGTCTGCTCCTGGTCCTGTAGCACAATGGATGGATTCATCCTCTGATGATTCGTCGTCATCGTCCAGCTCCGACTCCGATGGCTCCAGTGGTTCCAACACAACTGCAAAGCGCATCAAGAGAGTCATGAGAGGTGGTCGACGTCGCCGCAAGTCCAGTTTCGGATCCAAAGACACCGCCGATATCGAAGCAAGCCGCACACCCTCGTTCGGCAACAGCTCCATGACACCTGTCCATGCTGATCACTTCACCGACGAACCCACGTCAACGGGACATCGCTTTGGAGCAATCGACATAGCTGAAGATGGTGACGATGAAGATCCTCGTCGGAGCCGCAAAAGTTCAATCAGTAACCACGCCCTTACGAAAAAGGAACGCCGTAGAGAGAAAGAGCGAAAGCGCAGAGAGAAGAAGCAACGCAAGAAGGCACGCAGAAACGGAGATGATACCATAACCGAAGGCGTCGCCGAGAATAACGGAGTATTCAACGAAAAATCCCCTGAAGAAGCTGACGCTCCTCGTCGTGTCGACTTTGCCGTCGCTACCGCTGACCCTGGAAGCGAATACCAAACCGACACCTCGCAGAAACGCCGCTTCAACATCGCTAGTATCCGACCTGCTATCCCCAAGACGTTGTCACAGAATGTATTCAACACCCCTGCAGTTCCATCTCCCGCTCCACCATCTGGACCAATCCCTCGCGTCCGTTATGGAATCCGTCGCACGAATTCTCTTCCGGATCGCTTGAACGAAACTATGACACCCACGCCGTCAAATCAGCGTATCCAACCAACCCGTGTCGGATCCCTCGCTGTAGCAGAAAACAAGAAAAAGGACGGCGAAGAAGAAAACATTTCTCGCACGACCGCCGTTGTCCTGCTCCTCGTCTCAACCGGTCTAGTCGCCGTCTGTGCCGAATTCATGGTAGACAGCATCAACGCTGTTGTATCTGGCAACTCCGCGCTCAGTGAAACGTTCATTGGATTGATCATCTTACCTATTGTAGGTAATGCTGCAGAGCACGTTACTGCTGTTACAGTAGCAAGTAAGAATAAGATGGATTTAGCCATTGGTGTTGCAGTCGGATCTTCTATCCAAATTGGTATTTCCCCTTCCCTTCTCACTTTAACGCAAGCTAATTGCTTCCCACAGCACTCTTCGTAACCCCCTTCGTGGTCCTCCTCGGCTGGTGCATGGGCAAGGAAATGTCTCTCTACTTCACACTCTTTGAAACAGTCTCCCTCTTCGTCTCAGCCTTCATCGTCAACTTCTTGGTTTTGGACGGACGAAGCAATTACCTCGAAGGAGCACTCCTGTGCGCTGCTTATGTGATTATCGCTGTGGCGGCTTTCTTCTATCCTGCTGTGAGCGATCAGAGTAATCTTGGTGGAAACGCGGATGCGGCGAAGATGATGATTAGGAGTTTACTCCATATCTAGTCATTTACAGGGGAGAAGCGTAATGTGTGGGCGGAGGAATAAATTTCAATGTGCTAGGATGGTGTGATTGATGCAGAAATGGCTGATGAACTCGGTGTAGATGAGGATTTCAGCATCTTGCTTGCCATGTACACGCGGGATGGGCACCACACTCGTTTTGCTTCTTTGGCTGGGATTTGCTTTATTTGACTGGGTAATGATTGCTCTTCTTTCTTAACACATGACGTATGTAACTCGTTTATGGCTTCGATGTTAGGGCTATGAGGAATAATGGATATCGCTGTTTTTTTTTTTTGCATGATCATACATGCTTATGTGACTTGAATCGTTGAGTGTCCCTCATTTTCCGGTAGGGCTGAGTTAGTCGAGTGCTGGAGCGAGCTTTCTAGTCACTTGTTAAGACTTTGCCCTTTTTTCGGCTCACTAGGAGCTTTCTGTGGAGCGGAGTACTTTTCGATTACTGCTGTAAGACAAAAATTCAAGTACTGTACAGTCACTAAGTCCTATGGCATCACATCACCATTTTGAAACTACTACCCTTTGTGATACTCCATGAGTGCAAAGCAGCACTTCTAAACTTGACTTCAAACAAGAATTCATTGAGATTTACGCACTGCCCAAGTCTCGCGCCTGTTGCCATAGATTCAACAGATAAATTATTGCTATAATCTGCGAGCAAAGCAACTGTTGAATCTTTATAGGAGTACAGCAACATCCTTCATACCCGAGATGCACTTCCGTCCAGAGCAAATCTAACCAGTCTGTCAGTATCTGCTTCCAGAATCTTCGTGCAGGCTCCCAAATCCTCAATCCTCTTCTCCAAAATCAAGTACTCCTTCGACCAAGGCCGAAACCAATGCCTATCCATCACCTCACTTAAAACCGCTGTCGGTCCATCCAATCCATCAAGCCACCTCTTCAAAACCCCATAATAGTGCCTCCTTTGCTCCACATCCATCTTCGCGATTTCTTTCCCGTCAGGAATCCGCCGCAGCAATTGCGAAGAGACGCTATCTTGCTTCACTATCTGCTCCCACGAGTGCTTTCCCTCAGTTGCGCGCTCAATTCCGTCAACGGCATACCAACCGACCGGAAGGAGCTGGTTGAACATGGTAATCTCGAAGTCGGCGAGTTTCTTCCAGAACGCGAATAACTGCCTCCCTAGTTCCTCTTTCCCGACAGACGTTACAAAACAAGAGTTACATCTCCAATCCTCGAAATGAGGCCCGTCCCAGCCAGCTTGCCGGAACTCATCTGGGTCCGCAGGCGTCGCTTTCACGCCGTACCCGCTGCCTTTCCGGAATGCTGCTCGTTCCTGCCAGGTACCGCAGCCAGGACAGCGAATGGACCATAGAGTCCACCAGTCGCAGTTCTCCTCGCGGTAGATCTTCCACCTCCATGGGTACTCCGCATCAGCAGCGACAGGAAATAGACCGGGAAAATACCGCTCAGTCGAATCGTGACATCTGCGCTGGCGTCCTTTGACCACGGGGACGTTGGCCGTGCCTATATTCGAGCTTCGACTCTTGCCTCTCCAGCTCTGGCTCCGGACACCAGCATTTCTGGCCCAGAAACCTGTGGTGAATTTGCATTCGTTGCAGAGGCGTCTGTTGCGGTGTGTGCCTATTTTATAAAGCTCTTGCAACCTCGATACTGTGATATCGGAGGCGAAGTTTTGGTTGATCCAATTCTCAAGCGTATCGTTTCGGAGGTCAGCTTGTCTCTTTAAACCCCGTGCTTTGGCATCACCGCTCGTCCAGTCGCAGAGCCGTTGGCGGACTCTGGATTCAGGAGGTGGTTTGCGGAAGCGGAGACGGAGGAGGGCGTGGTTGTCGAAGCGGGTGTGGGGGATGATTTTTAGGCAGTGGGTGCAGGCGTAGGAGACTGGTTCTGAGGGAACGATGATCTTGGCGTGTTCGTTGATTGTTATTTCGCCGCCGTATTCGGGGAGGCATTCTAGTTCTAGGAGGCGGTCTAGGAATTGTTTTCTTTGGGGGTCGATCAGGTGGCGGAAATGGTGGTTGGTTTGGGAGAGTGAGATGAGGGAGGTTGAGGTGAGGAAGGGGAGGATTAGAACTTGGATATCGAGGGGCAGTGAGATCATTGCGGTTGATGTTCAATTGAGGACTAACTTGATACACCAGAGGTACGTTTGTCGTGTATAAGTAAGGCTTCAAGATTCGGTCTGAATCATCTCACTGTGGCGCAGTCGTGGAGGAATCGCTCACGTGATGATAGCCGTTCTGTTTACCTGGGGGACATAAATTTAGAATGTAAGAAGGTAGTCCCGGCGATGAACAGTTTGGACAGAATGGATAATTTCAAGGTCAAACCCGAATAGCAAGTGCCTCGTTACTTGGTTCTCCTCGTGGGAGCTTTGTCGGGACGAATGGTACACAACTTGTAAAAGTTCTTGAGCCTTATCAAGCATTACTGAAGTTCTCGAAACGTGATCTCTTGATGAGCTTTGAAATATGGAATGGCAGACGGGATTACAATTGTCTTAAGGCTGATGTGTGGCGCACCCAGAGATCGAAGCGAGAATGCCCCTGACCCCGCACTCAGCGCAATTCGCGCGGTTCGCGCATTTTGCGCAATTGATCCGATACATTCTTACATCAAATTTCCTGTCTTATGGAGAAGTATAATCCCGCATTCGACTGAAGTGTATAACGAATACTGACGATTCAGGGGAGCCTTAACGAGCAGGTGATCTGGTGTTGCAGTGAACAGTATTTTCCCGTGGACTTGTTGCAACCCTTTGCCTGGCTGGTTCAATTGGGCCCACATAAGACTACTATTTCCAATTACCATAATATCCTGCGAGAGAATTGCTTTGAAATGCTCAAAGAAATCGACTGGTGTGTTGGTAGAGGTTACGCGGATTCTGAAAGCCCCTACGAAATATCTATCACGGGTCTTGAGCTTTCAAAAGTTTGGTGGAGAAGCTGCGACGACAAGCTTCGTGTTCGTGCCTGAGGGGATTGCATGTATTAATGTTGCAAGAGTGTTAGCATGAAGCCTCTGTGGGACTCTACTCCCATTCTTCCAATAAGTCTCCTACCACCACCATCTAAGCACTATCAACAATAACCTCCTCGTTGATATACCAGCCCTGAATGATACCCTTTCTCGCCTCCTCCATATCCAAACCCTCAATCACGCTCTGAACACTCTCTCTCCTCTTTACCAACTCCTTCGAAACATCGTTCCAACTCACCACATCCCCTTTCGCTCCATCACCACCCCACATCTCCCTCCCTGGCCTCAAATCCACATCTCTCAACCTCCCACCCTCCTTCCTAATCACCCCGTCCACAATAACCATCTCAATATCCTTCGGACTACTCTGCAGCACCACCGCCTGTACCGGATCATGCTGAGCCGCACAAACCATCGCCGGACTCGTCGCATCCCAGACCAGTATATCAGCGAACTTCCCCACCTTCAAACTACCCACCTTATCACTCAAGCCAGCAGCTCTCGCGCCGCCTATCGTGCCAAGATTAAACGCTTCTTCAACGGTATGGTTGACTTTCTTCGCTACGACGCCTTTATCTACGAATTTCTGATTGTATACCGCGCGTACGTGTTGGAGCAGTAAGCGGATCTCGGAAACGATGGAGACGGAGTTGTTGGAGTGGCAGTCTACGCCGACGCCGCATTGGGAAGTCATGTTCAGCGTTGGGTGGAAGGCAGCGGTTGAACCACCTAACATTTGGAGCTCGGTCGAGGGCGTGGTTGATGCGTGTGAGTTCGAGGAGAGGAGGAGAGCGGCGTCTTTTGGGGTAGCGTTGGTGGTGTGAGAGAAGAGGTAGGCTGAGTCTAGGATGCCGTAACTATCGAGGACTTCAATGGGGGAGTGTGGTGCTGAGATTTTGTTAACTTTTTTCTTATTTCTGGAGAGATGACAAGCGCACCTTGGATAGCACTTCGCACATAGTGGGTAGTAATAAGTTTGATGCCCATATCTTTAGCTTTGGTGAAAAGATTCACCACTACTTCTTTGGGCATCCAGAGAGCATCAAAAGCTAAACCCAATGTAATCCTTCCGTCTCCAAATGGAGCTTTGGAAGCGAGTTCTTTCATGGTGGTCATCACCCAGTCAGGGAGCATGTCATGACCAGAAAACTTGAATGGGGACCAAGACTCAGTGCGCGGAGTTGGACAATAGCAAAAGACAGATCGGATTCCTGATGAGATGTCTGCAGCTATTGCTGCCTTACCTAGATGGTATGAGAAGATTGGACCATGGAATGGGAGCTTGGGACATACTAGACTCAGGAGCGTAGTTCAGGTGGGCGTGATCAACAACCGTGGTTGTGCCAGCATCGAGCATGGCCAGACAGCCACCAAGCTGGCCCCAAAAGAAATCCTCGGAGTCATGAACGGAAGACGTGAAATTTCCTGGATCCGTCAGCATAGGTCTATGTGGATCGCTGGTCTCTCACCTTTTGGGAAATAGTCCAGCAAAGTATCATCACCATGTCGTCCTTTCAGCAAAGTCTGCCAGACGTGATGATGAGTATCGATAAAGCCAGGTGTCAATATTTTGTCTGTACAGTCGATGATTTGAGTACTGGACGAAGCCAGTATATCATCTTCGGTCTTGGAAATAGTGTTTCCTTCAATTAGAAGATCCGTTTTGAGAGCATGGACATGGTCCTGTTCGTCGTGCACTAAGACTGTCCCTCCTTTGAGAAGCATGGGAGTTGCCATATCGGATATGCTGAGTGTTCTCTGAGACGTTGGTAACCCGTATTGGATGTGGTTTCTTGTTTACTTTTTCAGCATGTTGCTTCCTATATACTTAATCCTCGACATCGATATCGCGCAGTCGCGAGACTGGTGAGTTCGTGCGTCGCTCTTCATTTTCGTAGGCCGCCTTACAGCGAAAGCCGAGATGCGCGGCACATAGTGTATCAACTAATCCCGTTTAAGGAGACGATTTGAAGGAGTGGAGATACAGGATGGAGTTAGGAGTTATAGCCGCTGACCAATGACAAAGGTTGACGCAGAGACTACCAAGGACGAGCTCGCATTAATTCCTAATCTGTGTATGACACATTCACATCTCCCCGTATGCGTGCAGCATTATCCGCGAATAAAGAAGTATTTCTCGTAATACTAAGCTTGCCGAGTTCATAAAGAGACTTCTCTGGCGGGGCTTGAACCGGCGCAGTTCTTAGCGAGCTGCCCCTGAAGTCTAGCGAGGTCCTCTCGTAAGCTCAAACCCCCAGCGAAATGAAGTGCTTTCGACATCACAGACAATACTAATGATAATGGGTGGAGTCACTGAGTTGGTTTCGACACAATAGCTTGGGTCCACCGCTTTTCACAGCCGGTCAGGAGCAGAAGAAGTATGTGCTTCATACATGTATAAACTTTCCCCCTCAACAGATTGTGACATGCATAAAGCACTGCGTCGAGGTCGTTAATACCTTGGTTTTATTTGCCCTGTACAAAATATATTCATCATTGAAAAGAGAAGAAGTAGAGTAAACACATAGCAAGTCGTAACTCGTGTTTGCATTCCACCGAGCACCACATAAGTCATCAATCGTAGCTATCTCCAATAGGAGAAGTTCATGAATCGTAAGTCGTTGATCGTGATTCGTAATTCGTTTCTCGCTCCAGGGAAATAACAACAGACAAAAGAATATGTTCAGTCTCGGCCCCTCCTCCTCCGATCTCTTCTCTCCCGGAAATAGTCCTCTGGTTCATCAGCTGGTTGCCTTCTTGAAGACGTAGATGATGGTCCAGTTGAATGCCCCGAACTTCGACGCCATCTACTGGATTCGCCACTCGATCTCCCCGTTCCGTGGCTCCTGTCTGTCTCGCTTGAACCTCTGCTCCTGGTCGCGTAACCTGAATCACGACTTCTGTGAGTGGATCTGCTTCTAGAGCGTTTCTTTCGTTCCGGTCTCTCGTGGGGATTGCTGTAAGTCATTGGTGGGCGACTTTGGTAATTCACATCTAGTATTCGAATGTTTATTGATTTTGGCACATATCTGGCGGACGATGCTTGGACTTCCGCCATTCTGACTCGAGGAGATTCGGCGACAAACCTGGAATAGTGACTAGTGGGAGTTGATCCATCTTCTGATGTGCGAGTCCGCGATGATTCGGGTCTGGAGCTTGAAGCATCGCTAATGGGCGGCGGTCGACTATGAGTCGAGGTGGAACGTCGCTGTGATTCATACATTATCGGTGGATCAATATTCTCGTGGGTATGCGGCCGTTGCGGCCTAGAAGATCCCGGTTCTGTAGAGTTTTGAAACATATATGATGAGGTATCATCTGCTCTTCGACTTGTAGGTGGCTGGTACTGAGAACTACGGTTGCTGGATGCTGATCTGCTCCGTGTGGAGCGATGGTGGTGGTGTTGCGTTTCGTAAGACACTGGTGGATATCTTCTCTCCTCTCGGTTAGATCTTCGGGGTGGAAGTGATTCTTGAGCGGAGCCAGAAGCTTCGCTGGTCGAGTCTCGAAATCTCCTCGAACTGCGATACGTTCTTCGTTCATCATGAGAGTGATCAGATGGTGGCGGCTCAGACTGTGGCGGCGGGGATGGTGGTCTATTCAAATCTACAATTCTTGATTGCTGACTTGCTTGATGAGGTTCATCGGGTTGCTGGTACGCGGGCTGCTGGTACGTGGATTCCTGGTACGCGGATTCCTGGTACGCGGTCCGACGCTCAGGCTCAGTAGCCACGTAAGCAAAGTTTTGAGGATCAACAGGACCCTTTCGACGATGCCTTGTGCTGACAGACTCTCGTTGTGGCTCCCGGCGAGTGCGGCTCTTTGAAGGGACGCGGCTGCCTCCCAGGAAGAAATTCAGAAGACCTGAGCGTGGCTGTGTGCGCTTTCTTGGTTGCAGTCCTGGTTCTGAATGACGATGGTGCTTGCGAGTGTGAGACCTTGGCCGGGCTTGTGATCTATGCCTGGCCGTTGAGCTGTTTGGTCCCGTGTTAGGCGCGTTCAATGCATCATAAGCGTACTCTGTCAACGCGACAAGGTCAACACCGGCTTCCATCATCCTGTTATATCTGCTCCTTTCCCTGTCCCTCGCACGCTCCGTTCGCTCCAAGCATTTCCTCAACTCATTCCTGCAATGCTGTTCATCTGATGCTTGAAGACGCTCCTGCTGTGTAACGTATTCTAAAGGACTTGGTGGTCGTGCTTGGAGGCTCGCTATTCTAAGACTCCTGTCAATTTCACTCCTGCAAAATGCGTATAATGTCGACTTACAAGTAAAAAGTTTTAAGGGCGATGTTGTACCAGTCCTCACAATCAGTGAGGCGCTTGCTGTACTTTTGGGTTCGATCAATTTTTCCCTTTACAGCAAACCAGTCGAAGAACCTGAGACCCTTGTTTTCCCGAACCCCACGATACCAGTCGCAAATGATTTCACATTGTTGTCTGCAAAATTCTCCAAGGGCCTGGATTACTTCTGAAAGTTGAACCGGGACTTGCTGCCACAATCTTCTTGAATCACTCTCTATCTCATACAATGTACAATATAGCCTCCTCAAATGTCTTTCTAGTCGCTCAATTTCCGTTCTGGATGCAAGGTCGTCTTGAACATCCCTGATTGCCTTGACGACCTTGGGCGCTGCAGCACGTATGCAGAGGTTCAACGAGGGAATTATACTGCAAACCAGATTAGCAATGACATTTTATCTGCTAATTATGTGTTCTTACTGTGGATAGGCCATCTTGAAAAGCGATCATTGGAGCTACCGTCCAATTCGGCCTCTGAAACCTCGGCTTCAACTCTTGTTTGCGAAAGAGTGGGAACAGAGAGAAGGCTGTACATTAAAGAAGGAAGGCAGCCATCGAAAGATCATTAACCATAAGGCTCTGTCATGATGGAACTCTGCAAGTTAGGCCGAGTCTTCCTGGGCCTAGGTGGAGATGTGAATTCTTTTGATTGAGAAGAAGAAGCATTTTTCGCACCGCGCGGACAAACGACAACCCAAACAATCCCATCCTCGACAGCCGTCTTAACCGTTCATGGTTCAAATTGATAGGATGAAGATGTTTCACAATCGAGGCTGAGCTAGAGAAATTTGGGACAAAACCGAATACGATATATGCATCTTTATGTTGTATCTGACAAGACATTGGACCTTGACTCCTGCAAGCACGTCTTACAAACCTCGAATCATATGATTTAATCTAGGTATCGGCGAAGAATTCTCACAGATGCTAATATCAATTAAGATATGATTGGAAATGCCCCCCCTCATGCAGGCGACTGAGACGCGTGAGTACTTTCGAGCGCGAGTCACCTTGCAGAGAACCAATTGCAGGAATGGTAAACAACGTTGTCAACAGATAAGGACCAACGTCTTGTTATGTACGTCTTACTGTTGATCAGAGAAGCTCATGAAATGAGGCTGCAGCCTCGTGACATCCAACACCCTTTTGTTGTAAAAGCACAATTTATTTACACCATCAAAAAGGTACTGTCTCATATAAAGAACGAATGTGAAAGCTACCAGTCTATGTGCCAACAGAAAAGGTATGGATAAGAAGAAAGAAAACAAAAACAATGAACAATCCGAAAATGGAGGGCTGGAGCTGACAAGGGCTTGGTTATCACATAGCCTCATTTTTCTGTATGTCCCAATTCCGAGTCATGATTGGATGTCGAACCCTGGGGCAACCTAAATCCTTGCGGTCGCAACAGCAAGGGCAAGCAAGCCACCTGCAGTAAGACTGGTCAATCATAAGTCTGCGTCGAGCAATCAACACACAGTGACCTGCAGTGAACCCCTTTGCAGAACGTGGGTTGCAACGAACACAATCCGGACGTCGCCTAGGTCGACTCAGGAGAGATCACTTGCTTACTACAGCATCCTCACTTCGAATGTCCAGATGGAAGCAGAGTTGAAGGAGAAATGTGTGTGTTAAGGAGAAAGGAGGAACGTTGGGAGGTAAGTTCGCTTAACCCCGGATTTGGAAAGACCCTTGCCACTGCATCCAAATCATGCACGTCACTGCGCTCCGCGACATCTCTCAAACTATGAGAGAACATAATGCATCTTCAACACCATCTCTACACTCCTTGACCTCGACTATACCATGTCCTTGACACTCGAAGACGAAGATCCTTCCTCACAACTCCGCGCCAGTCTCCTCGAATCAATAACTCGCTCTCTCTCCTCCCGCCGTCCACTCCTCACTCACCTCAATGCCGACACGACTTGGCTGCTCTCCATCCCGTACCCTTCCACAAATCCTTCCTTGCGAAATCGCACATTCTATCACATTCTGATCGATCCGTGGCTGAAAGGTGGGCAATCTGACGTCGCGGCCTTTTTCTCGCAGCAATGGCATGCAACGCCCAGCTCAGTGCAAACAATTACAGAAGTAGAGGATGTGATACGACGAATGGAGTTTACTGCGAAGGGTAAAGAGAAGGCAGATATGGGCGTCGCGGAAAGCTTGGAAGAGGGTCAGGGAGATGTGATTGTGGTTGACAATCATGGATTGCAAGAGAAGCAGGAAGGGAATGTGATTGATCTAGTGGTTGTCAGTCACGAATTCACCGATCATATGCATAAAGAGACACTCCTGGAGATTCCAAAGACGGTGCCTGTGCTTGCAACGGTGAAGGCTGCGGGAATCATAAAGTCTTGGAAACATTTTCATGTTGTGGGAGAGGTCCCGAGATTCAGTGGCGATTGGAGAAAGTGTCCACATAAGACTCTACCAGAATGGCTGGATGTGTCGAGGGTCGCGAAGCCGGGGATGGATCTGCTATACTATCATTCTGCCATCATGATTGCGTTTCCGAAAGGATATGAAGGAGAAGGAGAAGCGGTCATATATACACCACATGGAATAACACCAGCCGATCTTGCACCTGTGGCGGAAGCGAATCCAAAGATACACACACTGGCATTGTTGCATGGCCTGCAGGATATCTCGTTACCTAGAGCACAGTTGAATAAAGGAGCTCATAATGGTCTGAAAGCACAAAGATTACTGGGCGCGAAGTATTGGATTGGGACACATGATGAGTTGAAGAAGGGCGGAGGGATTGTGAGCTATTTCTTGAGGAGGAAACATATCACTCTGAAAGATGCTATAGAGAAGGAGAAGGAAGAGCATGGAGAGAAGCTGAAGGGAAGTGATCTAGAGACAATGAAAGATGTGAGATTTGAAGATCTGACAAATGGTGAGAGTTTGCTGTTGGAGTAATGTAATCGATTCCAAGATGTAGAATGATAAAGGACATCTACTGTACAATTACAATATCAATACACGAGTCGTAGTAGCCTCAATCCTCTAATCAGACAACTTGTATTTGACCACACTGGGAAGAGAATGTTGACTGTGGAAAGTATCTTATATTCGAAAAAAGATGTCTTAGCCACGTTATTGTGTCCTAAAGACAAAAAAAAGGATAAACGATAAAAAGTTGACAGCAGATGTTAGTTGATAACAGTAACTTTTTCTATGAGAACTTTAACAAAGCACTCTGCCCTACACTTTACTTTCTAACACGAAAAGTCTTCTCCTCTCCACAGCACCTCGCACCTGGCACCACGCACCTAGCACCTCCCACTGAAGATCTTCTTTTGGCGTTCAAATATTGTTAAAGAATCTGGAGAAACCTCGGCCGGTCGGGGTTTATATAGACTTCGGGGGACGGCCTGTGGGAAACGGCTCACTTATTATGGAATACATTTTTTAGTGAATCTCGGATTCACTGTTAATTATGGCACGGAAGTTTAACCTCCGGATGCTTTTTTCTGGTTTAATCAAAAGTGTACTACGATTACAGACCCTTGCTCACGCTTTTCAGAATACAACAGTGAATTCGTCAGACGACCTCCCCTTCAACCAACCACAACATGTCGTACCACCCGAATACTCTCCAAAAGACCACAAGAGGAGGCAACCAAAGATTTCCGGCCTTCTTATAACCAGAAGTACCGAGGCCCCCAGCTCCTGTATAAATATCCAATTTCCGAGTCCACGCAGGGATGTAGGTATGATTGACTCGCTTGACGGCTGAGAGTTTGTATAGCTCTGTCATCGTGATGTAGGTGAGAGTGCGGGTTGTGATATTGTAGAGCAGGGTTGGTACGAGAGAGTCAACTTTCAACAAAGGGAAGGGCGGATCCAATCTCGAATCTAGCGCGGGTGGCTTTGGTGGAGGATAGCGAGTAACTTCAGCGACGCTTCTTCCTTTGTCCATGCTGTGCTTAGTGAGAATTCCTGTGATGTCTTCCATCTTCCTATCTGTACCGAGCTATTTCCTGGTGTTCTGGATTGAAAATTACTGGCTTCTCGTATTCACAGACTTTATGTGGAGCAAGCATGTTATCCATGCACTTCATGAATCATAGGACGACAGCATCAAGCAAGTTGAGATCTGTGAATGAGAGCCTGAATCAAATCTTGTAGACTACGGAGACGGATTACAAAAGGTTTGCAAATAAATCAAGATTTGTTCTGATACTGCAAAAGTATTGGTTAAAGTGCACACCATGAACTCCTTTGGGCCAAGCAGCAAGACCACCTTTATCTCTCAAACTGCAACATACCGCATTAAAAGTCATCTTCTATACGACACAACCACTCAGAAGCTATCTTACATAACAGATGAAGAAGCAACTGAGCTACGAAAAAGAAAAATTTTGTGGCGAATAGAGATCCCCCCCTTTGCCCGCAAAGTGGACATTCAGATCGGCTTCAGCAAAGAACGTTACGCTGGCAGTGTATGGTTACCAGGAATGGTGGTACTGGGAAGACTGCTTGGGCGATGGGAAAGCTTGTATGCCATCGAGGGTTGGGAGGATGTCTGAGATGTACAACAGACTTTTGGCGCAAAGAAACATGAGATGCAGCTTTCCAAGAACGGCCACTAGGCCATGGATGAAAGTGAAAGAATGCAGCAAATGGCAGCGCTCCAAATAATCTTTGCCATAAGAGAAAACAGACAGATTGTACCTAAGATATTAAAAACATACCTTAGATCTGTCGTTATTGCACTCGTATTCCCAGATTTTGGTGTTAGGAAATCGGGGTGAGGAATGCTGAGTTGAGCGGGGTTGGAAGCCTATAAATATAGCGTGTTTGGGCCTACGAGAAGCGAGGCCCAAATTCAACCTCCAAAGTTTTACTCGTCAACCTTCCAAATCAACATCCTCGTAACCTCGCGCTTTTACGCCCACACTTCTTCTTCCATCGCTGCCAGAGAAGTCTACCTACTTCACAGCATCGAGACGCACGACTGTGCTCTCTTCCTTGTCCATATGCTCGCCCGCCTGTTTCCACGTCGCACTCCCTCCTACCTCTCTCGAGCCATCCCAATAACTCGATCACCCAGTATGAGCACCTCCGCAGATGCATCTTCAAAGCCAGCCAACGAGCCCACCAAGACCCCCGCAAATTCCTCCCAGAAAACCACACTCGCTCTACCAGAAGCACCGCACAATGCCGCAACACAGTTGGACATGAGCAGTGGCAGCACAACAGTCAAGCTCGATCACCTTGGCCCAGTCGTGGTGAATGTCGATGGAACCATGAGCCGAATATCGAACTGGGACAAGATGGCGGACATTGAGAAGCAAAATACATTGCGGATAATCTCAAAGCGGAATGAACAGCGATTGGAGGCGCTGAGGGCTAAAGAGGACACTGGGTCGACGGCTTGAAGGCTAGATATCAAGAAGCCGGGGTTCCTGGTGAAGATGGGAAACCTTGTCGATGATACATTCCATATGCGAGATTTAGGGAACGAGATCTGCAAAGACGAAGATATCCTATGCCATACGGAGATTGGGCCAGCAGGTGCACGAAATTGAGTTAGACCACAAGGAAACTCGATACGCCAACCAGCAGTAGTAAACCGACTGCTTTGAAGGTTGCAGATTTCCTCCTAGCTTGATGGCGGCATTAGGCCAAGTCCTCTGCCCACAGAGTCAACTCAGGAAAGGATTTTCGATCCCCAAGATTTGTTCTCTTACTCCTCTATTGTTTTCAAATCTTTGTGTCTGCATTAGCTTTACATATGTTCATGTCTTTTCGGGAGTAACGTGTAAGTACCGTTAGCTTCATTACAATTGCTCGTTTCATTTCGGAAGTGAGTACCGCTAGCTGCGTATTTAGATGTTCTGACCAGGTTCCCCGTCTTTGGCTACGATTGAGGCTAATCTTGTTCCATTATCCTGAAGTTTGCGCTCCAATAGCGACTGACGACGGAAAATCACATTAACGTGTCGCTCCGAATACGAAATCCAGTTTTCAGAGCATATATGTTGAGATGAAGATATGTTCCATTCACTACAAGTCATTTACATTGCTCAAAAACCGGCATGCATCTCCTTACCTTTCTTTTCGGCCTGAGTGCATTCTCTCTTGCTCGCCCAGATCAATCACATCAGATTGGGTCAGTAACATCTGAATCACCTTCAGCCACGTTCACCAATCCTGTGATCTACGAAGACTTCGCCGACAATGATGTTTCCGTGGGCCCTGATGGAGAGTACTACCTCTCCGCTTCAAACATGCACTATTCTCCTGGGGCTCCCATCCTACGATCTTCAAACCTCGTCAATTGGGAACTGATTGGGCATTCAGTACCATCTCTGAGTTGGTCAGCGAAGTACAACATGACCGATGGGACAGCATATACGGGAGGAACATGGGCCTCAACAATGCGGTACCGTAACAGTACTGGTCTATGGTATTGGATCGGGTGCATCGACTTCTGGACTACATACGTCTACACAGCGTCTGTTGTTTCGGGCCCATGGGCATTATCGGGAACCATTAACTCATGCTACTATGACTGTGGACTTCACATTGATGACGATGACATAATGTACGTTGTACATGGAAATACAAATGTCAATATGTCCCAACTGTCTACCGATGGTTTCCATGAGGTCAAAACACAGCAGATATACACCACTCCGTCTGGGTACTCTGGTGTGGAAGGAAATCGGATGTATAAAAGAAACGGATCCTACTACATTCTGGATGATTCCCCTGGAGATGCTGCAACCTGGATCTGGAAATCTTTGACTCCTTGGGGACCCTGGACGAGCAAACTTCTGCAAAAGGCCATTAACGGTCCACTCCCAGACGGTGGGTCTCCATGCCAAGGGAGTCTCGTTGAGACATCAACTGGAAATTGGTACTTTATGTCCTTTATCTGGGCGTATCCTGCAGGTCGGATGCCAATCCTGGCACCCATCACGTGGGGTGCCGATGACTTTCCGATTTTGATGGCTGTAAACGGTAGCTGGGGTGCATCGTACCCCAATCCTCTTCCACCCAGTCCGACACCTTCGTGGCTTAGGACAGACACATTCAGTGAACCTGTACTTGGTGTTGACTGGGAGTGGAACCACAATCCAGACCCAACCAAGTACAGCGTAAACAACAGCCTCACTCTCTCCACTGCGACTGTCACTTCAAACTTCTATCTAGCACGGAACACGCTCACTCACCGGATTCATGGACCCTTTCCAGTTGGCACTGTCCATCTCGACTTCACGAACATGGCTGACGGCGATCGCGCTGGGCTTGCTGCTTTCCGTGACAATAGCTCGTACATCGGCATTGTTCGCGACAGTGGAGTTTACACACTGGAGATGGTCACTGGTATTTCGCAAAACAGTTCAGCAAACTGGGCCACCATTTCGAACGGCTCTGTCGTAGCTTCTACGAACATTTCTTCCACAAAAGAAGTGTGGCTGAGAACAAGTATCGATGCGAGGTCCAGTGGCACTAAATTGGCAGAATTCTACTACAGCTTGGATGGAACCAATTTCACGCAGCTTGGAGGCTCGGCATCGTTAGTTACTGATTGGGAATATTTTATGGGCTATCGGTATGGCATATTTAACTATGCAACAAAGGCTTTAGGAGGAAGCGTACTGGTGAAAAGTTTCACGAGCGCTTGAGCTACATATAGATTGTTCAGCAGCACGGCCCTTGTCTCGTGTGCGGTGTTGCAATACTCCATAGTCATAGTTACAAATCGTCGAATCATTTCAAATCCCAAATTGTTATTGTGTCGCTGCATCGCGCCTTGATCTCTTCGGTCAGACTTTTCTGTTTTTTCCACTTCAATGTATTTCGGTCCACCCTCAATCTATTGTTGATAGCCTAAGATATTCGACCGTAGTTGGTACCAATTTAAGATGTTATTGTCTCACGGCCACTTTGTGGCCGGACACACTTTGCTGCAGGAGGAGGCGTACATGTACAATGTGACCGGCCATCGCTTTTGAAACGTTCAACAGCAACAAATCAATACGAATCCAACCACATCAATCTGTCCAACATTACTTCCGCGTCTGCATCAATCAACTGGTAGAATATGGTGCAGACATGGCTTCCAAAGTTGGCCATCTCACTCATATACACACTCAAGCACAATTATACATAAACTGGCGTTGAACAGATGTGGTTTTTTCGTCCTAAGTTGGTTTTAATGTGGTATCCAACTGAATGACTTCTCGACACGGTGTCCAAGTTTTATTGATAGAACATAGGCAATGCTGCCATATAAAATCGTTGGAGGTATCTCTCTGAGTGTTGGTAGTTGGGTATTGTGCCCCATGCACACTCATTCGTTTCCACATAAGTCTGAGGGTGTGGGCGAGTTTTCTATCCGCAATATTCTCCCATATCGTGTTCTGTGGACTTTTCACTCTCTGATCGACATCCTTCGAACAAAGGTATCATCCCATTTAATCGAAACACAAGAAGAAAGAATCAACGTGAGAGTGGCAAGAAATGTCTGGATCAAATTTGCTGCTCTGGGCTGTGAGCATCATCATTGGCTTGGCTGTTGCAAATCCAATGTTCTCCACTTCTAGCATGGAAGGTACAACAAACTCGTGAGTTTAAATTCCATCTTGAAGAGCTCGATCTCTTTACTCCACAATAAGGAGTCACAAAGCCTAGCACAGACTACTATGAATGCTGACTTTCATGTTGTGTCAGGTTATCTAAGCGTACCTTTGTGGAAGGAACCGGATTCACCACTGCTCAACCTTTCTCCACATTCCTCACCGAGTACGCCGCTGGTATTGCCATGGCTCAACAGATTCGGAGTATTCTTTCGGCGTCTCAGCTTACCGAAAATTACCACTATCAGTTGTTCATTCCATACTCATATCAGAGCGAAGCTCAGGCAGCAGAATATCTCAACGAGTATCTCCAGGGATATATGAGTATAGGGACGATACTGTGTACACCGTCGCGGTAAATAATGTTCCAGGCAGTGATCCTGGGTGCCAGAACTGGACGACAACTGATTGGCCAATCTATTGGCCTCGCGCCCATACAAATGGATCAACCAGGGTAACGAATCTCTGTCCGTTATTCTGGACTTTACCAGCAACTTCAGAAGTGCAATGCGACCAGAGAGGAATGGATGAGTATGAATCCGGAGGTATGTTCCATATACATGGACATTTTCTTCTGCCGGACTGATATACCCAGCTATGACAATTCTACGCGAAGTTGGTTCTCTCGTTGGCTATTTCAACCTCACCCAAGGAGGCCCACCGTAAGTTTCAAATCGCTTTGAATATAACGAAGCTCAATGGAATACAGAGCTTACGCCAATGCCTGGGGTTCTAATATGTGTGCTGCGTGGGCAAATATAGACCCGGATGAAACAATAAGCAACACAGACAGCTGGATGTTTGTCGCTTTGGGTATGTTTCTACACCATTATCGCCAAGGCCAAAGGGTTTCCTTTCTGATATACAGTCACAGGAATATACTGGAGTGACAAGTGTGGCCAAACCATTCAACCAGACCAAGTTGAGCATGTCACTGCGTAAGTATTCCATGTATCAGACTAATATTCAGGTCAGAACTCGAAACAGCTCTGCGCTCTGGTCTGAACACAGTTCCATATTTTTCAACTCTCCACTATTCTCTCAAATATAACAGAGCCGTACACTGATATTACAGCCAAACAGAGGCTTGCCCCCAGGTTGCTTGCCAGGACCGACGGAAGGGTGGCAAATTTCATCGGGGAGCAGCTGCTCCGGAGAAATTGTTAGAAACAGCAACGGAATCTCGAGTGGTCCTGGTGGCTGCAATATTCCTAGCACGTATGGCACGAACAATTTATTATCTGATAATCAGGACGACTGTTGGCTGCTTCCATCTGGGACGACGGCGATAGGCATCACACTTGAAGTTACCAATGCAACCAAAGGCTATTACACGGATTACGTTGTGTGGATATTTGCAAGTTCAGACTGCAAAGGCAATATTAGCCAGCACTTCGAGGGTCCGGCTGCGGGGCAAAAGTTAATTGCCGGGGACTATACTTATCAATCAGCGTGCTTTGAAGCTCCGAGTGGACGATTGTGGGAAAGCTACTCGGTCTGGAATATAAGTGATTATGACTCTTGGAACACACCGCCACTAAGCCAGTTGGTTGGCTAGGTTTTGATTGAGCCTTTCTTCCAGAGAGAAATCAGGAAGGGTTCGATGAGAATAAGAATACATAAGACTTGAAGGCAGGTCAAAACAGAAAAGAATATCAAAGACATGAACATGGCGTCCAGAAATTCTACCTTCAGACTTCTGACCTAAAGTATTCCAACATACACAGGTAGCTTGCCCGCCAGATCCTCCTCTCATCCACGCCGACATACATACACTACCCACCTGGTAAGCCGTCTGCCACGTGATACACCTTCAAGCCATTAAGTCAGAACCTTTTTAGCATCCGAGTTTATACAAGGATTACCATTGATGAGGAATAAGTAGGCAAAGAACTCGTAGTCAGTTCGAGGCTCTGATTGCTCAAAACTCATGCTTGATCAGGAGCCTGATAGCACGTGATGCCTGATTTTACATCGGCAGCACACTCTTTCGTTCACTCCAGATTTAAGTAAAACGTTGAAGGTGGTCAATATATGAAAGTTGAAATGCTATTTGTGCACGCTCCCAATGTAACGCCTATCATGAATTTATACATTCTCTATTATACATTCTGATAATTTGCAAGCTCGGGTAACGTAACCTTTCAAGCCTTGATGTTGAGCTTGTAGCCGAACTTGGCAAACCTCAAACCAAAGAACATGACTCCAGATACACAAGCCGTGACACCGCCGAAAGCCCACAGACCAGTCCAATTCAAAGGATCAGACTGACCCAAAATGCTTCCACCTCCCGGCCCTCCAGCAAGTGCACCAAATCCAATCATCCCGTATCCCATGCCTATCCTCGTTCCAATCTTGCTTTTGTCTTTTGTCAATGCGACGAAACAAACAGGCGGCATGGCAATGAAGACACCACTGAACAGTCCAGACAGTACGGCAATAGTGATAATGCCCGCTTGAGTTGTGACTGCGATCATACAGAGAATCAGGATACCGAGAATGAGAGCTCCTGGTGCAATCAAGTTGAAGGTTCCCGTTTTGTCGGAAATTGCATTTGGAACCGTTCGACCAAAGCAAGATGCGGCGTTAAAGATTGGGACGAGATAAAATGCCATCTGGGTGTCTGTAATGTGTTGATCCTCGGCGAAGTAAGAAAGATAGAACAAAATTACATAGAGTCCCATGAATCCGATCAGACAGGCAACGACGAAAAACATATAGCCCACGTCTGTGAATGCATTCCAGTCGATAAGTGCTCTCGCCTTTGGTGGCTTGAACCGCATCTTCATAACCGCAACTGGGATGAGAAGGGTTCCCAACGCGATGAATCCGATTACTCGCACTGTCCAGGGGAATCCGATGCGATCAATGAGTCGATACACGACAATAGGGTAAATGATCCCGCCAAACGAAGAGCCGCTTGCTGCCAATCCAACAGCAAGACCAAGCTTTCTCTTGAAGTAAGGAGGAAGGATAGCCACTGCAGGAACGAAAAGGCAACCAGCCCCCATTCCAACACAAAATCCTTGCGCAAGAAGTACTTCCCAGTAATTATGGCACAGACTGAGCATCATGTGGCCAAAGACGACACCAAAACTACCAAGAATCAACAGCATTCGTAAATAGCCTCGGTCGTATACTGGCCCCGAAATGAAGCCAATCAGCAGTACCATGTAGGACTGAATAGCGCCAATCCATGATATGTCGGATGATGATTTGGTAAACAGAGCTCCGGACTCGTAGTACGTCTGGAAGACTCCAAACGTGTTCAGCAATCCCCAGGTATTGAAGAACAACATAAATCCTCCCACCACCTGAAGCCATGCTTGGACCCCACCATCTGGAGGCGGAGGAGGCCCAGCTGCAGGTTTGCTGACTGCATCTTGGGGGCCTTCTGGTTGCTCGGTCCTAGGCTTTTCTGCTATCGTTTCTCCTACGATGGAGTTCGCAGTCTCAGCATCGCTGCCATCTTGCTTGCCAATTTCTTTGTCTCTTGCGTAATCTTCAAGGTTGCTTTCTGATGACATGTCGTCGAAATGCGGGGAAACGGATAGCTTCGTCACCAGAATCGAAAGGGAGGGTCAGCTTAAGACCAGTTATCCAGTGCACAAGGCTGAATAACGAACGCCGCAAGAGGTATGTTGAATTTGATGGATATGAACATATTTGCAGATGACGGGGTCTTATATTTCAAATGGATCTTGGTATGCCGAGCGCGAAAACCGAGCGCTGAGCCGCTCAATGAAACGATGACCAATTCCGTGTAGATCGACTTGGGATGTCCGTTCGAGGTCCGTAATGATGGTTAGACTTGTCGTAAGAAAGGAACCAGTGCGAACTAGGTCTAGAAGACGACAAGGACCACTGTGGTTGAGAGGGCTGAAAGCAATTTTCCGAGCTCGCAAGAAACGAAGGTTCTGTGATTCGCCCTTTCAACCGAGTCCTCGGAGATATCGGTCTCATCGTTTGCTATTTGCAACGCTCTTCTATTGAAAAGAAATCTCTCTTCTCGGTCGAAGGTAAAAGACTGTGAACCAATTTTCCGTTCGGATCGTGAAAATACTGTACTCCTACCATGAATCAAGACATGGATGCATCCGAGACTACCACGGTATCTCCGCTCGGAAATCTCACAATGCCTGTCCGTCAACCTCGAAAACGACGCAGGCCAGCCCTATCATGCAACGAATGCCGTCGTCGAAAAGTTAAGTGTGATCAGAAAGTCCCTTGTACTCCGTGTACCAAATCAAAGACTGCCTTTTGCAAATACGATCCAGACGCAACTCCGAAAGGTAGAGAAGCTCATCACACGGCACCTACTAACCACACCACTTCAAATCTACTTCCTCGGGAAATGATCGATACCGCGAGTGCCAGAAATGTCAATGGCATAGCCACTACACATATAGCTCCCAATACTCTTTATCCAAATACCGATTCTCAGAGGACCGGGACCACATCAACACAGCAAGCATTCAACCAGAATTTAGAAAAAGGGCAAAGTGTACAAGAACTCAACGACCGAATACAACAATTGGAGACAATGGTCACTTCTTTGATCAATCCAGAGCAAGAGAAAAGTTCGGCCGAGAATGATGTCGGCATCTTTCCCAAGTTAAAAGGCAGCACACAAAAAACTCGACTGTTTACAACGAGCCACTGGATGAACACTAAAAAAGAAGTAAGGAGGTCAATTCCAAATAATGTCGAGGTGCTGAGATGCGTGAATAGTTTGATCAAATCTTAGCCTTGAAGAAAGTCGCAAAACAGAGTCACTCGTCAGAACTCAACGATGCATTGAAGAAATGCAAAGATCTAGCCAGAGCAATCAAACGCCAACGTCCATCCAGCTCCTACACTCTACCAGATTTCAGATCTGAGGTGCCGGTTCGAGCAACGGCTGATCTTCTCGTTCAACTATACTTCAGGACGTTTGAGTCACTCCACCGGATTTTGCATCGACAGTCCTTCTTTCGAGAATACGAGCAGTATTGGAACAATCCAGCGACTGCAAGTGACAGTTTCATCATCAAGCTCCTAGTTATCATGTCGATCGGTGCCATCTTCGCGGAAGAAGAAACTACATCAATGCGTTTCCTCGGACTCCAATGGATCAACACCGCTCAAGTCTGGCTCAACAGTCCTCTCGACAAATCACGACTAAACCTCGCCAGCGTCGAAATTCAATGTCTCCTCATCATCGCTCGTCAAACACATTCCATAGGTGGAGACCTACTATGGATCTCGGTAGGATCACTCATCCGTACAGCAATGAGCATAGGTCTACATCGAGACCCTGCGAATTTTCCCAAAATCCCAGTCCTCCAAGCAGAGATCCGACGACGAATCTGGGCGACGATAATAGAGCTCGCTATCCAAGCTTCACTCGACTGTGGCATGCCGCCCATGATATCATTCGAAGACTTTGATTGCTCTCCACCTTCAAACTACAACGACGCCAACCTCATCGAAGGCATCAAAACCTACCCACCAAAACATCCCAGCTCCGAAATGACAGAATCATCTCTCCAAATAACGCTCTTAAAATCTCTCCCCACACGCCTCAAAATCTTCACCACAATAAACGATGTCCGCACTGAACGCGCTTACGAAAAGGTCCTCGCCTTGAGCACAGAACTTACTTCTTACCTACACACGCACACACCCCTCCACCGATCCTCATCCGTTACAACAACGCACAAGTCTCTCCTCGATCTACACGTCCGTCGCTTCCTCATCGCTCTGCACCTCCCGTTCGCAATCCACGCCAAAACGGATCCTCGTTTCTACTTTTCCAGGAAAATCGCCCTAGACACAGCTTTACTGATCTTTTCTTATCCATCCTCCGCTGATTTCGAAGCCATGAAACTCGTCTCCGGTGGACCCTTCCGAGAAGCGTACTCCCGCGCCTCCTCAGCCATCTCTCTCGAACTCATCTCCCAGATCCAAGAAGACTCCACCTCAGCCTTCCCATCCACAGCAGCATTCCCCATGATGGAGATCAGTAATCCAAGGAAGGGGTTACACGACGTTGTTTCTTCCATCGTGGATTTATCGAGACGGAGATTAGAGAGGGGAGAGACTAATGTGAAGGGGTTTCTGTTTTGGTGTATGGTGCAGGCACAGACGGATGCTATGGAGAGGGGAGTGGATGTTGGGAATGCGATTGCGGGGAGGGCGAAGGCGGCTGCGGAGGAGGCGTATGATATTTTGAGGAAGCAGGTGGCGTATACGCCGACGCCGGGGTCGACGTCGAGTTTGACGCCGCCTGAGTTGAGTGTTGATTGGGATGCTTTGGTGAGTTTGATGTTGGTGTTAAGAGAAGAAGCTAACGGGGAGTAGATGCAAGATACGACGATGGATTTCGATATTGCGAATACGTGGTTATTGGATAGTTGGGAAACTATCTAGGAATATTAACAGTTGTTTAAAAGTTGGAGTTCGGATACTTACTCATCCCAAATCCTCACTTTTCGATTTTCAAACCACCAGATATCTCGATATCCTCAACCCCTTTACCCTCCTTCCTCTGACCCGTTCTATCTCGACTTGAAGATTCGGAGCTCCTCGTTTTCTCAGCAATCTTAACAACGCAAAGACAAGGCAAACAGCAAAGCATCGCGATACCAGAAAGGAATTGTTCAAGTGTATCGTGTGGGGTACGGCTATGTCCATCGAGAAGCGTCATTCTTTCAATTGAACAATCAAATCTCAGTGAAAGAGATCAAGAGAAGAGTTTTGATGATAGAGAATGAAAAGATTGAGGAAGGGACAGAAGTGCTGCGCAAAGCGAGGTGAATTGGAGTGAGGCTGAGCCTTGACTCATTTCCACAATTGTCTCTCGCCTCAGGACGCCACTTTCGAAAGTAGAAGTTGGGTATAAATCATTTCGGTTGAGCTGGAGTGTGCCCCATGAACATCTCCTCATGACCACCTTGCACGCCTCAAGACCGGGATGACGATGGTGGTATATGAGCTATGCATGCTTATGTGGTTGACGAGCTTTTTCCGAGACGGGAAGTGGGGTCTTGTTGCCAACACCTTGTTTATTGTCAAGGAATATAAAAGAAGTAACATGATGTTGAGTTACGACGAAAGCTAGATTGATGTCCAAAGGGGGAGGGGCGACTTTCGTCAGAGCCATGTCTGGATTTCATCTTAGGCGTTTACAACACTTAGCTTTCAATCAAACATCGCGTCTGATCTGATTGTTACTTCTAACTCTTGCTGTCACTAAAACTACAATTGCCAATGATTCAAGCACTTGCATGTGAAATCAAATAGCAAAAGCAACACTAAAATAAACCGAAATACAGTGCAACTTGGGGCGCCCGGCTCCATGCCCTCAAATCTACACACCCGGCTGCAGTCCTTCTGTGACGTCGACCAGGAACCTTGAACTTTGTATGGGTTTTACAATCAAAGAAGAGACAGACCTTTATATACCCACAGCCCCTCAACCCATTAACTTTCCTTCGCGCTAAAACAAGCAATTCAACAAATTCACCCTCCACAAACCCCTCAATCCACCCAATCCGAGTCAATTTTGGAATTCACTCAAATCAGCCGCTCCAAACCCAACCCCAACCTCTTCCAGCTCCCCACAACCACGTCTATAAATACAACTCCACCCAACCGTTGCGGACGTTCGAAGCAAAGAGCATAAACGACAAGGCCCCCTTAGGGTGTGTGGGAGCCCGGGGGTTGGAGCCGGGAACATGGTAATTGCTGTGCGACGGGGTCGTGGTCGTAGTGGGTTCGATATGGGTGGGGCGAAATATTGGTGTAGGGAGATGATGGTGGAGGAGAGTTGACATTGGGAAAGCGTTGGCACTGGGAATTCTTGACAATAAAAGATACAATGGTAGAAAGAGAATTGGCAACGCGACAGAGAAACGAGAGTGAGACAAAGAAACAACAATGGAACTTTGGCCGAGAATCGATAACGAAAGCTGAATTGGGATGTACAAACTTGGACTTGACTAGACCAGAATGTTCGTGATCTGCAGATAATTTATTGAACCACAAAGTCGTGCTTAGTTCCTCGAGTTCAAGCAACAACTTTTCAAATATAAGGAAATAAAGCAATCTCTAACCCTGAGATACAGCTTGGGAAAGAGGTAAAGTCGCATCACTTGGGGGACATGGAGCCTTAGACGAAGAGAAGTAATAATGTCCAGACTTGCTGTATGACTTAAGACCACCCAAAGGAACCAGCAAGCGTGAATTCGATAAAGCTCCAGTACTCAAGCCACTTTCCACGTGGATGGGAAAAGATTCGACTTATCATGTCCCAAGCCTCTTTATCAATTCAAAGTTCAAGATTATGCTATTACTGAATACACCCAAAATGTTCGTAATTAACAAACGACTTACCATATAGCAAAGTCGAGCAATTCTATGAGCCGTTGAGCAGGAGATCACTTATTCAGACAATGAGAGTGAGGAAAGAAATGTTCAAGCCCCGCACACGTCACACATTTAGAGATCTGCGTGTGCTTAACTTTGTCAATGACCAACTTCTTAACAAACAATAAAGAAGAATTGGACTGCAAGTAAGACCCTATTCCATAGCTAGAAATGTGCACCTGCATCCAATGAAATGAATAATCAGATAAAGGGGACGAAAGTTCGGCTGATTCAAAATGCTATACCTGCAAAGTATGCTACATACTCCATGCTCAAAGCTAAGAAAACTCCTCCTACTCCATCCCAACCAGGCGATATGTCTCCACACTCAAGCCTCCCGAAACGCCTCATGAAATATATGCACTCCCTCCCACTCCTCCATCCATCACCTCGTCCTCGGCGTCTCCAACTCATGATACTCATGTCCGGGACTACTCAACTCAGCCGGGGACCTCAACTCCGTGTCCTCCAACTCCTCCGGCGGCGCGCTCGCAGCCGGAGCCGGCGTCACAGAACTCCACACCTGTCCCTGCTGCCCGTAACTGGGCTTGGGCTCCGCAAATGCGTTCCACCCGCCATACCCCGTTCCAGTCCATTGTCCAGGCTCAGAGTTATACCCTTGTTCAGAGGTCTTGGGGCTCGTGGCGTTGTATCCGTTGCTATTCTTCCGTCGACGCCAGAAGAAGAAGAATCCCAGGGCCGCGGCTGAGATGACGCCTAATGAGACGCCGATCCCAATACCTGCCTGAGCACCCGTTGAAAGTCCAGAGGAGCCCGTTGACGAAGCTGCTGGCGGTGAAGAAGTACTCGACACCAAACTCGCCGTCGAAACGGGAGTCGCTGAGCTCGTCGCCGAAGAACTCGAACTCGAACTCGAGCTCGAGCTACTCACGAAAGTCGAAACCGGCACCGCAAGCACAGTAGCCTCCACCGTCGCGGCCGGCACGCTAAACAGATCCGCGGTCGTGGAGCAACAACTCATATTCCCCGGATCCCCCGGCGTCAAATCACAACAATAACTCGTGCCCGTGATGCCCCCACACGGTCTCACGCCCACCGCATTCTTCGTGATGTCCATGCACGCGTGCAGACACGCCGGATCGCTCCATGTGGGATCTGTGCAGCCGAGCCGAATCCAGTCTGTGATGCCGTTGGTTTGCTTCTGGCAGACGCCGTTGGACCAGCAGACGGAGCCGATTTCGCAGCAGGTCGAGGCGCCCGAGGTCGCGTTGTTGCAGCGGTAGGCGCCCGGGGCGAGGGTGCCGTCGGGGAGGTAGCAGGTTGAGGAGATGAGGGGGAAGAGGAAGGGGAGGGTGAGGAGGGTTGGTAGAGATATGCTGGGCTTCATGGTTGAATGTTGCCTTGAGAACGAACAGCAGCAGCAGCAAGAAAGGACAGGAAAGAAAGAAGACGAGCGGAAAGGAGGGAAGGAGGGAAGGAAACCCAGCACAGAAAAGGGAACTGCAGACTTGATATGGATCAACGCACTTTACGTGATCACAGCTGAACGCTCCACCCCCTTCTCTGAATCAAGAAACGATCTTGGTTCATCCTCCCTTACAAGGCTTGACATGTTGGTGCTACTGTACTGTACGAAGTGTACGAAGTGTACGAAGTGGTAGCTGCGCCGCTGGAAAGCCTCACTGCCGCTGCCGCCAATCCATGGCTTGCGGGACTCTGGAGGGTCATTGGATCGGGCAGACTTAGAGTTTGGTTTCAGGTGGAAATCTTGCCGTGTTGGAGTTAGAGCCATGGTCAGACCGCATGGCGGCGTTATGCAATTTTCCCCGTCGGGAAAGCGATGCTATTCGACATTTCAGTTAGTTGTCGTCCGATTCCTTTTGTTGGCCATTGGATCATTGTTGGATGAGCGGTACGAGTCTAGCGGAGTGGAAGAGCGTTGAGAAACCACTTATCTTGAGGTCCCAGAATCATGAGAGTTGGATCATTGGGGGCGGAAATGGTGAGGTGAACAACGCTGAGAGCAGTTCGAGTTTACTTCGTATCCCGGACAGACTTGGCTTTTCCCCACCCTCGCTCGCACAGCCGACCAATGTTGGTACTGTACTGTACTTTGGCGGATCTTGCGCCACCAAGAAAGACCTGCCCATTGGAGAAATACTCCGACATACAGTAGATTAATCGAACCAGGATATATTGTTCGATGACAACCTGATCCGAATCGGTCAATCCCTAAAGGTATGATCTTTCCTAAAATCTAATCTTACATCTCAATCATTTACTGTAAAGAGCAAGAATGAAAAAATTGCCACGAACCAGAGACCAGAGCCCAGAGCAACTTGAAGTTCCTGACCCTGACCCAAGAGACTGTTAGTTTTCCCGCCACTACCTAGTCGTCTCGTCTCATCTCGTCAGTGGCTTATTAGATCGACGAACGCTCAGCCTTCTCGACGCCACTCCTGCATCAAATGATCAAAGCTTCCCTTCCATGCAAATAATCATCTGATAAATTCATCACCCCTCAAGTGACAAGAAACCCCCAAACATCTAGCACAGAGAAAGTTTAGAACCCCAGCAGTATCCTCGCCACATGTTTCAGTATAAAACTCAAATCGACTCAAAACATCCAAACTCCCCGCAAACACCAAGAAGCATTTCTATAATAAGTCTCTCGACTCCGAACAATCTCGATCCCTCAAATTCTCAATACAAAAGACGTTTCCATCTCAAAGATCCTGGGCCCTGATCATCACCAACTCATAAAATCCCTAGCATGAAAAGTCACCTACCACTCGTTCAAACAACACCAACCAACCAATCCCTCACCTCATCCGACCCATCGAAAAGGAGATTTTCAAGCCGCTGTTAGCACCAAAATCCATACTTACCCTGATAAGAACAGAGAAAACTCTGAATCCCTTGGAGCCAAGCTCGGCATCGCAACACCTTCCTCAGCCCTATACTTAATTTCGCCGCGAGATGATAATCATCACCCATCGGGTTCGATTTCAGCTAGGTGTTCTTCTTCCTCTAATCTAGAACGGGGGCAATCAAACACCTAAACTCCGTCGTCCGAATTTTCCTTCCGAGACCCAGCATCATTGACTGCTGCCTTCTGAACAATTGCGGAGGAGTCGTGAAAAGGCATCTCACCACCCTAATAAAAATACCATCCTCGACCAGAAAAATCGTTGATCCCCATCCTATCCTCACCTCACAATTCTAGAACCACGCCCATTCATAGACAGGCACTTGTCTTCCCCCCGCCAAGATCGTTCCGTTCATTTGTGGACGTAGATGGATGGAGTGGGTATAATCTTATCATTCATTCTATCTGCCCGCCTCTCTGTACTCATCTCTCTCACCCACTCCCCTACTTTCCCCTCACCGCCAAGCAATGCAGTCTGCCTGCCTGGCAAGCAACAAAGGGAATTTCTCTCGCTCTCGCTCTCTCTCTCTCAAGCAACAGCACCGTAAAATAGAAAAACGTGAAAATATGATTTATTACAAGGTTCTCTCTGTCTCACTCTGCTCTCCTTCCCCAGCTCGCTCACTCGCTCACTCCACCCCCTTCTTTCTGGTCCGAAGAATACAATATCAAGATCGATCAATACACCGCTCCATTTCCAGCCACCCCAATTTACCCCACGCACACCAACGCACCAGAAACTCCAACTCCAATCCACCACCCCGAATGTAGGAGAAAGAATCCGGATGATTGACTGATTGAATGCCATCTTTCTGAATCTCCAAGAACAAACATTTCGAAGCAAATAATCCCACCCAGGCGCCAAAGCAAAAGCAAAGCGTTGTTGTGCGGAGTATGCTCCTTTCTTTCCTTGGCCAAGAATCCAACAGTTGTCCTTGAAGGACAGTAATTACCTCTCATATACTCAAATTTTCTTGGACCATTTTCTCTTGTATCGATATATGCAGATTATAGGGTGAACGATCTTATAATCATTGCCCGCGATCTCTTCCTCGTCGTCGGAAGAAATCCATCACTTTCCTCGCAGCTCCACTACTGCCAGCATGATCAGAATGGGTTGGTCCATATCCATTATTGGCCTCCTGCTCGTATGCTTCGGTGAACTTCCGGTTGTTCTTCTGAAGGACTCCTCTCGCACTGCTTCGTGACTGTCCGGTGGTCTGTCTCCTGGGAGCATCGTTGTACGCATTGAAACCGTCAGGATATGCTGCTCTTCTAGCTTGAATGGTCTCGCCTAGAGAAGACTCCGACTCGGTATTCAAAGCCGACTCCCCTTGACGGAAGTTCATGGGAGGGAGGAATTCCTGATTCGGACCAGATCGAGGATTGGAAACCGTTTGAGGATTATATCGAGTTTGAACTGGACTGGAGGTGTTGCCAGGTCGTCTCTCTTGTCTAGGACTATCACGACTGCGATCGTAGATTCCATCAGCAGCATACGGCTGAGTTGCTGTAGCACCACTGATATTCCGGCTATCTCCAGTTCGGGCAGTTTGGGGAGGAGGAGTGTAAGCATCTCGATTGTAGTCACCGTAGTTGCTAGGAGGAGCACCGGGAGTTCCGTATTCCTTGCCAATGCCGATAGCCTTCAACGAGAATGAAGCTGGAAGTAAAGAAAATCTTCTTGGCTTGTCTTGCAAGGTTGTAGTCTGAGAGCCAGTGATACTTCCACTTCTCTTTTTACCAAAGCCAAAAGATATCGAGCGCCGAGAATCCATTGATTGACGAGGAGAGTCTGAATGGGGAACGGCTCCAGACATGCTCACAGGTGGGTATTTCTTGGTCTTTTCCGGCTTCTCCTGTTGATCTGTGTTTCTCTTGCTTCCGAAAATGGAATTGGTTCTGCTAAAGATACCACCAATTGTGTTCGATCTCTTGTGACCCTTTTCTGGAGCGGCCGATCCTTCTGGAAACCCAGCTACACGTGCAAACTTCGGAGGAATCTGGTTGTGAGAACTCGAACTTGAAAGACCAAACTCTGACTGCTCAGAATCCAAGATGGGAGCAGAAATGTTGTAGCTCGTGCCGTTCTTTGGTTGTGACATGCGGCCTTGGGCGTTGGTTCCAGCTACGCTTGGAGGTGCTGGTTGGCTATATGATCCTCGATCCCTCAATGCTAATGATCCTGATCTGCTACCAGTAGATGTCATCGATCCGCCAGTTGTTGGTCGTGTAATCGTAGAGACAGGTGGCGGTGCATGAGCTGACATATAATTAGTCTCGGAGACGGATCGAGGAACTTCACGACCAGGTCGGGTAGGTGGAGGCATGCCTTGTTGACGAGAAGAAGAACCTGAGGGGCGTCTTCCTTGAGTATATTGTGCTCCAGGAGGATCTTGAGGCAACGGTTTCTCTGTTGAGACCTGTCTTCTCGTCGTTGGCTGAGCAGACTTCACTTCTGTAGGACCACCACTTTCAGCTCTTGCTCTTGTCCTTGAACCTGATACCACGGGTGCCGGAGCGGCAGCAGGCGCAGCTGAAGCCTCGCCACGTTGTGTTTGAGAACGAGGAGCCACATATTCGACCTGAACAGTTCTGCGTTTGTTGTCCTTCGATGGCTTGGGATGTGTCTCGGCTGCTTCAGGATCAACATGACCATGTTTTCTGCCGAGTTCACCAACAGCAGTCTGCTTAGAAGCCTTTGACGATTCTCTAACCGAAGCACTTCTTCCAATCATAGGACCGCTCTCTTCCTCCTCTGAAGCAACAGTGGTTGAACCAACGTCCTTGCTTGTAGTTGTGGTGCTAGTAATGAAGCCGACAACGTGAGAGTATTCGCTCAACCAGCTGTGTCTTGCAACCTCAAACAGGTCTGCTCGCTTTCTTGGGTCTGGAACAAGGATACGGCGGAGAAGGTCTCGGGCATGTGGTGTGACATATTCGGGGAAGGTAAGAGGAGTGGAAACGATATATTTGTAGAGGAGGTTGATATTATCGCCTTCAGGGTTGGCTGGATCGTCGTCGAAAGGAAGGTAACCTGCAAGCATGGCATACTATTTCTTGTCAGCAGGACGTTCACCACGAGATTGCAAACAAGAGTGGTGTTGGAGCAGGCTAGCAAATGTCGGCAGCAGAAGGAGCTCAGATAGGAAAACAAAGTCAATGAGCAGACAGTTCCAGAGTCCACTACACCAAGAAGTACTTTCTCCAAGGAAGATTGGACGGAGGAAAATCCATCTCCGCGATTAATAGACCAAGGAATTCACAACTCACCAAGATCACACCGCAACTCCAGACATCTACCTTACGGCCAGTGTATAAAGAATCGCTGACCACAAGCTCTGGAGCTGCATAACAAGGACTTCCACAACTCGTCTGCATGAGATCACCTCTCCGATGGCCGCCTTCCAGAATCTTATCAAGCTCCATCCGCTTAACAAAATCCCTACTGGACAGGTTATATTCGATCTCATCTCCTAACTCGTCGTCAGGATTGAAGGTATTGGCGAATCCAAAGTCGGTGATGATTATATTCCGGTTGCGGTCTAATAGCAGGTTCTCCAGCTTCAAATCTCGATGAACTATGCCCTTCTTATGCAAGTAACCAACTCCAGAGACAAGTTGTGCAAATAGTCGGCGTGCAGCTTGATCCTTCAAGTATCGGTGGTTGAGGATGTAATCGAAGAGCTCTCCACCAGAAGCGTATTCAAGGATAAGACCAATCTGCTTTGGTGTTTCCACCATCTCGTGCAAGTGGACGATATTAGGATGAGATATTTCGCGGAGGATAGAGATCTCGCGGTAGATCTTAGCCAGTCTGGTGGGATTCGTGCCAACACTGTCTCTTCGGATGAGCTTGATAGCAACCTGAAAGATATTAGTTCATGCTCCAAGTGTCTTTCCAAAAACTCTTACCTGCACACCGCCCTCTTGTTTCCAACCCATCTTGACTTTGCCAAACTCTCCCTCACCCAAGGTATTGCCAAGAAAGTAGTCGCCAAACTTCTGATTGCTCTTCTCTCTGGTGGTGCTGGCAGCGTGATCATGTCGACTTCTGCTTCCTCCGCGTCCAGTATCGTCTACACCTTCGCTAGGCACAACACTCAAACCGCCAGGAGTTCTTTGTGATGCTGGGGAGGATGGGATAGCCTCCGCCATTCTTTCCCGTTCTCGATCAAGGTCGACCTCAGGCTTGCTGATAACCACACGATTCAAGACTTCGCTGGCTTCCCTAGATGGGCCCTCTGACCATTGTCCTCCCGAATTGCCGGCGGCTGCCATTGCTTGTCGTTGTACGGCGGATGCAGATGCGGAGGATCTAGGCTCTCGAGTCCCGCTAGGTCGACTCGATATAGCTTCTCCTGAAGCTTGTTGAGCTCTCCTCCTAGCTCTGGCAGCAGCATTGGCAGCAGCTACAGCAGGATCTTCAGATCCTCCATTCGGCTGCTGTGTATTTCCATTGCTCCGCTGTCTATCTATCCGATCTTGTGAACCATCACCAGCTGTAGCTTGTCGTGGAGAACTCGAGGCTTCATTGTGCTGCGTTCTTCGAGATCGATCTGCAGCCGACGCTGCAGCATGTGCGGCATTTCGATTCGAAGAAGTTCGAGGTGAGACAACTGGCGGAACACCGCGTTGGTGATCACCTGGAGCCATAGCTGGATAACCAGCCGACGGCACAGGTGATTCTGGTTGCTGGTTTGTAGATCGGCTGGTTACCGCAGAGGACGGAACGCTCCCAGACGGCGAGTAGTATTGTTGTGGATTGTTTGTTGAGGTTGCGCCATTGCCGCTTGGTCGTCTCGAGGGGCGGCGTGTTGATGTCGGCGACGCGTTCGTGGAGTTTTGAGTATAGTAGCCGTCGCGGGACTGCGACGAGGTGCCGGTGTAGGGACGACCCGAAGAAGTAGCTGCGACTGGAGAATGAGATCCGACTGTAGTTGTTTGATGCGGCTGGGCCTGAAGCGCAGCAGAAGACATTTCTTGAGGGGTGGGAGATGGATGTGTTTTTGTCCTCCTTGACGTTCGAGCTGGCTGGCCTTGATTTCTGCAGGTTCGCAGATTGCAGATCCAGCCCCGTCAGTCTTCCAATTCACCCTTATTTCCTTGTGATAGCGAAATTGATCGCCTGCGTCACCAATGAGACGCTTCAGCTACCATGGTGTGGTGCTGCTGGCAATGCGATCTTGATGGCAGACCGGAGGGCGTCCACGGTGCGAATGGAAAGGAGGAGGAGGTTCGCGGGTTTGGGTGGTGTTGATGTTGATTATTTGCGAGGGCTCGAGAACAAAAATATGGTGCGGTAGAGGAGGAGCGTACGCGGGTCCAATCCAACAACGGGGGCCGGGACCTTCTGTTTCTCTCCTTTGGCTCACTCTGCTCGGGCGTGTGAGAGTGAATCAACAGCAGCAGCAGCAACAACAACAACAATCAAAAGGGACCGATTGTCGCAGATGCGCAGGCGGTACGGGGCTCGCAGATTGGGGGGGGGTTCTGAGTTTGTTGATGTTGGATTGAAGATTGAAGATTGAAGATCGACGGCGAGCAACTGCTGTGGGTGTTGGAGACCGCCACAGGTTCTGCGCGTGAATGTGTGTGTTGGATGTTGTCCAGTCAGGAGCGTGGCTGCCAGCGCAGGAGAAAGATCAATGGTTGACGGTGCTTGGAGACTGGTAATTTCCTTTCGCCCCTAGCGAGTTTGAGGATAGGGGGACAGAGGTTATGAGTGAGTGCGTGCCTTGGAAATGCCTGATGAAGAACACAGACACCGACCACCTGGACGAGGACGAGCACTGGAAGGAAGAAGACGATCGAGTTAGTATTGTCGATAATGGTTCCAATCCGGATTGACGTCGAGGTTGCGTGGATATCGGGTCGGCATTAAAATGCTATTGAGACGACAACCACTTACTGGAACACCCACTGCACCAAATGCGAATATCGTGGAGGAATCGAGGCGGGAGAAGGCAGAATTGACACTATCTTCCTTGGATAAAAGCGTCTGTCTCGTCAACAGAAACACGCTCGGTCCAGTCCAGTTTACGCAATCTGATATTGTGTGCTGTGCCTTTGCTACCACCAGAGATGGAGAACTCCGGTTCGATATAATATGGTGGATGTTCGCCCCAAAAAGTATCAACCTGGGCTGACCCGAAGAATCTCACTTCTCACTTCGTCCAATTTCGAGGGTGTTTTAATGATGATGACGGCCACAACAACTGTCGAGTCGTGTTGTGCTGTGCCCGGTTTTTGATTGGTGTTGGAAATGTTCGAATCAAGTATATCGTCGAATGCAACCTCGATGAGAAATATCAAAGTCCTTCCAATTGAGGGAATCTCAGCGAACAACAACGCGCCGCCGAGTACGCTCAATCGAGTCAGGAAGCAGGAAAAGAAAGAAAAGAAAATCTCTCAAATGGGCAGACTGGCGCGCTTCATGCATTTATTTTCATTCTGATATTGATACTCGGTATATCCTCCCCATAAAAAACCTCCCTACACTACTCGCGCAACACCACATACCCAACCTACCAGACGTCTCCTTGCCACATTTTCGACCTCACCTCACACCAACAACGCGTCTCTCCATCCGCGTTCATACAGGACGGAGCGAACATCTCGTCCTCCACCTCTTACCGCAACGAAGGAAACGGTGCGCTTAAACAACAATGGCATAAACATTGTTTACTTGCATTGACGTGGCATGACATCCAGTCACCCCCAGCCATGCCAGACATCACTCCCATCCAGGATCGCCCATGAAACTCGCGCGTCTTCAACACCACAACCTTTGATTCTCCACCTGCGAATCTCCTCGCTCCAAGCAAACATCGCGAGAACCCCCAACCTTGAACCTACCTAGGTATATAAATTTACCAGCCCACTTTCGCAAGCCATCATCCTTCCAGTACAAGCCAAAATAAAGAAAAAGAAACCCACCATCGATCCCAAGTGCGGACGTCCTCACCCGCAAAAGCATCCTCACTCAGAGAAGTTCACACCGGAAATGAGGCGTTCGTCTGGACATGCAAGTGTTCAAGCACCAATCACAGCCCGTGCCATGCGCCGAGGGGCCAGGGGATCCACGTCCGTCTCTCTCTGGAGGTATCGGCACAACCGAAGAAGGGAGGGAGGAATTGAGTGAGTGAGTGTCATGATCATCGTTTGCCCTGGTTTGTGATCTCCGCCGTTGATGGGATGGGGCTATTTATATCTTTTTTTTTTGAGTTAACTTGACTTGGCTTCGAGATTTGAATTTGGATAGAGGGAGTGCGAGGGGCTTGGGTTTGGAGAGTTGAGTCTGGATCTTTGATGAGTTGTATTTTTCACGTGCATGTTCTTTTTTCTTTTCACTTTCTTCTCTCCCTCTAGCCACAGTGCTAAAGCCATCTATACAAGCACCATCCCAGCTATCTCCCAAAAACAGCAAGTCGACCTGTCACTCACATGTCTCCCTTCCCTCGTCTCACTCCCAAACCTCTCCTCTCTCTCTTCCTTCCCTCCTTCCCATTCGCCACCCAACCGAGCCCAACCCTTCCGAAAAATGCACCCACCCGCCACTAACCCCCTTCCGCACAATCGGTACCTGAACCAAGCCCTTTCCAGCGCGACGGCCTGCCCTTAGAGTTTGTGCTACGGGGATTTTAGATCGGGTGGTGAGATGAGGTTATGCAGCAGCAGCGGGAGGGAGAAGGAAGGTGGTGGTTGTCGGTAGGAGTTGACTTTTAGAAGGGAGGGGAGAGGAGATTTGAGGGTTGGCGGACTGTGAGATGTGATGGCTCGCTCGTGTTCAAAGTGTCTTGACGAAGAGCCGCGTGATATGCACGTTTGTGCTCAGCAGGCTGGGACAAACTTTCTAGCTTAAATCTTCTCTCTTCACTTGACACCAGACATTCAGCCCAAGCTCCAAGTCATCTCGGTTCCTCGCTTTGACTGTCCTCCCAGCTTCTTCCATCGGATAAATTCCAGCCCATCTCCTTCCTTCATTCTATTCATCCAGAATACCCGATCGATGCATGCTCACCAACTCCCGGCCTTCTAATCTCACTTCATCTAATAAAGTTTCAACCCAAGAGATCGGAACGCGCTTCGGGATCTGGGGGCCTTTTCTTCCGTCTGGTCCGGGTTAATGTTGTGCTGCATCACTTTCCGTTCGTTAGGATCGATTACGGAGGGAAATGGGGAGGGAGGAGATCACAAGAAGAAGGTCTATCTTGCCTTAGAAGTAGGGAAGCGATCACGGATGGAAAAGGGACAGACGATGGGAGGAAACCCTGGCTTTTTGATTGTTCTACATTTTGATAGATATCCCATAAACATCCAACACAACCGCCAGCCCTGTCAACACACCCGCGTATACCATCAAGATCCCCATCGCTGCCAGATTACTAACATGCAGCGTCGGGACCGTCAGGTTCACTAGTCCCGTTAACAGGTTCGCTACCAAGAAGATAGCTAATCCGTTTCTGTTGAACGCTTCTAGTACTCGACTTGTTGATGATCTGTACATCTCTTCTTCCTCTTTCGCGGAGGATGAACCGCTTTTATAGACTTGTGGGAAGAAAAGCGTTTCCACGAGAGAAAAAGCTGTGAGTTGAGAGCAGTTGAAAGCTGCGATCCAGAGAAAGTAAGGTAGGTTTGCCAGACGCCGCGAGACGCTGAGGGAGAGACCGTACTTGTAGCTAGTTGTAGCCATGAACAACAGAATCCAGATCCCAGACCAAGCAGACAGTGTTAGCAATAGTCTTTTCCGTTGCTGGATACCGGTAGCTCCCGCTGAGAGGCTGCGGGGTAGGATGAACATTCCTGTTGACTGTCCGGCTAGGAAAATGGCCAGGTATCCAAAGAAACTGAAAATTCCTTCGCGATTCTTGTTGAAGAGGTTTGTCCTGGGCCCTGTTAAGACAAAGGCTTTCAAGTCCGTGAACTCCAATGCTATCTGGTATGCAGCTCCAAGTAGAATAGCGAGTCCAGCATATGATGGTATGAACTGGAACGCAGATTGAAAAAGCGCCATGAACGGTGGCAGAAATCCTAGCGTGAAGAAGAAATTCCAATGCACCCCATATTCGGTGACGTGCTCAGCATAGTCCAAACCCTTCACACTGTATAATCTGATCACGCCCAGAACCAACAGCGGGACGGAATGCCGTATAGACTGATATAGTCTTGTGCCCAACGGTGTACTGTTCCCCGCCATCTGCTCCTTCAAAACTGGTCGAGCAGCAACAACACCTGCTGAGAAGACGAACGACCCAACGCCAACATCCATTAGTGATGTACCCCAGTTCTCCACCTTTGCGAACCTTCTTGGGAATATTCGAAAGTCGACTGCGAGGATTGCCAGACATGTTATGACCAGCATTGCCCCTCGATATGTAGTGAGGAAGGGCTTCTTCGGAAGCGGATTCGGAGCTTCATCTTTTGCCTGCTTTGGTGGTATTTTTGCTTTCTTCGGTGCAGGGAGCTTTGGGAGAGAGTATATGATTGCTACCGGGGCAACGAGAAGGAGGTTCAGGAGAATGGGCGTATTGGCGTACAGAGTCGTAGCAAGCAGAATAGCGCTGACATTGAGCAGGAAATCGACTGCGAACGCGAGAGGAGTATATGGCTTGAAGAAAGCCTGCCGTGATTGCAGAGCTGACCAAAGAATAACTGCTGCCTTTCCATCATTAGCAGAATTCCAGACATTGAGGGGAGAAGAATTACTGGAGCTACAGCAGTAACATAATTGATCTCCGAGATCTCTCCTCCCGTGAGATTCGAAACAAAGTCTTCTTTCAAAGCTTTGTAGCTCGCCTTGATAGCTTGTTCAGCTGCTCGCGACATGGTGATAATTGTTGTTGAGGGACAGAGCCCTGCCCATTGAGATCAGAAGTCGTGTTCTTTGAAGATGCCAGAAATCGCGATTTTCGGTGTTCAAGCGCGGGCCGGCTCCGCTCCGCGTCGGGGTTTCTGCTAGCCCTGCTTCAGCTTCTACCTCCTCCATCAAACACAACTTTCGAGCAGTGTTTCTTGCCCATAGAGTGGCTATCGAAGTCGATTGTCCTCTGAATCTTGAGCTTACTTGTTCAGCCTGGCTCCGTTTGCATGTCCTGTCCTCTGTCATGAGTATTGATGTCTTGCTTGTCTATTGTTCTTGCCCCTGTTTCGAAGAGTCTTGAAAGGATAGTTGCCTCTCAGCGATTAGTGTCAGTTCTTGAGACATTTTCTCTGAAGTTTGATCATTCGAGGATCTATTTCTCCCACGAATAGTCTTTAAGATTGACGGATGGGCTGTCACAACAGCGGGATCCAGAACGATTTTGCCTCTAGCTAAAGTCAAAAACTTTTGTCTCATGGCTCATGTAACCTCTCACCTTCTGCACGAACTTAATACTCATCTCTCTATCTGGAGTCAATAGCTAAATCAACGTTTTCTCCTAGCTGTCAGTACCCGCGAAGGTTTCGGCTGCTACGGGTACGCCATGGCGGAGGATGAGACGTTGACCACTCATGAGGCAATAAATCATTCTTGCGAATGAAAAAGCCGTTTCATGTCCGGAATGGCTGCGGCAGGCCTGCGTCAAGCACAGGCAGCAATGTTGTTCGTCTTCTCTTTCGCTGGCTGTGATATGTCTTCTTCGTGGCTTGCTTTCAGGAATCTAGAACCTGAAGGCCACAAATCCTCTTTTGATAGGACAAGTCATGACAGAACCTCCTCTCGGAGGCTGTGAAATGATGACTCAGAGCTCTAGTGATCTGAATTAGACCGTCGAAGACTCAAAAGTGGTGCGATATCTCCTCGCAGCTCTGCAACCAGTTTTTGTCAAGTTGACGATGCTGAGTCGTATGTAAGGGGTCGACGAAACGCTGTGTTCTTCTTTGTCGTCAAGATGATCAACATTTCTCCACTTCGCTACTGAGGAATGTATGTTTCAAATGGATTTGGGCTATCTATGATATGACCCCTCACTCTGGCATCGATGTCTATTCACAAAGCTCTCATCTTTTGGTTCAGACTCTCCAGGATCTACTTTCGTTTGTATAGGTACCCCACGATTGAGCAACATCCACTTCGTATTTCTCGCACCCACCGGCCCGCTTGACGTTACATTGGTTACCACAACTGGAAGTTTTAAGGTTGTTGGTTATTAGAGTTACCAAATAGGATACAGTGCGGGGTTCACCAAGTCGACACGCAGTCAGCAATTCGTGCAACGCGATGGCAGCCATGAGTGTAACCTCAGCCTCTCCTCGCCGCCATCATACAGAGCTTCAACCACTAGCCACCCGTCCCGGCACGCCAGTTACCCCCACGCAGAGGAGACCGAGCCAGTTTCTCGGGTCCATGGTCAGATCGACGCCAGCAGTCCCAAGTCCAAGTATCGTGGCAGCACGTGCCTATTATCTCCAACACGCAACACCAATTGGGCCAGATACAGATGCATTGCAGAGGCGTAGAAGCTTAATTGAAGAACAACTGCTTCCTCGCAGACACTCTGTTGTATCTTCGACCAGTAACCTTGCAGAACAGCTGGAGAACTTCACATTCTCATCAGAGAGTCGAAGACTACAGACTGTACCAGAAGGAGAAGAAACACTTCCAAAGATCAAGGTGGAAGAATGCGATGATGTAGATATGAGGGAGAGCATCGAGAGTGATGAGGCCGAGGTCCAATCAAAGTCAGATCTGATGTGCGGTACACCACAAGAAGTGCTTCGTCAAGTACCTTTCCAGTACACGCACGATCATCTCAGAGATTGGGGATACGCTTACCTTGGTAAGTCAGCGACAGCAGATGCATTTGTCAACGCAGTCGGCTTGCGAAGATCAAATTTAGCACCACTACAAGAAAATGTAAAATCGGGATCCTCAGACCTCGTCACAATTCGTGCAAGGGTGACACCAACATCGAGAGAGAGGAAGCCGTTCTTGATACAAAGACAATTCGACATTAAAGAGTTGCGATCGAGTATACCAGCACCAAAGATGACTGGGGAGGTATTGAACGGTAGTTCAAGGCAATTGAGACGGTCAACCAGAGTCCGAAGACAATCCGTACAGCCAGCTGCAGCTGAGACCCAGAGGAGAAAGAGCTTGGATATACCCAGGAACGAAGGTATCGCTTCACTTAGCAAGGGCCCAGTACCTATTCGTAAGTCTCTAGAGTGGCCTCAAAAAGTTTGTTCACTGACAAACCTGCTCACAGATATCGAGTACGCACTGCACTATCTCCCAGTGCTTGCCGCAGTCATGCTTTCAGGCCATGTTCGCAAAGGCGATACCATTGATCTACCCGTCCCACACCCTGCAGCCTGGCATGAGGTAGTCACTTACATCTACACCGGAAGCGGTACCCTCACATCCGCTGCCAGGGAGAACATCCTCTACCTTGCGGGACATGCTTGATTTAGAAGTGGCTGCATGAGTATTGGGCACCTATGTGTCTTTGTTGGAGAAAATCTCTGCAGGACATACGTATGGACGTTTTGGTTGCCGCGCATGAAGCATATCTCGTGGGTTATTATGTAGGTCAGTAACAAGTTGCATTCCGATGCCGGTCAAACAGCGAGGCTCGAGCAATCGAGACCAGGTTCATGGGTCGATGGACCCCTCTGGTTCATGGGACGGATGTATTTGTGCTCGTGTGTGTGTGGTGTTTTGTTGTGCAACATGTCAGCACGGCAGTGAGTTGTCACCGGAGTGAGAAAGAGCGGTGGAGTGCGGAATTTGTGGGGCTACTTTACAGACAATACTCATGATTTATGACCGAATGTGCTATTGTCATGGTGTATTTCCTGATAGACACATCAAATTATGAGCTGCCAGGTATTTACTAGCTCTAGATCTCTTGATGGCTTCAATTGGATTCCAATTTATGTGGTAAGATTCCACTCGAAATCTTGTTTCTGACCCCACAACCAAGGCTACGGCACAATCTGATCTCATCTCATCTTTAAGCCTGCCAGAACTAAGGGAAGCTATTATAAGTTGAGACAATTGTCTCAGAACACGAGCATAATCACGATATGAGATTAACTTGATGACGACTTCGACAACCGCAATTCATTCCTCTATTCCCGAGCTGTCCGTGCCCCGAGCTCTCAACCAGCACCAGCGCTAGAACAGCGTACCGCACTCCAACTCCTTGCAAACTGTCCGTCTTTGACGATTTGTAACTTATGCACAGCATCCTCAGCCTAGAAAGATAGCATCGATCTTGCCGTTTTCCTTTCTCCATAAAATCCAAAGATCCGCATCCGCACCCCGGCCGGCCGCAATCCCACATTTCGGCGACCCCATTCTGACATGGCGCTATTGACGGGCAGCGCAAGATAAGACTGAACCTTGAGCGCATTGGAAAAGAACGCCCCGAACAGAAAACGAAGGGATCAAGCTCCTTCTTGGCATGTTGGTTCAATTGGCAAATCCGCAACGTCAATTCGAGGCTTCGGTCTCCTGCAAGGAGTCCAGGGTACCCGGGAGGTGGTACAACAGATGTACTGTCCGCATCGGGGTGTTGGTACTGAGGTCAATAATAAGTGTTCGAGGAGCAAAGACGTCAACTCCGATAGATCCTGTGCCTCATGGCTCGAATAGTAAGCTTAGATGTCCAAAAACGCCTCTTCCCTGCAGGCGTTTCCTCTCCGCAAAGCCACCTTCTTCAGCGAGATCCAAATGGGGATACTTGTCCGAGGGAACATACATCACTGTACAGCCTGCGTGCAGACTGGAGCATATCGGAGCGTCAATTGTGTAACACAACATACAAAGCTTCAAACACACGTTACTTACAGACTACAGGTACTGTACATACATGTACATGTACTTTACATGGATGAGCCGTATGTACAGTACAGTATTGGATGAAGGTCCAACCACGGCTCGGCCACTTTTGCTGTTACGGAGGAATAGGTCAGCCATGGCTGGCTTCCTCGGCTCGACAACATGTAATGTACTTCGTACCCCTCGAAACCCGGTTACGGCTCGGTGTCTTCGGCTGGCCTCGAGTAAAGTACGTACGAGTAAAGGGCGGCTACCCTACCTACGACTGAGGCATTTACTTACCCCAAAAAAAATCCCAGATTCTCGTACGAGAAGTGCGTCCCCGTCCATGCTGAATGAAATCTCTGCTGAGATCATGACTCTGCTCTCCTCGACAGGTCAGTTCCAAAAATTGCAGTCCGTTACCAATTTGCGTGGGGTGGAGACCATCTCCAGACGCCTTCTGAATGGAGCATCGCATCTTGGTTTCGGTGTTGGATTCGTTTCGAGATAGGTGGGAAAGGGGGGGGGAGGGGGCATGGATATCTTTAGTGAGGGGCAGCGGATGCACTTGCGCCACGGACATTTTTTGCTACCCCGCAGTTGGATGCTCGTTTTGTCCTTTCCTATCGTGAACACGGCGCAAGGCAGATCTCGATCCCCAAACTCTCCTATTGCTCATAGAAACCTGGTGCGCAACATCAATCACCTCATCGAAAGGGAGAGGCGACACAAGATATGCTGCTGGCTGTTCTACCACCACCATACAGTACATACCCGCCGAAACGAATAAGGTTGATGTATCCAACCTTAAACTTACTACTTGACGCTGTCATACTGTGTGCAGCAGCAGCATGTCAGACGTCGTCGTGAACGATCCGAACAGGGGATCGCGAGTCTGACACATGCGCTGACATGGAATTTCTCATGTGAGAAGCAGACTCGGGAAAAGTATATTCCTCGTCTCGAGAAGCCAAACATGTACAACCACTAGGCTTTACGGCACGTAAGACTGGATTCTGCAGCTAGCTCCCCTTCTCAAACTCTAATGATTCTTTGCTGAAGAACGCCTAGCGCCAGTTTGCCGCCCAGAAAATCTACCCAGAGCCGTCTTCCTCCTTAGCAAGCACCGGCGTCTCATTTATCCTTCAAGGTGTCGAACTCAATCTCTGCACAGACAGAACGGCGCACGTCCAGCCGCCTGACGCGAAGCGAAAATACCTTCCCTACTCTCAACCCATCTACTGTACATCCATCGGCCCTAAGCCCTTTCTCAATCCCACTCTCACTCTCACTCTCACTCTCACTCTCACACCCACTTCCGCAATTAACAGAGAGAGCTTATGACGACGGTGCCTGCCTCTCGTCGAGTCAAGCGCAACAGCTAGAGCTTCTAGACTCCGACCCATTCTCCAGCAAGAGCAGCAAGGGCCCCACTTCTGCAGGTCCCTCCGACCTCAGCTTAGTCCCAAGCCTGCCTTGCATATGCAATGCGCTGCTCTGCAAGTCGAACACCCTCTTTTTCCATTTCCCTCCCCACCCTTGCAAAGTCGGATAATGGTCCAAAGAGAACTGGGCTGTCGTTCGTGAGCAAGTGCCCCTGCAAAAGGTGACTTGGCTTGACTTGACTTGACTTTGCACGTGCCGAGGGAGGGAAATAGACAAAGAAACACACCACACACCTGAGGCAGGACACCCTCTCAGAAAACAAGTGACATACGCGGAGCAGAAGACACTATTAGCCGTTGAACCAGAGTTGATATATCACATCGCGTCCAAGAAACCGTTAGACCTCGTGCTAACTTTCCCTATTTTCTAGAGGATGTTGCGCTTCTCGAGTAATGGATGGCCTGGGCCTCGTACGGACGGAACCCCAGATGCCGTTCGATCATATCACATCACATCATACTACTTGATGAAAGGGAAAATTTGACAAGAATCTGTAACAGTGGACTCGCGCAATGGATGGGATCCCTCATGGTGAATTTTAGGAAGGTTGCCTGATCCCCAAAAGGTGAGTGAGGAAGCCAAGTCGGTCCGGCTAAATCCTGCGAAAGCGCGAAAGCTACACTAATGGGCCGATTTGATCCGAGATCGAGACAGATAGACAGGCGTCCGGACTTGCGATGATGGATGGCCGCTGGCCGAGTTACATCGCGAGTAGGGCAAGCCGGAGGTTGGAGATCTGATACCTACCCACGATTCGAGGTGTGATGAGATGCCAAAGCAGAGTAAGCGTGTACGACCGTGGAGGTGTGGCCCATATAGATATCGAAAGCCACGATCATAATCTCCCATTCGAAGTAGAGAACCAGGTAAAGATTCGATTCGCAACAGAGAGGAACGATTCAGGAAGGATGCCACACCAACGCCGAGCAAGGATTTCCTTGTCTTCTGCACCTGGTATCGTGCATAACAGCAGGGTCTTACGTGCATGCAGATTGCTGTTGCATTAGCGCCTTGTGGAGATGCAGATGAAGAGCAGGGAACAGGGGATGGAGGCAATCATGACATATTGGCGTTTTTTTTTTCTTGAAGAGACGTATTCAGTTCGATTTTTCAGTCGCAGAGCCTCAACGACAGAGATTGGGATGCTTGAAATGATCAGTAGTGACATTGAGGTTCAAGTGTATTGCCATTGCCGGATAACAAGAGGCAATGGCTAGGAATTGTGTCTCCACATTGGAAAATGTTCGTAGAATCAAGTGGATCTCATCTATTGATGATCTCTATCCGAGCCCTCATCTATGTGAGTAGTAAGAGCCCAACTTATGTCCGAAAAACCATGACGAGCAATGCCTTTTTGTATAAAAATGAAGAGGAGAAATTTTGTTTTCGCAAGCCAGACGTTTTCGCATCAGTCTTTCCACCCAGAATTAAATCAAGAATAGTTGAAAAGGAAGTTCTTTTGCCCACCCAGAAAGAAAATAGCCAAAGCAAAGGAGTCGAATTTTAGTGCCAGAAAAGAAGCGGTCCTGTTTCCCCCCTCCTTCCCAGAATTGAAATATGCAGAAGAAGAAATAGACCATAACAAACTCCTGGAAATGCAGCAGAGTCCAATAGACTGAAGTGTCGCCCCGGAGAGGTTAAAATCGACAAAGTGCTCAAAAACGTCTGCGCTCGCTAGCAAAATCTAGCTCCGATGGAGTGTAATCCCAGAATTTTCGTCCCTTCGTGAATCATAAAAGTATCGTGCCGAGAATGGAAGAAATATGTGACTCACAAAGCCCCCTTGGAGTAATGCTGCACTAGCGTCCACGGGGCTTCATGGCCTGGGAATCAGAAGAAGTGTCGTCATTGGAATCATTATAGTCATAAGAAGCGTCGGTACCAAAGTCCAAGTCGCTTTCGGAGAAGTCGTCACTATCCGAGTCGATTTGCTTCTCGGAAGTTGTGAAGAAGTCTTTCTCATCCTTGTAGCGGACGAGAACCGGATGATTACCGGGAGGAAGAGTGATGCTTTCGCTGCGACGAGCCCGAGGACTCATACGCTCATTATCGTTGGTATCACCATCCGCGCGGCTGCCCCAAGAAGTCTTGGATGGTCAGAAATGGCAAATAGGGGTAGTGACACGTGACTTACAATTCTGAGAGTGAATAATGCCCAAAGTTTGATCAGGCCATGAAAGTAGCCAAATACGACCGAGGTCGGGTAATAGACAATGTCCATTGGATTTCTCTTGAACAATCCGACCAACTTGACAGTCTTCACGACGACGAACATGAAAATCAGCTGCGCAATCATTGCATTCCACCCAAAAACCTTACATGTAAGGTATACGATCAAGGGATCGAAGATGATGGAAAGAGAAGTGAACGTCGCAATGTGCAGAGCATAGGTTGACCAAGGTTGTTGCCTGTGGTAATTGAGTCAGCCGCGTCTAGGCTTTGTAATAGAAGAAACTTACGTCCAGACATGTCTCTCAGTGAACAGACTAGTGTAATTGCTACGCCAGTTGCTACGAGCCCAACGCGAACACTGATACAAGAATTTGTGATCATTCTCAAGAGTGGTCTCAATTTCGCATTGTCGGTTGTATTGGATCCATGTCTTCCATCCATTGGACACCAGCCAGCGAGTAACGAAATTGTCATCATCTGCGTTAAGCTGATATTGACCCCAGCGCTCAGTCTCGAACCCCACCAAGAACAGAGGATTCTGCAAGATCTCGCGGCGGAATGCGCAAGTGCGTCCAGACATACAGGAGGTTCCGCCATCAATGCCATGGGTTGCCGAAATCTCGAAGTTGCGTCTTTCGATGTATGCAGCGCCAAGCCAGTTGTATTGAAGAGCACTGAAGTCCCCAGTACTAAGTCGCTTGACTCTTTGGCATGGTCCAACTCCCCCAATCTTCTTGTTCTCGAAGGGAGCCAATAGCCAGGGCAGAATTGTGCTTGGCCATGTGACATCGTCGTCAGCCATGACAATAATATCAGTCTTGACTTTGGGAATTGCTTCGCAGACCTGGATACGCTTGTTCGCAATTGGGACGTGGAATATGCGGATGTTTGAGACCTCAAGAGTTTTGGCAAAGCTGACAAGTTTATCATACTTGTCTGATGTTGTGACCAGCAGTAACTCAAATGGTTGACAAGCGAGAATACTTTGCATCGACTCCTTCAACTCCTCGAAATTATTATGAATCGTGGGAATGATTACAGTAACATCTTTCGACGAGTACTTCGGATCCGCAGGAATTGGGACGGACTTGTAGCACCAATGGCTGATGGTGTTGACGATGAATCGAACATATCGATGGAGCCTACGACTTGAAGATCAGTACTCGAGTGAAAAGGTTTATACGTTTTCCAGGTGCCAAGAAATAATTTCAAGGAGCAGGTCAAGTCTGCAAAAGTGGCTACACGAGACTATATGGAGTGAACATACCAGAGGAACCAAAATAAGATCTGGGCAAGGTTTTCCCAGAGTAGAGGAAGCATGTTGAGGAAGGCTTTGCAGCAGGTGCCAATGAAGAGCTAAGTCTTTGGGCGTGGAAAGCTTTACGTGACAAGATCTGTTCTTCTAGTAGGGCAAAAGAAGTTGGACCAAGTTGCCACTGTGGAGTGTTGTGAAAGGAGGGAAGGGTGGTCATGTGTCGAATTGCCGGAATAAATATGCGTGGTTGAAAAGGGTGAATTATATATGTAACCAGCCAGGAGACAACAAGCGGGGATCAGCGAAAGTGAATCCCAAGGCGGTGGAGAGAGGCTGAGAATTTGTTTTTGGGAGGCGTCGGCAGGCGTAAAGCCAACGGAATCTTCAGCAGGGTGGATGAGACAACTCGTGGTAGCTGTTCCCGGTGCGTGGGAAAGTGTGAGCCACGTCTCGCTGGCGGGAGATGCTTTTTCGAGGACCGCTCTGCAAAAGTCGATATCGGGTCGAATTCTGGTAGGGATTGGGTGTTCACAGGATCCAGTCGTGAAAATGCACAAGCCCCAATGCAACGCCGTGCCGTGGAAAAAATTGCTTTCCGAGACCGAGAAGGGACGAATGTGTGCAGTTGCGCCTGCTGGTGGTCGATATTCGAGGGGAAGGTGGGAAAAACGAGGCGAGCCGATTTTGGTGGTGGTGATACTTGCTTGGAACAACGAGAACGACAACAACACAAGAACAACAACAGCGAAGGAACGAGTTGATGAAAGACCACAAAACGACCGTTACCGTCCCGTGCCCAAGTTCAATTGATAAATATACAGTACCAGTGCCCTTCATATATCACCGTGCACGAAAGTCGCCGAGATGTCATGCTGTAGTGAGTTTCTCTCGCTACTCCACAGGGTCCGCTGGAGATCTTATAGTTCAGCCACGCCAGACGGATATGGCACGCAGGACGAGCAAGGGAAAGCCAGCCAGAAGAGACGAGCGTTTAAGCAGCGGATACTAACCTGATCGGTCATATTCATCTGGTACAGATGTCGAAAGTAGCCTGACGTTAGTCGACGGAGAGGCCAGGGATCGAGATGGGGAGTGGATCAACTTGGAGACAACAGGCGCTGGGCTGGGCTGGGGCAGAAGAGGAGGAGGAGGAGGGATAAGATGGGATAGGATAGGATTGGAGCGGACAGGATATGAACGGAAGGGATGTGAGCAGCACCCAAAGCGCGCAAGAAAAGTTGAGACATCACATCGAGGTTGAAATACGCTTGCAGAGACGCCACATGCTCCTAGGACCGGGACTGGCAGACGGAGAAACAGACAGAAGACAGACCAGAGAGCCAGTTCTCAGTCTGCGGTCCTCAGTCAGCCCAGACCCCCGTACAGCGCAGGACTGTACGTGCGGACCCGCTACGGAATCGGGAGGAGACACTTGGACGATGTGAACCCCATTTGCAAGATCTGTACAGTACGGACACTACGCAGCCTGCCTGCACCTACTGCAGCGTCTGCGTGCGTCTGCGTGTTGAGACAGCCTGAATGGAAATGCTGGGAGAAGAACCGAGCCTGCACGCCTGCATCGCGCCCCCGTCAATCAGTTATTAGGATTAATTTTTTTTTCTTTGCGCAATTGATGGAAGCAGCGGCGTCTGAACGAACGGGGTGGAGAGATGGGTGAGGTTGAGGGACGAGTCTGTCTCTTTGACAGGGTAGTTTCGGGTATCCTTAACGAGAGGGGGAACAATAGCCTGCTGCACCGAGACGTTTTGGTACAACTTAGGACGCCCTTTCGAAGTAAAAGACCGGAGCTTCAAGCCATCTTTAGCAACCACTGAGGGCGGCGAGCTGGGATGAGAACTAACTGACTGACTGACGGACTGACTGTACGGTGACTACTTGAGGGAGAGGGAAGGGAAGAGCGGCTAGAGAAGAAGAGGGTCGTCAGAACGAGACACCACAAGAGGCGCCCTCGCTTGTCCAACTACCCTGTGGGTGGAAACGCCACCAGCCTGAGCAAGAGCCAGAGCAAGCCGCCGCCTCGATGCGATGCAATTGTCTGCAGCTGCCACTGCCACTGCCAGGTCATGCTATGCTATGCTATGCTATGCTATGCTATGCCATGCCAGGCCGGGCCATACACTACCTACAGTACAAGGTCAGTCCAGGGATCAGTGCGGGCGAAAGAAACATTATTCTCCTCCTCCTCTTCTTCCTCCTCCTCATAGGGTGGGGCCCATCAGATATGGTGTAGCGAGGAGGGGCTGGCTTGTTTCTTCGGTTGGCCTGCTGCTCTTGTCTGATGTTGTTTCTATTGTTGTTGGTCATCGAGGCTACTGTACTCTGGGAAGAACGGTACTCGTCAGGATTCATTGCCCGTACCCGTACCAGATTATCGCAGTGACCTTCACTTTCTGGACCCCAGAGTACCCGAGATCAGCATGGCTTATTGCAATTGGCAAAATAAAATGGGCACGAGGCCGTATTTCTACCAGTTTAGCATCTTGCAGCAAGCTTCTACGACAGAAGAGTGGACGACTAGATGTCAATGATGACGATGAGCAACTATCACGACCTCTCATGGATCCAACAGCACCTCAGAAGCGGCCAGAAAATTCTATGGCACCTTCATTCCGGAGATAGGATGGACACAGGGAAGTTTCCACTTTGTACACAAGCGTTCGTCGGCGCAGAGTGACGCGATGTGCTGCAGCTTTCATGCGGCCAGTCGTCGTCCTCCATGCGAGGTACCTACTCCGTACTTTGAGGGGACTGCAATAGTAAGATTGTCATTACGGATCAAGATTTCTCCAGCAGTTTGAGGATGGGGGGGATGTCAGCCACGACCAGGACTTGGACTTGGCTTTGTGGTACCTTTTCTAACAGGGATGTCGTCTACTGGTCAAAGCGATGCTCACGCACTTGCCGCCTCGAAATATTCGATTTCTTATTTCATATATTGCAAATGCTTAGTGGCTCTTCGCTGGGAACTTGGCCGTACTGGCGTTCATGGATGAAGGGAGTTGCTGGTGAGACATTCAACTGGACAGGCGGGGTTCGCCAGCTGACTAGAGCACTAATAGTAAGAGCAAAAGATGCGAAGCGCGGCTGCAGTGGGAATTCACGAACAGAGTTTGATGTCGGACATTCTATGGCTCGAAGCAGGCGCCCCCGAAGATTACCAGATCAATTGGTATGATGATGGCTGCGAGAATCGGCATTCGGCCGTTGGATAATAATACCATGGAGCAGACGGACGGGAAGACCCTCTCTCCGTATGCTGCTCTGCTCCACGGTTCTGCTCCTGCTTCTCCTCCTGCCTGCTGCTGTCTGCCCAGCGGCTGTCAAGCTCCCTAGCTGGTCATCAATGCGATCTGGATCTTGGTACGGAAGCACGACGCTCTTCCCCTTATTAACCTCAGCGGGAAGGGAACGTGGATCATGTACTTGTACATGAATACCCGCCCAGCATTGAGCATCCGGTTCCAGCGCCTCCGCGAATTGGTACCAACCTGGTGAAAGCAGCACTTTGAGCCGAGAGAAGGAAGCCCAGGACCACAGCAGTGAACGCATGGTGGCGTGTGCTTATCTCCTTCATCTACAGGCCCTGGAGCCCCTCCTTCCAGGACTCCACCTATCCCGCCATCGAGAGCAGACCTCATTCGTACCTCGCAAAGTACTACTACATGTACTTCCAATGCATAGTATGATAATACAACTTCTATGAGCAGCAAGCGAGCTAGATCCAATGTACTGTACGACCTAGTGGACGGCGCAGCTAAAGAAGTTAAGCTCCAACAGTATGCAGCGCTGATCTGTGGATCGTTCACAGTGGCCGCTTTCCTCTAACCTTAAAAATATCAAACACCATCGGGATAGCGAGTAATGCATTATGTATGTCCTCGCCGGACCAGCCCCAAAGGTGGAGTAAGCATCCTGTACCGAAGCATCAAGATATCACATGAGAACCAGCCTTTTGGTGGAAAAAATTCTTCACGTTTCTTCTCAAACATTCCGGGTCAGGGTTTGCTTGTACGACTTGAAACTTGCTTCCAGGCCGGCGAGGACAAAGTACATGTACATGAGAACAGATTGGAAAGAACTTACATATTGCTCCAATAATCCCTGAGGACGAATAGTAAGGAAGGGTTGGTCCAGCCCAGAGATGGAACACTAGGATCGCTGAAAACAAGAATAGCCTCAAGTTCTTTGATCTGCATTACCGTGGTTTATCGATAGTAGTATAGTCGCGAACGCCTCTTGGGCAGCTCGGCAGCACCGTCGACAAAGCAACGGATGCACGGCTGTATGCAAGCGATCGATTCGAGCTTTTTGTCACCGTCCAAAGCGTAAGGTTATCCGGGCCAAAGATGGCATGGCCATGGATGACGGATGAGTGATGAGTGATGAATGACGATTGATGATTGATGATGTGAAGCAGGGTGGTGGGTTGAGGTTGCCGTGGTGTGGCAACGGCGGACGTGACAGCCACGAACGGGAGATTCAATCTAGAACTTTATCTGTACGACCAAACTCCATGTAATGTAGCGCCTCCTCTGGTAGATCCCTAATAAGATTCTCTCAACCTCATTCTGAATCTTATCTAGCTTTTCAGCGTTCTGGATGCGGCAGGTAGTATTGAGACACCGTGGCTGCGAGGGTTTCAAGAATTTCCCCAAGTTTTTACAAGTCCCAGCCCGGTTCTGGTTCGGTTTCTCTTGAGAGTGGTGACATTGCCAGCGAGACAGGCCGGCTTGATACCTCACGTATAGGAAGCCTACACAAGCTTCCCCGAGTCAGACATCGAACGAAGAGGGCTCGAAAAGAAGGCGGGAAAGGAAGCAGCACAGGGTTGGGTTTCATTCATCATCTGCGACATTTCGTTTCTTTATTTGATGCACTGCAACTCTACTACAGAGATCAAAGCAATCAATCAGTCAATCACAGGACAAGGTTATTAATATCATCCAGGTTCTCGGTACAGCCAGCACGGGACGGATAAGTCCAGCTGAAAGTGATGTGCAACCGGCTGAAGAAGAAGCAATGTTGTTCATTCGGAAATTCCCTAAGGTCTCTCTCTGCCTCTGCTGCTGTATCTCGGAGGCACGACTCAAGGAAGTATATTCTTCCTGCTCCATGACCACCGCGCGTGTGTGCAGAGATTGGCCGGCCGGAACGAGAAATGGGATAGACAGGCGGAGGATCCTCCAGCCCAGGGAAGATCTCTGGAAAGGAAAACCTGGACCAGATAGGTATTGTATCTCCGCCGGAATCGAGACTCGGGATTTGCTCGACTCACCTCACCTCTCAATGTCAATGCATCATGTACAATGAAAATCTCGTCTGCTTCTGCTTCATACATACATCCACACATACGGACAGCAACACTGAATGGGTCTGTGGAGGGGATCATCGTACCAACAAGAAAGCAGCACAGCAACATCAAAGCTCCAGACGGCAGATGTGCAGCAATAGCGGCCACAAGGGAAGAATGAAGAAGCGATGTCTTGACTATTGGCTATCCGTAGCCTTATATATCAGATTAATTATAGGTATGGAGGAACAAGCCACAATTCACGTCCAAGCTCCTTGCTCTGGTGTCAATTTTGTCCGTCCGTCCGTCCCATGGATTGCGAATGGAGATCTCGCTCGAGCATTGATCCTCACGGTGACAACGGCACACAGATCTCATGGCGTCGTCGGTCTGGCAAGTGAAGTGGAGTGGGAAGTGGTGCCCGCCATTCCGTTCCGCCGCACGATGGATGATCATGATCCCCTTCTGACGAGAAGCGCAGGCCAGTGAGTGAACGCGGCGATTGACGAGGTGATCACCATATCGCTGCCCACGCCCAGGAGTCCAGCCAGAGCAAAAAGTGACCCCCAATAGCCTACAGTGAACCTAACAAATGAGCAATGGGTGAGGAAACACAATGGCACCCCCTTCTGATCAACCCCCCTTACATCAATCGTTCCTATTAGTTCCTGACAGATGACCTGGAGCTTCCTTGATTCATGGGAACAAGATTTCACTCCGTTTCTTTCTTTCTCTCTCTCTTCCTCCCTCCTTCCTCTCCCCTCTTGTTCTCTCTTTCTCTTGCACTGTCCTCCCTGCCCCTCCTCAACCTCCTGCACGCCCGGGCAGCATCCGTTGGAGCCGCTGACTTGAAACGACATAGTCATGCTGAGTAAGTATCGCCGAGTTTTCCGGGGGTTCCTTTCCTCCCTTCTCCGCTGCTGCTGCTGAGAGAGGAGCAAAGAGGGGTCGCGGTGGGAACTCTCGGGCACGAGCAGCGTATTGTCTGGTCCCAGCCATGGGTGTAGCCAGTGAGAAGACGACGATAGCTGATAGGAGGAGGAGCGGGTCCCCGGCAACGCAAGCCAGACCCAGACCAGACTAAGTACTCTGAAGGAACCTCAGACCGCCCAGACCAGACCAGCCCAGCCAGGCATGCTGAGGCTGATTGATTGATCCTCAATCCTTCTCTCGTTGTTGACTGCATCTGCATCGCCTGTTCTGACGACCACCCTCAACGACGACGACGACGACGACGACGAAGACGACAACCAACCTCAGATCATCTATCACTTGATCCATCAGCACACTCTCTTGATATAGCACGTCGTTGCTGCTCTCAACGAAGCGGGTGTTGCACTTGATCTGCATCTAAAATCAACCCATCACATCCACCGGAATCCCCGGCTGCAGCGCAGGCATGCGAGGTCGATGATATATGAGTTGCGGTGACCAGCAGAGGGGAAGAAGAAGACGACGACGAAGGAATCAAGGGCTCTGACTCTGGCTATCGCCGTGCATTCGTGCAACCATGTCCAGCCATCATGGCGAACGGTCGAAGTCGAGGACCAAGGTCAAACCGATCCTCAGGAAATTGACGCAGAGTGAGAAGAATTCGTTGGACTTGGACCGACCAGCTGCTGAGCAGGATGGTCTGGGCATATATGAATATGGCGCTGCATCTCGCAGCTCACACGATATTGGGTTTGTGCAAACAGGCCGAAGAGGATATCACGCCCGGTCGACCAGTGGTACCTCTCAATTCTCGACAGCAACAACTGGCAGTGGCCATCGAACAGGAAGTTTCGTGCATCCGTTCCAACAAACACCTCGACCCTATACCCCGCCCATTGCAGCCTCATATCAAAACTCGCTCCGTGAAAGTGAAGTGTCCCATGCGAATTCACCGACTTTGGAGGAAGATGAAGACCAGCTACGTCAACACCCTTTTCGCTCACCTTCGAATCTCTCGAATCGAACCACCTCAATAACGGGAGCGACCTCGAGTCCAATTCTCACATCTCCGCTTCCAAATCTTCGCATTCAAACCAAACCCTCTTCATCACGTCTTGCATTGGCGACGTCGCACACAAGTCTACACAATTCTACACTCTCTCCCGATATCGCATCTCCTACCGACACAATGTCCCCAGTATCCGCCATTCGCACCTCCATGGACAAAGGTTTCCGCATCCGCAGCCGCAGTGAAGTCGATACCGGTGTCCGCGCAGAAACCATCCAAGAAGCCCGCCGCAAATTCCAAGAGAAGGAGGACGCCAAGGAGGAGAAAGCTGCGCGGGAGGAAATCAAGGCTCTCGAGAAGCGTCAACAGAAGGAAGCTCGCACCTATGAACGAAGTGCCCGCAGATCGTCCGCCAGCGAACATCCCCGCTCCAAGCGTGCCCGTTCGAAGTCCGATCTCACCATGCAAGAGAAGGGCGGAGACGTCTTTGTCGGTAGAGGATACGATTCTGTCCCAGTCCAAACCCCGCCTTTCTTGGGTGAGGGATTCGAGCAACCACGACGAACCAATACTGCCAAGGCAAAGACCCATAGTGCTTGGACCAAGTTTGTCATGTGGTTGAAGACGAGATGGATTCGATTGAAGAAGTGAGGGGCAGCTATGGACATGTGGAGAGAAGTCTGGGAATACATGGACGAGCATCTACTTGTCCTTCATGGGACGAGAAACCTCCTTTCCCTCGCTCCGCAGACGCCTTCTCATATTCACGGACCTGCTTCCTGACATACGTTCTCACGAGCTCACGATTACCCCTCACCATTCACGATTCACGCATATCACACCAACACATCTGTTTTTCGGCGTTCAGGAACGGCTTTCACGACTGCGATGCTTTACAACGAACCAGGATTCACACCAAGATAGCCTCTCGGAACGAAGCTTGGATCACAGCACAACGGCATTGACATTTCAACACATCAGCGAGGCGTTTAGGGTTTCTTTCATATCAGGATGGGACATACCCGATTCAAGATTTTAAGGCGGCGGTGGTTTTTTCTTTTCTGCTCATTTGTTATCAGGTTGCAGGTCGATGGGACGGATATGACATGGTTCTCCTTCTATGAGGTTGGATGGATCGTGCATCGGACGCAGATATGAGCGATGGTTTACATACTCTGCGACTTTTAGAAGGCGCTGGCGCGGCAGTCTAGCAATGCAACGGTTTTCAACATCAGTGTCCATTGTGGTTGTGATTGTGATGTTCTGCTCGGTGATATGACCTGATCTTGTTGTGAACTGCTGTGCAGGCAAAGACCATTCTTGAGTTCTTTTCGATCCGAGCTCCAATGCTGCATGTCCTACCGAAAGATACGACTTTGATCCCGTTGTAAGTCACAGCGCAAGTACAGATATTGCTTATTCTCTTCTCTTGAGACTTGGGGACCCAGTATTCTACCCTGAGGAGTGGCTTTGAACGACGTAGAGTAGATTTGGGCATTGCCAGCTCTCTGCTTCAGAACTCTACGGAGGTAATCCACTATGCTGGATCTGATGCTTGCTTGCCAAGTAATGAGATTCAGTATTCGGCGTGGGTTGCTTGTTTAAAGCTTTGGGTAGTCTGGTTTTGTTAGACAGATACAATTGTTCTAGCGCCTGATGGCTGAAGGTGTGGTGTTGAGGGCACCTAGCTACAATGTGTTGTATGGAGGGGTTTTGATTACTTTTGTCTCTATAATATGATTTAGTACGGCTGGGATATCTTGTTATGTATGCTGATTAATTAGTAGTGAATAGGAGGTGTGTTCGCAAGGAGTTCTTGCTGTCGAGATCTTTCTGCTGTCAAGGGACTTCTTGTCGTGGTAATTTTTCAAATGGACAAGTGTTGAAGTGAGACTGGATGTCGGATGTCTGTCTTTGTCTAGTGAGGGGGAAATGAATAATTGTTCTTAAAAGCAAATTCGAACTTGATGTTTGTTCTTTCTTTCTACATATCTGTTAATAGTAATGGCATTTTCTTGTGAAGATTTTCTGACCTCAAAACTGCAACTAAACTCAAAGTAAAACTATAAATAAATGTGAAAGACCTGTTCATCCCCAAGTGCAGGTAATCTCACATGACCTTTTAAACTCACCTCTTTGAAATCCGAACAAAGGATTTATATATTAAGAAAGCTACTATGTTTATAGTCCTGTCATGTCAGACACCAGGTTTGGACATTTCTCGACTGTTAAATCACAATTTGCTTGATCCCCTTTTCTTTGTCGCTTAGCAGTCTGCCCCACCTAGGTCACCAAGAAGTTATAATACAACTCTATTTTCTTTCGAAGAAAAGATCTTGAGGAATAGTTGAGATACTTTTGAGATAGGGATACAGTCTACGTATATTGGCGTCAAGTGATTGCATGTCCTCAGTCCATTCCCAGACATTGCAAAGTGTGAGGCTAAGTTCGGGCTTCAGTTACTATGAGGAGTTGGGTGATAGACAAGACTCATCAAAAGCTGGTTAAGACTGTGAGACGTGTCCTGGTATCTCAATATTCCCATATATTGGATGCAAGTGACTGCAAAGCAACATTATCATCACAAAACCAGGTATTCAAATAACAGTACATTTTTCTTCATTGACTCTGTTCTCAATGCTTTGATCTATAAAAGAATACTCCCCTTGCTTGAACTCAGCTTCTTCTTCTTCTTCTTCTTCTTCATCATCTTCATCATCATCATCATCATACTTCATACTTCATACTTCAACTTTCACCAGAGCCTTCCAAGCAGAAACCGAATCAGATAAAGGCGTCAGCATCCTCCACCCAACAACAGGCAACCACTTCCTCTTTCTCCTACTTCACACCAAGCCAAATGTGCGATTACGGCAACGAAAAGTGCCCAGGATGCCAAACAATCACCGGTGAGAAGTTGGGCGCTATCTGCAACGGGAGAGCGGGACCACAGAACAGGTGTTCTGGAAAGCGCCATCTGAAATATTACGATGGTCCGGGGGCATATTGCCGGAAGTGTGGGGATAAGTTGAAGAAGAAGAGTAAGTAGTAGGGTGCTGATGGGACGGGAGGGAGTTGAGGGGTTCGGGAGTGTTTTTTAGATTAAGGTTAAGAGTGGAGGTTGTACTGGAGAGTTGAGATGGGTGTGATGTTATGTTTGCATGGTTTTTGGGAAATTGGTAGAGAGCAAGACTGGAGCTTGCTGGGTACTGGTTTCATTTTTGCAGCACGATGGTTGAGTTCAGCCTGGCATATCTAGTCTCCTAGACTTTTTGATCTAGAAACGAGTCAGAACATTAGATGAATGCAGGACATCTGGAAAGGAACCTACTCTTGACCTGGCCTTGATGTAAGTCAAAAATTGTGTCATTCAAATTCTGTATCCTGCGACCCTTCAAGCTAAGACAAAACTGGCATCACTATGAATAAGCCTAGATACGTGAAATGACATGCAATGGAATCAATGTCTTCAATTTACATTCACGAAAGTCTCCACATAGAATATAAAAAACCCACACGTTTGCCTCAGCTGGAGCCTCTTCTTCAAGATATAACATCAAAACTCAACTCTTAGAAACCAAAATATCTACATCCATCAAACCCATATATCCACTAAGATCTTACAACCATACGAAGATGTGCGGCTACGCCTGCTTATTCTGCAAGTTCTGTGGAGTCGAGATCAGAAAGATTCATGTCGCATTCTGCAACAACGTTAGCATTCCGTTGTGCGTGGGTGTTTACTTCCCAAAGTTCGACGGTGTAGGTATATGTCCTCGATGCCAAAGCACACGCGCGAAGTTATAGAAAATTGAGAGGGAAGGGAATTTGGTGTTTTTGGCATGGAGAGATATACGGGTGGAGTATTAAAGGAAAACGGTAGATCTCGAATTTCCGGTGGTTTTGCCGCTCCTCGAGGCTTATTGAGCTTGTATATAGAATGAAAGTAAATGTTTTAAATACCTGATAGCTTGACCAGGTTTTGTGCTCGACACAAATGCTTACCGAACGCCATTACAAATGAGAACTTGGCATGGGAGTTATAAGAACGAAACAGGACAGCAGATAACGTGAAGCTTGCCACTTGCACTTAAACTAGAATCTTTGCGTATACGTGAGGCGCAATTGGGAAGGTGGGACATTTTCTTCAAGAGCTGATTACTACCACAACCCATCAATAACCTCGACAACCTTCTCTGGCATACTCAGAAATGGGCTGTGCCCTGCACCACAACTCACTTCACCCATCTTTCCCCCAAAGACCTCACCTTCAACACTAGCAACCATACTCTTTTGAACCTCAAGAGGTAGAGCTTGATCATTCTCGCAGAATAGATACGTGCTCGGCACGTACTTATACCCCACATTCGTGAGCGGTGTAAGCGAGGCTATTTCGGGGTGTGGTCGGAGAAGAGAGACCCAATGTTCCTGCTCAGCAGTTGGAAGATCGTTGTAGAGTCTGCGAGCCGGTTCGAGCATATTGCAGGATCCATCTTCCTATAGGCACACCTGTGTCAGCGATTCGACATAGGTAGACGGACGACGAGTTCATTTACCTCGACAGGAATGAATGGAGGCAAACTGCCACCTAGCGGTGAGGCAAGGCATTCACCATTGTGAAGTACGAAACCTGTCATGAAGAGGAGGTGTATGACACCTCCCTTCAATCCCTTCTTCTCTCTAGCTGATCTTGAGAAGTCTTCAGTCACGGCCTGGGTCCCCAGAACTCCACCGTAAGAGTGCAAGACTAAGATAACTTCTTTTTGTTCTTGTTCGACGAGCTCTGTCAGCATGGAGCGGACGAAATCTGCATCATCATAAAGAGTCTTGGTGGGAGGTTTGGCGTCGAATGTTGGCTGAGTGGGGCAAATGGGTGGGTATTGAGCTTCAGTGAGGAGGGACGTCAGACGCTCGTAGTGAGGTGGACTATGCCATGAGCCATGAAGGACGATAATGGTTGGCTTGGAAGGAGACATTGAAATGACTGGATGTATGAAGAGTAGAAGGATAGAAGTTACTGTTGAAATAAATGGAAATTTGCATTTGCTGGTGGTGTAAGCTTTGATATGAATTCGCTTTGGTTGAGCTTTTGATAGGCGCAGAAAACGAGAAGCTTGTGGTAAGACTTGAGGCCCCTTCAGCATGAAGGACTGTGCTCACCCGCGTAAGCGACTTTCCCCTGGCGGATAGGGATGCCTACCACCTTTCGACGACGATGGAAAATGCGAGTGTCCCAATGACAATTCGGGCTTCAAGGCAAATGGACAATTTGGGCATGATGCTGACGATCTGTCTCGATACCACGTAGTGCTGCTATAAACAGACTTCCATTGGTCCTTTGAACGATTCTGAATGAAGTGGGTGGGAAGCTATACTCGTCGCGAACTGAGATAAATGATAGTGATGGGAAGTGAAGTTTGATGAAAAGAGATCGACGAATGAGAGAACTTCAGGCTTGTGAACATGGGCTGACAGTGCTACGCCCCAAAAATTCCAAAGGACCATCCCCGCTATTGAATGAGATTAACCTTGATTGACACACTGTGAATATGATCAGTGAGATACATTTTTCACTATCTTCTCCTATCGTGTTTTTCACTAGCCATGTAGACATAACATGCTTCAATGACTTTCCATATCCCGGCCGTCGGCTTCGTATGTTGAACTGTTCCAGTCGTCGTGTAATGTGGCGCGGTTGTCGTGAACTTCCTCGGAATCGTTCATGAGATTCATGAAGTTTGCTTCTACCATTCGTGTATTTGAAGCCGATCATTTGAAGTGGGCTATTTCCGGTCCCTATGCCAGGGGTTATGCAACGTGAGGGTACTGGAGGGAATTTTTGAAGGAAGCTGTAAATGTCCGAGTCATAAGTAAACAGAGAGTCTTCTGTCCTTTGATTTCCATTTACTGAATCGTCCCAGCCCGACACTTAAGTCCTTCTTGACGTTAAGAGGAAGTAGCCGACCCAGAGAAGGAACAAAAATTCGAAAAAACCCGAAGGGAAAGTGGCATTTGGTGCTGCAATGCTCGTGCTCGTCGTAGGTGACACCGAAACTCCAGGAGTGCTTGTGGGCAATGGAGTATGCTGTAAAGATGCTGAAGCGATTCCGGTCTGAGTAAGGGTGCTACTGGTTTCACTGACTGTGGTGCTTGGTACTGAAGTCGTAGACGTTACAGACACAATAGAGGCACTTGTGGAAGATGAAGATGACGAAAGTCCTGAAGTAGTACCAGTTGTGCGTGCTGACGATGATTGAAAGGTCGTGGTTGTCGTAGGGCGAGGAGGTCTCACAGAGACCAATATCTGACTTGTTGTAGTTTGTGCCATGATTGTGATTTGGTGAAAAGGAAGAAGGATGAAGTTGCATCAGGAAGAAGGTGAGGTGAGGGGTATTTGATATCGTTAATCTGAAACGAGCTGAAAGGGGAGCCGATCCACAGGCGGTGAATGATTCTGCCACCGACTCGGAATTTTTGAAGAAAAAACATTCTGAATTTCTTCGACGGACATGCAACAGCTTCGCAACATGGATATTCTCAAGCTGCTCTCGAGGTCGACCAAGCAGACTACGAGAACCAGAAAAGATGCGCCGTCAACCAAATTGCCATCCGCTGGCACCTCTGCGAACCCTCAACTGTTCTACGATGCGATACCAGAAGCTCGAGGAAAGAAAAGAAAGCGTGGCAGAGAAACAGAGCAAGTTCAGGCGCAGGATGAAGCGGAAAGTAACGTAAACTTCTTCGAGGAAAAGGCGTCTGTGTCGAAGGAAAAGAAATCTCCTGCTCCAAAGCTTGCCACGAAGTCAGAGTCGAAGACCGACATTGTAGCAGAATTACTTGATGAAGGAGAATGTCGCCAACTCCTGCGATCCCACAGATTGAAGGCTACTCTCCTGCCGTCGAACAAGCCAGCCAAAGTGATCAAGAAGTCCAAAAAGAAGAAGAAGGCCGTGGAATCAACAAAGAAGGAGGAATACAAACAGATATATCCCCAACCGTTAGTCGCATTCAAGGATTTACGGAGCACCTATGGGATCTCTGGTCGCATGGCAGAGAACCTGGTACAGCAAGGATACAAGATTCCAACAGAAGTACAAATGGGAAGCTTGCCACTTCTGCTGCGGCCGAAGATTGCCTTGGGAGAGTCCATCAACGAGGTGGAGGATGCCAATGGAGAGATCCATGTTGATTTACTAGCTGTGGCACCTACTGGAAGTGGGAAAACCTTGGCTTTCTTGATACCAATTGTGGATCAGATCATGCAACGAAGAAGAGCCAGCGAGGCTAAAGAACATGTCCTTGAAGCTATCGTCGTAGCACCGACCAAAGAACTGGCTACACAGATTGTCAACGAAGCGAAGAAACTGAGTCCGGGGACTGGAGTAAAAGTTGTGGGGATGCGTAAAGGTATGAGGATCACAAAAGAGGATGATCAGGAACAGGACGAGAGTTCAGGTGACGAGGGAGAAGACGAAGAAGATGATGATGGAGAAGATGCTGAGAAGCCCAGGAAGAGGACGTCACAACCTGCTGTGAAAGCTGATATTATGGTCTCAACTCCTGGCCTTCTCTTCAGTGCTTTGTCAACGGACTTGGCCCAGCCTGCATCATTGCCGACAACTCGCACGCTTGTCCTCGACGAAGCAGACGTTCTCCTTGATCCCCTATTTCGAGACCAAACACTTGGAGTCTGGAACTCGTGCACGAATCCTGAGCTTCGTGTCACGCTGTGGTCTGCGACTATGGGTTCGAACATAGAATCACTTGCCTCATCTACCATTCAGTCTCGTCGCTCACGCCTTGACCTAGCACCTACATCCCATATCATCCGACTCGTAGTTGGACTCAAAGATTCCGCCATTCCCAATATTACCCACCGTTTAGTCTATGCAGCTACGGAGCCTGGAAAATTGATCGCTCTACGACAACTACTCCATCCGACTGCGAAGTCTACTGATGCAACACAATCACTTCGTCCTCCTTTTCTAGTCTTCACACAAACTATTCCCCGCGCAGTGGCTTTACACTCCGAACTCCTCTACGACATCCCTTCAGAAGCAGGCGGCTCTACCCGTATTGCTGTCCTCCATGCCGAGCTCTCGGATACCGCTCGCTCGACGATCATGACCCGGTTCCGAAACGGCGAGATCTGGATCTTGATCACTACCGATATTTTGTCCCGTGGTGTCGACTTCCGCGGTATAAACGGAGTAGTGAATTACGACGTGCCAAATTCAGGAGCAGCGTACATCCATCGTGTTGGGCGTACTGGACGAGCCGGTAGGGAGGGAGGAGTAGCTGTCACATTCTATACGAAGGAAGACATTCCATACGTGAAAGCGGTCGCGAATATCATTGCTGCGAGTGAAAAGGCTGCTGGAAAAGGAGAGAGTGAGGCAGGCATGAAGAGATGGTTGCTAGATGCACTGCCAACGCCGAGCAAGCAGGAGAAGAAGAAACTGAAGCTACACGGCGTTGAGGCTAGGAGGGGTGGATTAGGAGAAAAGAATAAAGAGGGAAATGTCAAGGGAAAATGGAAATCGCAGATTAGTACGAAGAGTGGATATGAGCGGAAGTTGGAGCATAACAGGAAGGGAGCTATTCAGGGGAGTAGAAGAAGGATGTTGGAGGCTGAGAAGGAAGAACAGAATGGTGAAGACAGTGAATGGGGTGGGATTGATGAGTAAATACAGGATGTTTGTCGTTGATTGGATCAGCAGGCGCAATCGTGGTACCCATTTCGTTATTCTGCCAGGCGTTGTATTTGGTTCTCTGTATTCAGCTATCGTCTCAAGGCAGACTTCGATACGCCTCGTTCTTTCCCCACCCCTCACACTCCCCACTTTTCATGACTGGATTCCAAATCTATGTTCAAGTATGCAAGAGTGGGACAAGGCGAGCAGGTGGGCGATAGCAGAAAGTCAATTGGGTGGCATTGTTATCGCGAGGCTGCAGACTCAGCCACCACAATTCTCAATCGGACGAGAATATTCTGAAAGAGGTCCGAGGCTTGCAGCATCGCACCTTTTCACTTATTGACCTTGTACAAAAGTGTGAATTATGCAAGGGATGGCGATAATAGCAAGTGCTATTTTTGCGACCTACTCGTCTCATATTTCGAGGAACTTTCAAGCTGTGGCTTTGGGAAGGGACTGGGTCACAGGAAGCTCCTTGATGCCGGGCAAACCATGATCTATAAATCTCGTTTTAAAACTCGACTTCTTTCCCCTTTTGCTAGTTGATTCTGAATTTCATTCAAAGCAAAATGTACATTCGTAGCGAAAGCCATTCGTCGCACATTCGCACCTTCAATTCCATCGCTCGATTAGTATCAAGTGCCTTACATGGAGGCTTCAACAGACAAGCTTGCCTCCCCGTTGTTCAAGGAATGCTCAACTCTAGCATCTCCTTAGCGAACGATACGTCTTTCTTCTGGCAAGATAATTCAGGCCATAGCTGGTCCGATTATCTGCACCCCATCGTCTTAGTAGACATCTGCGAGGAGATATGTGGCGGTAGTGGCATGGGCTGGTATCCGGATACTGCCACGCGGTTGCTCACCTGGTTTGTGCCTGGGATCTTTCTGGTATCGAGTATAAATCTCGCACCGATTGGCAAGAAGAGATTTGCTATGGTGGCGCATCTCTTTGGGGACCCGATCCATTCTTATTGGTCTCTCCTGACGAAACTTGAGGATTGGGATGAGTGCTATGATGTAGCTCGAAGTCTTCACTTGAATACACCTGCACTTGAATCTAGTTCCTGTTTTTGGCAATTCCTCCTCCCTCTTCACGCAACTCCAATCGATAAAAAAGCAAGGAATACAGCTGTAATCATCGCCGCTATTAAGGAACTTCTACCCCCAAACTCGAACCTTACTATCACTTCGATCAACCAATGCTCATGTCTCGACATCCCTCCAACCATGCTCAACGAACTAGCAGGCTCCATCATCAGCGCTCGGATATCAGGCAACATAACCACCTGGTTCGCAATTTCGACCTACATATTCGGCATCATCTGTGCTTTCGTCTCCCAGCTAGGGGGCTCGACAGGATCAGGTGGACCTTCTGGTGGGAGGATAGCTCCTGCTATGTTGCTATCGTGGTTACTACCTAATATCTTGTTAAACAACGAGGTTGGGCAGTTGAAAAGGGAGGATTGTATCAGAATTGTCCGACGACTTGAGGAGAACGCTAGGACATTGGAAGGGCCGCATCACCAAGAGTGCCAGAGGAATTCGTATCCACTTTTTCGAGATTGGACAGCGGACGCAAATGATGCTGATTGGGCTATGTTCTTGAACTCTCAGGCCTGGTCTGGTGGGGTTTATTCTTGTCAGTTGCAGAAACCTATGCTCAGCCGGAAAGTCAGATCTTGGTTCCTTGTCGCTGTCGCTGTTACGTCTGTCTGTGTTTCGTTCAGTATTGCATTTGGGGTGCTCTACTCATTTCCTACTTTCTTTAGCTGTCGGAATGTCATGTTTATTGGTATCACATTTGTTTGGCTTATGGGCCCATTCCTCACACGTATTATCATGACCAATGCCTTCTTCGGTCATGAACTCAGATCGCGGTGGAGGATTCTAGTCTGTAAAGACATTGTTATCGGGCTGTCCGTCATAATCTTGCTCGTGGCTTCAAGTTGCGGATTAGGAAATAGCTGTCGATGCTGGGCCGGATTCAACAATAAGATCAAAGGCGTAGTTTTGGACCCTGGGCAGCAGTTCACGGAGAACAATGATTACATTTATCCCATACTCATTGGGGCTTGCTTGTTTGCTCAATACCTGGTGTTTAAGACGGCGTTGTACATTGGAAGGTCTGGGTTAGGAATCATGACATGGAGCTCGAAAGACCGAAGGGCTTCGTTACCTCCTAGAGTTATGAGTCAAGATGTGGAAAGTGTTGATATTGCAGATTCAGGGTCAGAGGGACGAGCTATGCTTGGAGATGACAGTGTACATGAACTTGTGGTATACAGCAATTGGGATTGAATTGGCACACGAGCTTGATTCTTTCTCCGGAATATCCAAGCCTTTCAAGTCTGACACAATCATGCAGTCAAAATAGAAAGTTCTTCATCGAGATTTGTGTTGTCCAAAGCAAATTCACAGCCATGTGATTGCCACGCCTCGCCTCGGCCCGTAAAGACGGTTCACTTGCCTTGACCCGAAAAGGAAGTTGTCACACCCGAAACTCAACCTCCTTCTACTTTCAGACGACACATAATCGACCTCTAGCTTCGCTCTATCGACCATAATTTTCCCCTGGAAGCCATCTTTTACGAAAACTGTTCTCGTTTGGTCGCCATCGACAATCTTATAGGCCCATACAAAAAAGTCTTTCTCGGCTAATTCACTTGCCACCTAAGACGGCCCAAAAAACTTCTGAGGCTTGAACTAAGAACGGAATAATTACCAGAACAGATCAGAAAATTAGTTCCTTGCATGTTTTAAAGCCGTCAGAACCCCCTTTCGAAAGACGGCATGATGCACACAGTGGGAGATCCGGGAGCTAGAAACTTCTGGCCGCAGATCTAAAGCTTCAATGAACGCGTCCCCCGATTTCATAGCTGTGGCGCCGGTTCTGCAGCCTTTCTGGGAGTCAACTATGGCAATCAAGACCAATAGTAATTATCATAGATATCTGGTGGAGACCTCAGACATATCCGAGCCGCGTGGTGGTTTCGATTTCACGGCTTCTCGAGGCTGGCGCATGGCTATGCTAGGCTTTGCAAAGTGGGACATATTCAACATGGAGAACTCTTTGGGACGCACTTTTCGTTTTTTCTGCGAACAGAATGCCTCTTGTTCACAATCCAAATGTTCCTCCTGAGCCAGGCTCGCGAGCAGGAGCTCTCATTGCACTTCAAGTATTTTTTGTAGCAGTTGCATTGCTTGTTTATTGTCTTCGAGTATACACGCGTGCGTTTATCCTCAGATCTATTGGCCACGATGATTATATCATGGGACTTGCTGTTGTAAGCCTTCATGTCTCTCTGCATAGTTGATCCATCATCACTTGCTTGCCTCCTATTTCAACATACGAAGCAAGATCTGACCACATCGCAGATCCTCAGCATCGGCCTTTCAATCAATGCCTGCATCAGCACTACATTTGGCTGGGGCCACCACCTATCTTCCATCCCGCCCTCAAACTACAGCTCTATCCTCATCACAATCTGGATCGCAGAACTCCTCTTCACGCTCTCGACTTCCCTGGCCAAGATCTCAATTCTGTTCTTCTACCTCCGTCTCGCTGTCACGAAGACCTATCGAACAATCATACACTGCAGCATCGGATTCATAATCATCTGGGCTATTACCTTTACTCTTGTTGTTATCTTCGTGCGTCTTCCTGTTCCTGTTCTCTTGAAGGAAATAGCTGACAAGTGAAAACAGCAATGCACGCCAATCCCAGAATACTGGAACCCTACCGGGACATCGTGCCGTGACCCTGAAGCCGCACTCTTTATCCACGGCTTGACAAATTCTCTTACAGATGTGTACATTTATATCTTGCCCATGAAGATGGTGTGGGAAGTGCAGTTGCCAAAACGACAACGTATGGGGTTGATTGGTATTTTTGCTGCGGGTTTCTTGTACGTTCTCCTTCCCCCATTTTCGTCCTTTTGTAAATACTCCCTATCGGGAGTTCAAAAAAATGAACTACCATGAGTACTGATTGAAAACAGAGTATGCGTCGCAGGCGCCCTCCGACTCTACTACTCGATCCTAACGCAAAAGTCCACCGATACGCCGTGGGAAGGCTTCAATCTCTGGACATGGGAGAGCATTGAGATAAATTTGGGGATCGTGTGTTCATCGGCCCCTTGTCTGAAAGCTCTTATTACCAAGATGATCCCGAGAATGTTTGGTAGTGTGGGTGGGAGTAAGGGGACAGGTAATGGAGATGAGAGTGGAAGGAGGGGTATCGGGATGGGGTATCTGGAGAGTGGGAGGAGGGAGAGGGATAGAGAGAGGGGGGAAAGCGAAGATGAGTTGACGGGAAGGGATGGGAATGAGTGTGTGCTGGTCGCGAAAATGGATGTACATCAGAGTTGGCTGAAGGTTTGAGGTTGAAAGAAACTTGGGAGAACTTGGCGGTGTATCGTTGAGACTCTAACTTTGGATGTTTTCGTACATCACAGAGAATTAACTATCCCCTCCCTCATATCTCATAATTCATCAACCCTCCTCCATTCCTCACAAAACACTCAAACCCCCCCGCACCCTCAAATCCCTCGAACTAAACCCAACACTAACGACAAACTCCCCCTCCGGCACAACCCAATCCTGCCTAACAACGTCCCAAAAACTAATATCCCTCCTCATCAACCTAAAACTCACACTAGCACTCTCCCCCACCTCCAAGAACACCTTCTCAAAGCCACGCAACTGTTTTGGCGGCGTCCCCGCCGGCGCAGAAGAAGGGAGCGAGATATAGAGCTGTGGGACTTCTGCGCCTGCTACGTCGCCGGTATTCGTTAGCGTTACCGTAACGTTATACAGATTCTCCCAGAGCCCTGTATTCCCGCCGGGGAGAATAGTAGCGGGTGCAGCGGTCGCGGTGATAGTTTCGTTAGATAGCTTCGCGATAGCTAGATCCGAGAGCTCGAACGTGGTGTACGAGAGTCCGAAGCCGAATTCGTATAACACGGACATATTCTGGGCGTCGAAATAGCGGTAATCGATCTCGAGCTTCTCGTCGAACCAGGCTTGCCATGCGTAGGGATCGGTGGAATTGACAGCTGTGGTAGGGAGGCCGTTGTAATCGTCTGTTTCCAGCGCGATGGTGTAGGGGAGTTTGGCGGAGGGGTTCACGGTCCCGTAGAGGATGTCGACGAGTGCGTTGCCTGATTCTTGGCCTGGGTAGTGGGCGGCGATGATGGCGGTTACGTTGGGGTTCGAGGCGAAGGGGAGGTTGTTTATTCCTGAGGCGTGGGTGATGACTATGGTGTTGTTGCAGTAGGAGGTGACGGATTCGACGACTTCGTTGCCGGACCAGTCTGTGTCGAGGGAGGTGCGGTCGGCGCCTTCTTGGGCGTAGTTTTTGAGGAAGACGAGGCAGACTTCTGGGGGAGTGGGGATGGTGAGGGTGGAGATGTCGGTGGTGGCGATTAGGGTGTTGTTTAGGAATTGTTGGATGATAGCTCCTGTTTCTTTGGCTTTTTCTTTTAATGCATCGAGGGGCGTGACGAGGTATGTGAGACGACCAGTTCCTGAGCCACCTCCTACGGAGATGGTTCCGTATTCCCAGTCTACTTGGTTGTAGAAACCTTGTGTGTCCTCGCTAGCATCGTTTCCGAAGACACCGATGGACTTGGGTGCTTTGAACGGAAGAGTGGCATTTACGTTCTTCAGAAGAACAGCGGATGCGGCGCCGATTTTGCGGATCAGTATCGAGTGATTGGATCGAACGTCACGGCTGGAGGGACCGGTGAGTGTCCAGTTTCGCAGCCAAGTGTCCAGAGGAAAGTTTGTATTGAGAAGTGCACTTGAAGGGTCGACTGTGGGGAAATCCTTGTCCTGGCCGAGGAAGTAGTATGGAGTCATAATTCGGGTGACCATATCATCCAGTCTAGCAATGTCGAGGGTGCCGTTATTCACAGCAGCCGTGACATTTCCACCGAAGTGAGAGAGTGGTGCTAAGTATTCGCCGTACTCTCCCAGACCACCTGGCATATTCATGTCGAGGCCTCCTTCAATAGAAGACAAGCCAGAATGGGTTCCACCCCAATCCGACACAGTATAACCTTGGAACCCAAGTTCCTCCTTGAGGAGCCCGTTCAAAGTCTTTGAGTTCTGACAAGCATAGCTACCGTTGATTCGCTACCGGAATAATCAGTGTTAGGTTTTTTCTTCAAAACAAAAACGAACAAGATGACCATATAACAGATTCAACGACTCTCAAAGATGAAGAACGAAAGAGGTTGTTACTTACGTTATAGGAGCACATAAATGAAGCGGAGCCTGCTTTAACAGCGTTGGCAAAAGGCCACAGGTACAGCTCGTGCATAGTGCGATCATCAAGATTTGACGAAACAGATTGTTGGATTTCGTCAAAGCCATCGGCATCACTCACTGACGGAATGCGTTGAGTCTCTTGTTCGTAAGCTAGAAAGTGCTTGGCGGAAACTTGAACACCATTGGCTTGTACACCTGTGATGGTCTCTTCCATTGCAACACCGGTGAGGTATGGATCAGCGGCGAATCCTTCCCAATTTCGACCAGCGTAGGCTGATCTTCCGAGAGGACCAGCGACAGGTCTATACATCTGTTAGTGATTACTCCGGCAACCAAAATTAGGTTGACAGAAGCTTGGAGGTCTAGGTCTTGGAGGCCACGAAAGTGTCTCCAATTCGAAGAATTCTCAATCTGATGGCGGGGAAGTAATGCCACTTACCCTAAATATACGTGGGCTCCCTTTCCTCTGAACTCAGCTCCCAAAGCAAGACCACGTTCATGCATCAACTCACGGTCGAAGGATGCTGCTGTTGATACACCGGCAGGGAAGACGCTGGCATAATCCGCAACACGAATTGCAAGTGGTCCATCTTGAAAACAGAGACCTGCGAAGCCAAGACGATCAATCGGGGCAATGTTGCCAACACAAGGACCCGGAGTGCCTGTGACCATATCGGATTTCTCCTCAAGGGTCAGTTGAGCGACGAATGCTTTAGCTTTAATCAATGCTTCTTCCCACCCTATACCGGTGGTGTTGGCTAGACAGAGTCAGTGTTAGAAGACAATAGATGGAAAGAGACGAACGTGATGGATAGACGGGTGGGGAATGTCCATATGGGCCTAGGATGGTTGTGTTTGCAGGTTGGGTCACCGCAAAGGCCTGCGAAAGCAAAAATGCTATCGAGAGGAGTGAGGAAAGCATATTGAAGGATGAGAATGTTGTCAGCTTCTACTCTGATTCATCATTATGAACGGCCATATCCTCAGCATTTTATACTCCCAAACTTCGACTCCATTTTTCTCCTCATAACGTAGCTCCCCCAACAAGAAGTGGACGGCATGTTCGTGCGGGCCTCGAGTCGGTCCTTGTCAATTGACTGTGGATATGGATATCCCATCTTTGTGAAAATTAGATCAACTTGCAGGAAGTCAACCGCACCCTACAATGCAAAAAGAGAGATAATCTTAGGATGAGTGCCGAAGTTTACCCTCGCGGACCGGTGACGGTGTTGATTGTGCGGGGCGATAACCGAGACCACCTTCAACCCATGAGATTCTGGAGAATGGGGATTGGAGAAAGGGGGACACGTGAGGAAAAGAGAAGAGAAAAATGGGAAAAGGGCCGAGCATACTCCACACCCCGCTTCGTCCAACGCTCTCGGCACCTCCGGTCCCAAACTCAGACAAGGATTGGCATTCCACCACCCAGGAAGAGATGAATAAATGCCGAACTTCACCCTTGGAGATCGTTAGACACACTTGAGATCAGGTTGAGAAGCATGGTTCCCTCGTAAGTAACGATGCTGCCGTCCCAGGTACTCGTAGCCCTCAGGATAAGGCAGAACACTTTCCCAGAAACTAATATGACGCACGACAGAGAACTTTCCGAGAGAAGTGCCGAAAGAGATAGACTATCGGGGTGGAGTGAACCGAGAGTGGCGGAAGCTTGAATTTTGGAAAAGGCATACGAGTATAATAACAAAATCAACACAGAAAAAGCCAAAAAGCATATTGCTATGGTTGGAACATGTGCCGCCTTTAAACGAAAGTAGTATGGAGTTATAATTCGGGTGACCATTTCAATCATCGAAATTCGAGTATTAGAAATAGAAATCTAATAATAAACACTTGCGAGAATAAAGATCGCGAGTAGGTTCTGATTGCAAATAAAGTCTTGGACCAGGGACCTTTTTCGAGACCGAAAAAAACTTACAAGCGTGGTCAATGCTTCCATCATTGTTGTTCTTCCAAGGCACCTCATTATAATCTGTCCAAGGTGGCGCAGCGAGGAATTCGTTGGCGTTCAGCCTAGTAGTAGTGAAAACACAAGCACTTGAAGTAGCACGGTCATACCTAGGTATGACTGAGTAGGCAAACGCCATGTTGCCGGCTTGTTCTGGCCCAATCATATCAATGAATATAGAAGGATATCCAGGTCTGGTCACTGGTTTCGATGGAGGTGTAGCAAGGGCACAACCTCCAAGACTCCGAATAATTGATGGATCCGCTGGTATATGAACGGGGTTAGCTGTGACACGGCCATCAATTCCACGCTTCTCGAAGTCTGGCCTTGAATATGGACCAGAAGTAATATATGGAGGTATTGCTTCCCCGGGGATGTTTCCAGCCAAGCAATTGGTAGGAGTACAAAAGGTTTGGCTTGGGTGAGAAAGTGTCGATGGAAGAGCCACTATTTGGCAGATGCCACTGACTGTTGAGGTTGTTCCCTGAACAGAGCAACCGGTAACGGTTTTTGAGCACGTAGTACTATACGAGATGCAAGAGCTAGAAACAGCAGTCCTGACGCAGCCTACCAAACAGTTTGAAGCAGTGACGGTCGCTGCGCATGAGCTCGTCGAGCTGGAATGTAGTTCTGTTGATATTCGTGTCGAATCCCTCGTGGCAGTGGCAGTGGCAGTGACAGGCGGGCTACTGGTGACTGGATCTGTTGGGCAGTCACCAACAAATAAGCCAAAGATCCGGATACATAGCAGGTGGAATTCTGGAAGGGACGGGAACCAGAGATCGACTTCAGGGATGGGGGAAAGGTTCCAAAAGATCACACCATGTCCTCATGCTACTGCTATCAGTGGCAAAAGGGTTGTATGTTGGTCGGAGTCTTTGGTAGTAAACCACTGATTCGCCGTAATAGGCAGTCCCGGGAAGCGTAGAAGCGAGAAAACCAGGTGGGATCGAGGTAAGCAGGGCCTTGAGAAGTACCTATGCAGTAAAGTTGGTAAGTGCCCACATAGGCAGATCCTGGATAGGCAGTATTGTAGAAAAAGGAATACCCTCGCGTGTCCGAACATCACCTACCTAGGAAATACCTACGATTAGCTGTTGTCAGGATATTCGTTGCGGGTTCTGATGATGGTGAATGAGGCTTGATTGATAGTGAAGAACGGTTCCGGCATAAGTGCACATCGGTTGACATAACCAACTCCAACTTCGTGCCTAAGATACCTACTTAGGTAGGTACGTAACGACCTACCTAGGTACGTCAGTCCCGAGTCCAGGTCACGTGAGCGCGCGACTTATATCTACCTACCTACTACCTACCTACCTGCCTAGGTATCCTTCATATTTGCCTTCATGCTTCTACTTATCTCCATCCTCCTCGCATCCCTTCTCGCCTTGTTTCACTTCACTACCCAGGTCGATATTTGTTCTAGGGAGTCATTCATTCGGCCATCCATACATTCGTCCCTCGTTCATGACATGTCTGATACGCAGATCTACTGTACGGTCTGTGGCGCACCCATCTTCGAGCACGATAGCAGAAAGGAAGATGAAGTCAGCTCCTGGTTGACCGATGTGCTTCTACTAACCACTGCACATCCGGATGCACCGTGTTACATGGACATTGGACATGTATTGGCCAACAAAGCCACGAAACCAACCTCCAGACTATGGCTACCATCTCCGTCCAACGGTACAGCAGTCGCGGACGTTGGAACTCAAAGCGCTTGCAAAAGGTTCCACCTTCTTTCAGCTTCTCGACCGCGACCCCGACCTCGAGCTCAACGTCGATGTTAAAGCAGAACTAAAAGTTGAAGCCATGTATGTTGATATCAAAACGGACGGTCCAACCATTACTACCGGAGGCACCTTGTATCTCCCCGTACACCGTCTCTGCATGCAGCTCTGCAAGAGCTTCGTAGAGCAAAAATTGGCAACTACCGGATCCACGCCCATACCCCCACCAGCTCAGGAAGAGCTTTCCACTAGAATCACGTCAATCAGGCTGCTGAGGGATGTCCTGTACCGTCGGCTACCAGCATCAAACCCCCCTAGCCGGACCTGGCAATTGCCAGAGCCGCATGACTATTTTGGGGGTTACAGATGTCGAAACATATCTTGGGAGCCGCAGGATAGCCCCGAGGATGGTGAGGTACGTCCATGGTCTCTTCGAGTCTAGTCGACCTACTAACAATTTACGTGCCTAGTTACTAATGCAAAATCCAATTCAGATCTCAGACTTTACTTCTTTGATTTTACAAAACCTGCAGCCACTTCCTCCAAGTCTTCCTATGATTGCACTTTTCAACCAAACAATCAACGGTCATACATACAAACACACAAAACATCTCTACAGCGGTCCTGCTTAACCTCCCAAACACGACCGACGAAAAAGAAGATGATCTCCAGAATTTTCAAGACGCAGCTTTGAAATGCACTTATATACACGACGCCGCCTGGTGGCGCGAGGCCCTCATCAGCCCTACTACCTTCCCTTGGCTCCCCGCTCTCGACAATCACCTCATTTACGAGAAAGGTAATTGCGGCCAATGGGATTGGGAGCGTCTCTGCCGGCAATTGTCGCAGACTAGCATCCATAGATATGATGATAGGACGCTACTCTTGCCACTGGCGCTTAGGAATCGCCGGAGGATATGGCACATACTAGAAACGGCAAGGGTTGGTGATGTTGCTCAGATCACTCTAAGGGACGAACAACAGAGGAGGAGCAGGGGGAGAAGGGTAGGGGAGATATGATGATTATATTGCCAGCGGCATTGCCGGGCTCAGTTGCCGGGATATATCCAAACCCAATTGGTGACTGAACTTGCTCTACAGCTCGCCCATCCAATAGTCCTGCGCCTGGTGAGCCGGATACAGACTTCAGCAACACAAGCTTCGTCTCTCAGCCAGCGACTTCCAAATTCTGAAGCACACCGTCACTGAAGTCATCGCTTCTCAAGCAGAGGTTTCGGCCCTCAACACATGGGTATCGGTGGAGGGCACAGGCTGCCGACATTCGGGACATCTCCTGCCAAAAGATCTTCGTTTCTTAATCGTAAGCAGCAAGTTCCATTGTCATTCATCCTGGCTAGTTGCTTGATTTTGCTGCATCATGTTCTCAGGGACTCGAGGGGAATTGATTTCCCCTTCTTCTTGTACTTCTTCGCTTTCTTCTTGAACACCTTCCATGCCGCGTTGATTTCGTCTTCCTTCTCCTGCTCGAAAACGATGCGTTCCGACTTCTCCTTCTCTAGCTCTGTGTTCTCTTTGTATAATTCGCGTTTTCGTTCCTGGCGGACTTCTTTCATCTCGTAATAGTGTTCCGCGTCGGAACCTTGGACGGATCTCTCTTCGTCTTCTCGCTGGCAGATGCAATTCGGATTCTCCTTGATCCCGCCCTCGCTGTCTTCACTGTTTCCGTCGCAATAGCATTCATCTGGCTCGAGATCATTGTCTACTATCTGTTTCTCTTCGTCGTCTAACTCAAATAGATCTTCGTCAAAATCCTCGGGGTCGCAGTCGTCGTACAAGTGTCTGGAGAGGACGCGGCCGTACCATGCTGGAAAATCGGGCTTCCGCTTCTTGCGATGATGAGCAAGTGAAGACTCTCTTCCTCTTTTACCCATTTCGTGTTGAAGGATAGAATTGACCAAAGTCCAGTGCGTTGCAAAAAAAGACAAGACAAACAAGACGCGAGACATGTGGAAATCGCGAAAATGACACGAAATCAGACCTCGGAAATTGGCCTCATGCGCGACACTTGCGGGACTCCCATTCCTGAATTAGAGCTTGGGGAAGTTCGAGGATCTCCATTCAATCACGAAAAGATGCAAGGAACATCGACGGACTGGTAATGAACCTTCGAATTTCGCATATGCAAGATCGAGCTAAGCCTACGGTCCGGCCAAAACCCACAATCCGGCCCGCTCACTTGGAAAGTTTGGCGTGTTGTTGTACCACCTTGTCAATCGCCAAACTCCCGAAGCAATGGCAAGCTGGCTTGAATCTAGAGCCGATCGCCAAGGAATGATGCTTATCGCCATTATCTGAAGTCGAGATGTCGTGCATCAAGTGGCTGCCAGACATACATCGTGAAGTCTCACAAAGTACCATTTTTACATACTTAGATAAGAGAGTCTCCTCTAAATTGCTCGTTGATACTGCGTACCCTAACTTCCTTGCGGATACCGGGTGTACGTATCCCGCGTGAGACGGGTGGCTGCAAATGTCCGTCTCTCTGAAGGTGACTCAAGATATCGTCAAGTCTGGACTTGATCATTGATGCATACTGCATTGCCTGGCAGGGGCATCGATAGTTGGAGGGTCTCAATTGTCGGGATTCAATTGGACATCCAGTCGATGTACAACAAAGCTTTCTGATACTACCAACCAAATTCAATGTACAGCAAAATTCTGATCCATGGAAGTTGGTTAGGCAATATACTCGAGAGAGCGATGTGCAACAGATTTGTATTAGCTGAGATTCTTTCATTGATTGGCGAAGCCCAAATTGCAACGAATGCTCTAGATATTGAAACATAGCCATACATTCAAAGCTATCGTTTTATATAAGCCCAACTCGGAATCATCCACTCGGGCAAGACTCGAGATCTCGGCTTCAATCAGTGAATCTCACCGCTACGCAGAAGTATCGTAGTCCTTCCTTACTTTGGCAAGCTCAATCATACATATCGCTTCGATTGAAGCAGAAGTTCCTGCCATGAGTGTTCTTAAGCACTAAGTGTCTGCTTCTAGACCGTCAACATATATCTCCTTCATCAACTTCACTCTCGAAATTCGACCGAGGTAAGCAGTACAGTGGCGGTAATTAATCCTCGCCCCGTAACACGATCTTGATGCTGCCTCAACCCGAGGCAGCTGGAAGGTAACCGAGGGGCAACACAAGTGATGCTTTGCATACGCCAAAGGCAACGCACATCGTCACACACTCTCTAACACCACATCATGGGTAGCCAATCAGATTCTCCAATCCATCACAATCAGTACAAGATTTTCTCTCGCCCTGTCGGATGGTCGAGTTAGCTGATGTGAGATGGCGAATATTTGGACTGTGCGAGGGGAACAAAAGCTTTCTTCTTCCTTTCGTGCCCTTCTTTTCTTCTTGCTTTCTAGGTCGAGTGAGTGAGTGACTGAGTAGGTGCAATGGCATTTCACGACTTGGAACGAGATGGTAAGCTTCGTGACTGTAGTGCTGGCAGCTCATCCAGTTTCGGAGGGTCGATCACGGAGGAGACTTCATTGCTCTCGTCTGAAGGGAAGAATGCTTACCAGTCGACGTCGGGGACGACGGATGAGGAGGGAGACGGGAATGAGGATGAGAAGGGGATGGGGAGATCGGTTTTGGGGATCTTGAGTTTGCTTATGCTTGGTAAAGTGCCTGTTGGCCAATTTGAAAAGGTGGCTCATGCTAATTGATGAAATAGGTGTCTTCGTCTCGAGTGCAGACAGCACCCTTGTACTAGCAACAACAGACACTATCGCATCTGAGTTCCATTCTCTTGGTCTTGGAAGTTGGCTTTCAACAGCGTACCTGCTGTCGATGTGTGCCTTCCAACCACTAACCGGGAAGCTCAGCGATATCTACGGACGAAGAATCGTGCTGGTAGTTGGCTACGCTCTCTTCGGCCTTGGCAGTATTCTCTGGTAGGTAGAATCCGTCTTCCATAGACTCGAACAATCACTAACAGTCCACAGCGGCGTAGGACCAACCCTCCCAGCCGTGATCCTGGGACGAGTAATCCAAGGCCTCGGCGCCTCGAGCATGACACTATGTGTATCCCTCGTCATCACTGGTACCCCTCCCACCCTTCCTTCACCATCCACTCCACTAACAGCAACAATCAGACCTCGTACCCCTCCTCCAAGTAGCCTTCTGGCGCTCCTACATGAACGTCGTAATGACCATCGGCCGCAGCGCCGGCGGACCCATCGGCGGCCTCCTCGCCGACTCCATCGGCTGGCGATGGTCCTTTGCCGGCCAAGCTCCCCTCCTATTCATCGCCATCATAATCGTATATTTCTTCCTCCCAAACACGAAATCTGCCCCTATTGTCGAGACCCAAGATCGAAAAGGAAGGCTAAAAAGGATTGATTTCGTGGGGAGTCTGTTATTGGCTGCTGCTATCGTGTTGTTGCTTGGTGCGTTGAGTTTGGCGGGACAGAGTCTGCCGCCGCTGGATCCGATTATTTTGGGGAGTGTGGCGGGGAGTGTGGTTTTGGGTGCTGGGTTTGTGGTGTGGGAGGTTAGGTTTGCGAGGGAACCGGTTTTTCCTCCGAGGTTGTTGGTTCAGAGGGATATTATCACGCCGTATGCTATTGTTGCGTTGCTGTTGGGTGCTCAGTATGGGGTTAGTATCTTCTCACTTCGCTGATTGTTGATGGAGAATTGGCTAACAGGCTTCATTCATGCAGATCATCTTCTTCATACCGCTCTACGTAAGTCGTCATGTCTTTTTGTCCGCTGTACTTTACATACTGAAGTCCAAGCAGTTCCGTATATCCCTCAACGAATCAGTCGCACTAGCAGGAACGAGAATGTTCCCCGCAGTCCTAGGCAACACTCTAGGTGGTCTCTTCGGCGGCCTCCTGATATCACGCACTGGCCTCTACAAAAGAGTAACTATAGCCGGATGTGTATTATGCACCTTATCTTACGGAATCCTAATTCTTAGATGGAGAGGCGAGACGGGGTGGTTGGAGACAATGGAGATTGTACCTGGTGGATTTGGGTTGGGGATTTGTTTGAGCAGTGAGTTCTTTCTTTCCATATAGTATCTGGAATTGAAAGAAGAGAAGAGGAAGAGAGAGTAAGCTGAGGAGAAAACAAAGCTAACAACCACCAAAGGCACATTCATAGCACTAACCTCCGGCCTCGACAAGAAGAAAAAAGAACACGAAGGCGTCAACGGTCAAAGCAAAGACATGGCATCCGCCACCAGCGGATTCTTCGTCATGATCCCGCTAGGTCTGATCCTAGGGATCGCAATCGCGAGTTCAGTGCAGGTTGGAATGGTGAGGAGTCTGCTTGAAGAAGGATTGAGTGGCTTTGAAGGTGCTGCGGAGGTGAGTTTGCTTTGGTGGACCTGGTGGTGTGGAGACTGATGAAAGGTAGATCTTCGAAGCAGTGTCTACTGATACGAACAGGATTGCTCTTCTCGAGGAGCCTGTTAGAGTCGTGGTGGTTGATTGCTATGTGCAGAGTTTTAGGTGGGGATATGGTAAGTTTCGACCCTTGCTACTCTTTCTGTCTCTCTCTGGACTCTTAGAGAAGTATGGATGGAATTAATGCTTGACTACAGGAATTCCGCTTGCGGCATCGGCTATTGCGACATTGTTGTCTCTCTCGATTCGAGAGTATCCTTTGAGGAAGTGAGGATCTCAAAGATAGAGACGGACTTCAAGGATAAATTGGGGGAGGATTAACGAGTATAAGTTGGCGAAAGCCACAGGAGATCGATCTGGTGAAAAGATCAACGCAGGCAATGGGGAGGCGGCTCAGAAGTGGTACAGCAGATGAGGTGTGTATTTGTACTGTAAAACGTTGCTGTTGCTTCTTGTTCAGTGTGTACGTTTGTCGTTGTAATAATTAGAGGCTGTTGGTGCTTGGTCGTCAAAGACTTCGTATCGTGCTCTTGAAAAGTTCTCAATTGAAAAGTATCTTGTACACTAGACTAGCATTCATTGTTCATTCTAGAATTGAAGGTTCAATCCGCGATCTGGTAGAGTCTATTGTGGCCTAAGTCTTCAACATCCATTTAAACCAACTTGGAAATTCTGTGCCTCTCGGATCATAATACAACGCATACGCCAGAACGCCAAATACCACATTTGCCAGGAACACCACCGCATAATGCCACGCACCTGTATCCAAAAAGTAATAGCCATCATAATCTGGGAACGCTAAGCACATCCATCTACTCAGTGTCATATGCCTTTCAAGAAACCTTCCCAAACCTAGAAACTCCGGTCCAAGGGCAAGAGCCCACGCTATGCAACCAGGAACCACGCAAATGAAGAGAAGATTAATGGCGAGCGAAAGAAAAGGGTTCTGCTGAAGACTTTCCAAGCGCAAGAACGGCGTCCAGAGCAACCATGTCCAAGCAAGAATAGTGAAGCCTACAAAGGTATATCCAGTATAGGCCATAAGGTCCGGCATGTCTGGAACATTCTCATGCTCCTGGGAGGAGAAGTGTGGAGTTGTTGATAGGTATATCAATACTTCCCCCACCAACCAGTCTACAAAAAATATACTTCCAATCACCTGCGTCCATAAGATGCCTTTCGAGCCCACTAGCAGGATCGTCAGAGGTAGAGGGCCTAGCACAAAGAACAGCCATCGTAACCAGGTCCGCTGGGCCAGAGCGTGGAATTTTTCTTCTGGCACCGGCGCGGAGAATCGTTCAGAAAGCAGAAGAGTTATTCCCGTTGATATGTTCACCGAGTATCTCGTGCAGATATATAGAGGGTATATAAGGACGAAGAGCAGGTCGTAGATACACATAAGTGGGGAGCTGATAAGATATGTTCGTCGAAGTCTATGATGTCCGCAGAGTCGACCCGCAGGCTGTGCCATGGTATTGAGAGCGAGGACGAGGAGAGTTACCGCACATAGTGGCCATGGTATCTCTATCTCGCATTGAGAGGGAGGAGCTTGAGGCTGGACAGCTGCTACTTTGAGTTAGCGATCTGTTGACGACAGTTTGCGGGAGCACAACATACCCATCCCTAGAGACCATCAAAGGGAGACTCCAGCATCGTAGTATGGTGAAAATTAAGTGATCAAGTCCATCGTAGGACTGGTCCGTATATAGTTCCTCCATGTGAGACCTTGTGCACCTGAACTGTGAGACCTTATCAAAAAGCAATGATTGGAGCGACGGTCACACGGGAAGATCACCCGAAGGTCGGGCACTTGCCACAAATGCTCAGTCTACCTTACAATTGAAGCGAATTATTTCTTCTATCGCTTATGAAGAGATATGCGATGTAGTTCATAGAAAAGGGTTGAAATCTTGCTTAGGGAAACTGATGAGGAAAGTAGCCTTGCAGCCTCGGAGCTTCCCGAAGAGACTTAGACTCGATTCCCGCTTACCTAATCTTCGCTGAGGCAAACTTCAGACGACATGAATCCTCAGAAATCTGACATTCGGACCAGAACTCAGTGACTACACCTCACTGCACTGCCATCTACAATGTCATGACACTTCATATCTGCGTGAGGATATTGCCCAGGGCATCCTGTGCACGCCAATCCTCTTTTCATGTCCAACAATGCCGCTCCATATGTCTCATGACAGAGACTTTTGGAAAGAAGTCACCTGCGTCCAGCAGTCTCATTCATAAGCTTGTACCATTCGAAAAGTACACAGCTCCTGATAAATGCATCATTGACCTTCATTATGCTCCCCCTAAGAAGGGAAACAGCAGACAACCACAACGAATGTCCCTCAAATCTGCCATGGATTTCAATATCAATCCAGGTTGGCTTCTAGTTCTGAAACAATCTACTGAATTCAACGAACGCCCCCAATACAAGATGGAACCAGTTACTACGATAGAACTCCAGACGACCGCACTGGAGAATGCCGGAAAGGGGTCACAGGGATCGAGGATATTTCGATTGGGTGCGAAGACTTCACAGGACGCCTTTCGTAAGCTTATGGATCTCATGTGGCATTACTTGTGCAGGCGCCAGCTAGTCGAGGTGCAGGTACAATATCATCGGAACGAGTATGAGAGGAATAAGAAGCAAGACCTCGATCCCTTCGAGAAGATGTTTGATGAGAATTTGCACTGGAGAGCAGACATCATATTGAAGGCTATGCCGCCCGGTTGTGGTATGGTCGTGGACCCGCAGACCGACAATGAAACCGTGGTTGCTTGGATAATGGGGCCTCCATATGTTGACAAGCAGGGACGAGTCTATCCGCCCAACAACAAGACCAAAGTGCTATACGAAAGACGAGACAAAGCAATTGAGAGAAAGTTGATTCTGGAAAAGAAGTCGTCCAACAGACTCGAAAAGCTCCATGTTGCTGGGTCTGAAGAGGGCACTCCAGCTTTGGAGGTTGGCATTATGGGAGGAAAGGCTGACGAGAATGCTGTGAACTGGCAATCCCTCAAGATCGAGACAGCTTTGAGTAGAAGACAGCTCGAGACAGCCTTGGAGAAGAGGAGGACCTATAGGAAACAGATCGAAGGACAACTCTTACGAAGGGCTGAACTGAGAGAGATGCGGAAACTGCAAAGACAAACAGAACAAAGTGGACAGTAGAGCTCAGCAGACAAACCTCGCAAGGATTTGTACTTGCATTCCCATCTCATGTCACAGCGTATCATGCTTTATGGGCAACCCCATTTGGTCGACGGCAATGGCCCGCAGGTTCTCCCATTTCCTACGCAAGTATTTCTGAGAAGCCACCCACCCATACTGTTGAACGCCCACTGATATGCCCACTTCCATGCCTCTCTTTGTATCCACATCCATGTCTCAAGCTGATGCTCTCAACAGAAAACTCCAGATTCCGCTGTTCCGCCCATTCCAAATGAAGCGCAAGTGCGCACCTCCCATGTTTTCGCTGCGTCTGTGTCTGTTCAATCTGGTCTGTTAGCAAGTTCCACTTATTGAACAAGGAAACCTACTATGGTTCGGGGTTGTCAAGGAATTCTCGAAGGTGCACTGCTTTTGCCTCAAAAAACGCCTTGGTGACTTCCACATCGACTCCGAACCGGTCTGACAGCTGGCTTGCATTGTCTAGTATTAACCTGTACGTGTGGAACCTTGCATTTCGGATGTATCTCGTTGAATAGCAGGGTTTGTTTTCTAACATCATCTGGGATAAATGAAAGTCGTCCCATCTGATTTGCATCATTTCAACACGTTCTCCCAAAGCCAATGCATCGTCGATACTGCTAGTGTTTCGCAGTGTTGCCATTGTCTGACGGATCATTACATTCTTCAAGGCCGCTGTAAAGGATGCGAGGTCGTCCTCCTTTGGAATGTTGGCTTCTCTGCAAACGATCTATCTCTGATCAGTACGTGAACCCCCAAACGATGAGAATAATTACAAAGTCCTTGATGTCTCGCGAGAGTGGCAAGTGCGGTAGATGCGCCATCTTAGTTGCTTGAGTTGGTTTTCTGGAGCCGTCGAGTGAGTGTTTGTGGATCGATCTTCTGGTCGGGAGTTTAGAAGACGAAGTTGTCGTTGAGAAAGGTAGCAATTCACGCGTTCGACGCGACTACCACGAACTCGTTTTCAACCTCTTCACGTCAGTCCATGGCACGCGCTTACTAGCGCTCTTTGAGGAATATCACAATACCATGGAAACAATGCTTCCTAACGTGAATACCAACTACTTAAGGAGTAAAGTTGTGACGCACAAATGTTTCAACGCAATGTATGCTATCAAATTTCCCCTTGTCATGGCTCCTCTGATGTTTAGAGCAGTGTCTTAAAAAGAACTTTTCCCACTGAAATTGCCCATGTTCAGACCTATTCCAATGAAAGAAGACTCGTTTGGCATAGATTATTGTTCTAAGTTAGACGATTGTGCTTGTTAACACAAGCGGCAAGCATGACCAAAAGAATACTGCATTGCTGCAGTTCAGCAAAAGGAATCATGTTGATCTATGAAGCATGTGTCCTTTTATCATTAAGACCTTGCTCTACCCACTCAATAAAAATTCTATCTATGAGGTCAAGAGATAAACCACATTGTTGACTTATATTTGTGCTTTTGTCAGGGGCACACCAACGTTGTACTTCTGCACAGCTCAAAGTCAACGTCAGCTACATCACCAATTTGGGACTATTTACTCTTGATGCTACTGCTGTGTATTTGATGCCAGGGCCTATGATTCCATTGTTGGTATGAGATGGATCCGTGAAGCCATCGAACACTAGAGTATGTTGATGCCTTGATTGGCTATTCACGATAGTCATTCACCCCTGATAGCCAGAGACAACGACGTAAGTACCCATCTTAGCGCAAAATTAACCTAACCCCCAAAAACTTTTGCGTCAACCTGGGAAGATCTATCTCAACCCACCGCCTTCAGAACGGCAATATCAAAACAAACCTCCGCACACCGCAGCCATGGCTCCACAAATCCATCTTCCAAATACAATTGCCCCAAAGACTTCGAGCACCTCCGCATCCTTGAGTCAATCAGCCACGAACAGGCACGCGCAAAGCAACTCTCGATCAAGTGGACAAGAGGCTTCACCAAGATCGCTGATCGTCACCCTAAAGGTCCCGCCCAAGAAAAAGCTCATCGTCATCCTCAAGGTTCCAGCCAAATCCATCCTCATTACCCTCAAGCCCCGAACCTTCGGCACTATGGGAAACACACCAGAGAGTCTACAAGCCGAAGGATCTGAGGGTATTGCACGCCCTGCTCCATCTGGCTCCAATGAAGGTGAAGTTTCTGGAGAAGTCCGCAACCAAGGAACTCCGGCTAATCTCAACAAGCAGGTCAATTCCGATCCCAGCAAGCAGGTCCGTCCCAAGCAGGTCCATCCCAATCCCGACAAGACCCACCGGCTGCTGAGCCCATCGTTGAGCGACGAGAAATTGTCCCAGATCCGACCACACTTTCTCCCCATCTGCCATATTCTGTCATCCGAGCTCGACCAGAGAACGACAATGTCACAGTCGACGACACCGGTGTCCCCATCGAAGAAGTTCATGCATTCATTCGGCGCATGCTTCGATTGGTAAGACAATTGCTCTCCTGAAGAGACACCACAAGCTAACAATTTTCTAGGCCAACATTCTAGGTCCTAACCCAACCTACCCCCGGGACAGCGAGATCCACCAGCAGACCGTCGACGGCATCGTCCACCTCACAATGAACTGGCAGTCCGTTCACGAGCTAACGACTGATCGGTACAGCCTCGAGCATTGCACTCTCCGAGGTCGCAATGTCGGTACCGCTATCTTCAGCCGCGTTCAAGCAACCAACAATGCCCCCGTCTTGGAACACATTCTGGGTTTCTTAGAGGAACAGGCAGAGCTTGCAGAGCAGTCGTATGCGGAGGCCAGCGCGAATCCTGTGGAAGCAGCCGACTTTCAGCAGTGGGGCTATGCTAGCTGGATGGGCACTCAATTAATGGATCAGCGATTCTTTGAGGCGGCCAGAGACGCCCTCATGGACGGGGTTAATGCTGAGTTGGAGAGAAATGAGGGCAACGGAGGATTGGCAATGGCGGCTGCAGATGCGGGATCGTCCATGAATGGTGGCGAGGGCAACTCCCGTACACTCTGAACATTGTCTCCTGCAGCAAGGCGTTCTTATTTCACTTTCGACTGGCGCTGTGGACGGTTTACCCACTATTTTCCAATTGGAGGTTCGATCTGCTGCGGCACAAGGGACAAGTGAGGATGATTTTTGATCGGAGCTTACGTCCCTGACAAGCCATCATAACGAACTCAAATGAATAAAATTTCAGTCATGCCCTGTGCTTGTGTTGTGAAAACTCGTTCAACCAAAGAAGCAGCGGTCAGAATCGGCCCCTGAATTAACCGAGTCACGTGAACATGAAAGTGCTGAAGTTTGGGTATAGAATCTTATCAAGGTGCTCGAGGTCAATGCAGGCAAGATTCATATAGCAGCTTGATTGTAGTACCATTGTTCTGACCGCTGGTGTGAAAGTCGGCCCAAACAATGTTCTCAATATGTCAACATTCCTCGAAGCGGCTCTCTGACTCAGTTGACGACAAGCCATGTTGAGCTTGAACGAAATAAGAAGACAAAGTCGAGGTAAGAAACTTCTTCTGAACCATAAATAGTAGATCCATAATATTTGGCATATGTAGAACTCTCTAATATGTCCTTGTTTGTTCCGGAGAGTGCGGCATGGTTGTGAGCAAGGGCTAAAGCCGCCCCTTGAAAGACTCGTCTTTAGTCCCAAACTTATATCAAGGTGCTCTAACTTCAAGTTTCAATTTCTAGACGTCTGATTGAAACATAGTCTAGCTTGAGGATATTGCTTTCTACATTAGCACAACAATAATCCTCTCTGACAACATGATCCTTGAAACTGAGCGCCAAATACCTTCAATGGAGCAAAATATCTTCCGGAATCCCCTCACCTTACAACCCAACCACCAATCTCAAACCATTGAATCACAAGAACAGGAGAGAACGCGCAAAATGGCCAAATCGCAATCGCAAACCATGAGAGTTCATACTCCAACCCTATCCACCGCTTCCTCTCCAAAGACCTTCGCCGGTCTCGAAGAAGAAGAGAAAGACTTCGAACCCGCTCCAGCTTTGTCTCCTACCCCAACCCCAACTCGCAACACAAGACCAAGCCCTGATCTCGATCTGATCCCCCAAATCCAACCAGAAAAATTCATTCCCGACCATGTCGAAGAATGGGTTGATTTGCTCTCCTATCACGTTTGTCTTCTCCCTTTTACCATTTTTCACAACCTAATCAGCGCAACAGGGTTTCCTGGACGGAACGTACACCGATGATGTCTTGAAGACCGACTTCACTCATCGCTCAATCGTCATATTCACCTCTTGGCTCGGCGAGGAGAAATCTGATGCCTCATCTCTGAGTCGTGGCCATGTTGTTGGTGCTGCTCTCTTTGAAGCTAGCTTCAAGAAGCGTATCAGTATCTATCAGTTAGTGGCCCATTTGGAGGTGATTGCGGATACTTTTAGGAAATTGGTGGAGAAGGAGAAGGATGTAAAGACGGAGGAGGTGCTTGAAGAAGGGATGTTTCCTATAAAGAAGATTATGCAGTGGTGCTTCATGTTGTTGGACGGCATGATTGTGGAGATCAAGGGATTGATGAAGAATATGTCTTGAGAGCGGAGGTGATGGTGGTCGTCGGTATGGAGACAGGATGGAGATCTGGAACGATGCAATGCTCTGGATGAGCTCGGCGAGGATTGCACGTCAAGAACAGCATTTCGGGCAACAAAAGTAAATGCATAAAGATACGTGGGGGCGTTGTCTGGCGTTAGAGGAGTATATCACGCTGGTTTCGGACTTTGATTTCTAATGCCTCTAAAGTGCAGCATCTATAATCTAAAAATCGAAATTCTGGAACTTACTGCCCGGTACTCATCCCTTGCAGGCTCACAGCATTGCTGTCCAAGAGAGTTCGCCTCGCCTATGGCTCGAAGTATCAAACTCCATTCATCGACAACTATTTTACTGTAATCTATCATATCCACATGAAGCGCTTCTCAAGATGCAAGTCTGGCTAAAGAAAGGTAACCGCCAGCATCAAAACCCGAACGCCAGTGCCCAATTGTATAAACACGAATGAGAGCGAAATTCGCTGATATCCACAAGAAACCTACATCCGAATCACTTGCACCCCCATGGCTAGCAGCATTTACTACCCCGTCTTCTTGTACCAAGGGTGAACACCTCTTCCCACTCCCGTGCTCCGCCCAAAGTTCCGCCCCACCCCGCTCGGCTCTTGGGTTTTCTCCTCCGCCTCGAGCCACCCTCGTCTATGGTCATTCCACTCTTCACGCTCGCTCCATCACCGTCACCCATCCACCCGCCATCTCCATATTGTATGCCACTCATTGGATCATCAGGATCGATTTCTCCCAGCTCGATTTTGGTTAGGATCATCCTGGCCAGTCTGTTGAACACTTCCTCCACATTGTCTCCATTTAGCGCTGACACTTCCATGGTTACAGGTATGTTATTCGAACTCGCCCATCTTGATGCTTCCTCTGCACTTACTTCTCTTCCATCTGGCGCAACAGTAGCTCGTAGTTGAGAACCCAAACCCAAATTTGTAGCTGGACTTGATGTCACAGACTTTCCAGCGTCAAATGGGAATTGGGAACTCTTGCTGCTGATACTCGAAGGGGTTGCAGGTGGTAATGAAGAAGGCCCAGTATCTATCAGCATTCCACTATCTGCAAGGTCCACCTTGTTTCCAGCAAGGAGAATCGTGAGGTTCGGTGAGGCGAGTGCGCGGGCATCGTTCATGAAGGAGGAAAGAGCAGTAAAGGTGTTGTGTGATGTGATGTCGTAGACTAGAACGGCACCTGCAGCACCTCGATAGTAGGATCTTGAAACGGAGCGGAAGCGTTCTGTGCCTGCAGTATCCCAGAGCTAAGACCGTAAGTGGGGTTCCTTTGCATGTAGGTCCTGGGAGACAAACTTGTAGCTTTATCCTCTTTCTCCGAGCACCCGTTCCCACTTTGATAATCTTGCTTGCGAACTCCACTCCTATAGTCTGCGACGAAAGGACCCTCCACTCGTTCTTTACAAACCGGTGTAGCAAACAAGACCTACAGTAGCAGTTAGGACCGCTTTTTCCAACGACACTGAGGGACATGGTACTCACTTCCCGCTACCGCTTGGACCTAAGAGGATGATCTTGGCCAGGTAATCGTACATGCTTCCCAGTTCCTACTATTCGTCAGTGAACTTGCCCCAATCTCCTGTTCCAAGTCAACAAACCTGGTCTCTCGCAGTTCCTTGAGATTCATCGCTAGCAGCAGACGATCTCCTTGGGCGCACCATCTTGACGATACCGCACTGGATGCGCAGATACTGTGGTCGTTGTGTGAAGTCTCAATTACTCGTTGTCTGTCCAAGCTTTATTATTCTTCGTTGACGCGAATGTCGTTCCTTGTCTTATCAGGCCGATAATGGAGTTTGGCGCTTGGCTGATTTGGGCAAGGCGTAAGTCTGGGGTATGAGCCGAGGCTCACCTCGAGCTATATTCATTATCATCTTGCTTCTTACTCCACTTAAGATATTATCTGAATCACAATAAGCAATATGAAGATTGAAGGCAGAACATTTGTGGTGTCAGGAGGGTATGTACTTATCAGTTTGATAACAGCCACGGCTAATATTAAATAGTGCCTCGGGACTGGGACGAGCATGTGTTGAGGATATTTGCAAGAAAGGAGGCTACGTTGCCATTCTTGACATGAATGAAGAGCTGGCCGAAGAGCTTGTAAAAGAAATTGGAGGCGGAAAGACCAAGTTCTTCGAGACCAATGTTCTAGAAACAGAAAGCATAACTGCTGCTGTCAAGGGAACTCTAGGATGGGTGAAGGAAACCGGTAGGGAAGTTGGCGGGGTTATCGCTGCTGCTGGGGTGTCTACACCTGCCAAGGTATGTTTTCTCTCCATTCTTCGACGGAGTTTGTCTTTTCATCAGAGTTGTAATGTTCAAGAGGTCAAGCAAGGGCTTGATGTCGTTTGGCTTGCCTTGTCTTACATGTGCAACCATCATTCCACACATTGGAAAAAGAATTTGCACGTGACAACGAATTTATAACTTTCTCCCTGTTCAAATCAATCTGCTGTTCAAGCTCTATCATTTGTTTGGGTTGGTTGTTTACTTGATCTACGTATATCGAAGGCCCTAGGATTGTCATTTACACTTCTTAGATACTCGACCGTAACTTGAATCCTTTCTCCCTTTCGGATTTTGACTTCGTTATGAACGTCAACGTCAGAGGTACCATCGATCTTGTCCGTCAAGTCCTCCCACATATGGCTCGTACCGAACCAGCGGATGCGGATGGCGAGCGAGGAATTGTCATCATGGTTGCATCCTCGGCCGCTTTTGATGGACAACCAGGGCAAGTCGCATACTCCGCGTCAAAAGGTGCCATTAGATCGCTCACATTACCAATGACAAGAGACCTGGCAAGATATGGTATTCGAGTTGTCACCATCGCTCCGAGCTTGTTTGACTCGAGGATGACAGCCATGATGAGTGACAAGGTTAGGGCGTCCTTGACGAGGGTAATGGAATTTCCATGTGAGTGCCTTTGATGCATCCTGCTCAGAATGTCGAGCTGATCAAACCAAGTGAGACCTGGCAAACCTCAAGAATTCTCACAGCTTGTCACACACAGCATCGAAAATATCATGCTGAATGGAGTGGTTCTCAGGCTTGATGGAGGGATGAGAATGCCTAGCAAGATGTGAAAACCACTTTTAGCTTTCCTCCTGGTGTATTCTAATGCTGAAACAAAGCTGCTTTCTATATTACATTCGTTCTCACCCTTTCATCGTAATTCAAACCACTCTGCGGTTAGCTTTCCCCTCTCCATTTCTTCAATTGCCTCTCCATTCATTATGCCATTCATGCAGCACGACTCCACAAGTATCCATTAACTTCCCGCTGGACGGAGAAGGAAAGGAAGCTTTCCACCATAAAGAACACAAACAGTGTCCCCCACTTTCGCAGCTTTTGCACCAATTCCCAAGTTGTTATCTTCTGTAATGAACAACGAAAAAGGATACTCGCGAATGCTAACAGCAAGTACTGTGCAAGCGTCAAGATTGACTTCCATCATGTCTTCTACCAATTTGGGATCCATGTACGCCTCCAGACTTCTTCGAGATCAAATTCAGACTTAAGGTTACCTTCTTCATCATACTCGAATCCACAGCCCATGAATACCATATCCAAGAGGAGCTTTAAACTATCCCCACTTGCCGCTTCAACATTTTTGATGAATTCTTCGTCATACGCTCCTGCAATAGTGTTGAGAAATACAGCTTCTTTTGTCTCCGCATGCGGACCAGCATCGAGAAGGATTGAAATTGTTCTCCAGATACCTCTCATCCACTCGCTGTTGCCCGACTTTCTTTGCAACGGGAACACGTGCTGTACTCTGGCTACTTTCAAGCCCTTCAGAACGGGCACTTTGGGATCTGGATCAGTGCGTACCTCTGGGACTTTATCAGAGCTCGCGTCACACCCCAGATATAGGAAGCCAGTGTCAAGGCGTTATCTAGCACGTTTCAACATGGCTGGTCGATCCCATCGAGGGATCCATGATGGGAAATCCATGACTTCATCTTCGAATCTTTCAATACTGTGAAAAGCTTCGTTCAGATTGGTCGCGCCGTCATCCTCGTTTTCTCGAATCATTTGTCGAATAGCATCGCCATATACTTGTACGACTGACTTTGAGTAATCTGGCTGCAGAAGAATGCTCTTACGGTCTGCTTCGTGCATGAGACCTAAAAGCCCATAGATCTTGTCTCTCGGATCAGTTGCATTCGAATACTTCATCGATTCCCTGGCAACAAAGTTTTCCAAATACGAACCTGTCTCACTCCTCTGGCAGAAGATCTCTTCTGCCCTTGAATAGATGCCTGCCAGCCCTCGCTGTGGAGGAAGGGTAACGTTCCATTCAATTCAGGTGGCCGCGACAGCGACCTTCTTCCAATCAATTTCGTACGAACCAATACAAATCACGACTGGTGCAAATGCCACTTCCTGGATGATCCAGACCCTTGAAAACCAAGGTCGATCGAAGAACCATTCCAAAGCTTGCCATTCACCTGCCGTCTGACTTGGAACCAAGCGCTGTGTCCCAGTAGCTATGGAGTGGAGACTCCTCAGCTGAAGGTCCATATCTGAGTTCGGATCTAAATCGACCTCGTCGAGTGTCGTCCCGAGTCTGTCGCAACATTCACCCACAAAGTAACTTATCGTCTGAATTGCCGTGGCCGCCAACCTTTCTTCATCTTCACCAAGCCAGACAACCACTCTCCAAGCTTGGCTGTATATCTCTCGCATCAACTGAACTTGTTGCGACCTTTCATTGAGGTCTTCTTGATTCACACAGATCGCGTCGATCCACACGACTCTTGTCCCATCCGGCATGCGAAGGCGCCTTATTGCAAGTGCTAGGTTTGGCGTCACAGAGTGAGGCTGATTATTGCACTCTATGGTATTGGGTGGGTTCGGATTACCCCAGACATAGGACAGTGCCTCGAATCGTGGACGAGATTCGAGATCAACGACTTCGAGTTCGCATTTGATGACAGCATGTTCCAGACCTGGGAGGATTTTCAGAAGCCGAATGGTATTTGACTTGCCCGATTGCGATCTTGGCAAGGCTGAATACATTCTTGCACGGGAAGGGCTAACGTCCCATGACCAGAGGGTAATCTTCGCTCGATCAAAGCGTTCGTCACTTTGTCCACAGTGAGCAAAAATCTAGTCGCCAATAGACCAAAAAAAGGCTGAACGTAAGATTCGAGACAGTATACGAAGATAGAATATGTTGGTTCCCAGCTTATATTGTGGCGCAGCGCTCGTTGTTGCCGTTGCGAAACTGCACTATCTGAAACATGATAGCTAATAAGGGATGCTATCCAAGTTTCAATTGAATACCAGGACTTTTGCCTTCTCTACCCTGTCTCTAGATATCTGCAACTTGAAATGTCTCAGGAATCTCATTCCGCGAATTAGTTTTGTTTTCTCCGTTGTATAAACTACCAGCGGCTCCCTCTACAAAACTTCTGGTCCTTGCAACTCGTGAAAATAGGCATTTGAATTCGAGCGAATAATAAAGTAAGTGACAAAACGGTACGGATACGGATAAAATTCATAATACAAAGCTACTCATTCACTTATTCAATCCTAACAACAAGTCCACCCTTCCTCCCAAGAATTGTCTTCGCAAGAATCGAATTCCCATGCCCCATCCGCTCTTGGCCAACCAATGGCCATTGCATCCAAAACCTACCCACCCTCTCATATTTAGCTTCTACCCCCTCATTGTTCCCATCTTCTTCACCAACAAAACTTCTCTCCAGAACCAGCCCATGGCTCCATAGCGCGCTGATCTCCCCGCCTCCTTTTCCACCGGTCGTCCGTTTTGTGCTCCCGAATGTCCCTTTTAAATCATTATCCCCTGAAACTACCCTCCTCACAATCTCAGCGCCGATCAAATTCTTGAAATTCTTTACGTCGATATTTAAGAAGTCGGGAGCGAAACTGGCTTCGAGTGTACCGTCTGGAGTTTGAAGCTGGATGATGTATTGTGATTTCTGGCCGGCGGTGATATGGAAGACGTTCGTGCAGGGTAGGAGGGGACACTTTAGCACGATGTGATCTCTAGAGGTAGGTCCAACAGAGACCTGGTTCGGATTGTCAGGAGCCGCCAGTTCAGCTACTTTCCTCCAAGTGTGCTTCTTGGCGGAGTGTTTCGCCTCATCCGAGATGAGTCTTTTAGTAACTACTCCGTTAGTGCTCTGCTATGACCAAGATCGCGTTCGTTGCATGTGCCCTGGGAATCTTTCCGACGCTCCGGATTCAACAGACCAGAGTAGGTCGAAGAAGAGGTGTCGTCGCCATAAGCCTTGTTTATACTCGAAATCTCTATCTCCGTTCTGGATTGTATGTACGAGACCAAGGATAGCATCTCTTCGATCCAAAGGTCCTGTAGTTCTACAGCTGGTAAATCGGTAGACGAGTTCCGCCCAGCGAGCACCGAGGAAGAACTCCAACTCCGGTGTGAGGTTCTTGGATCTGTTGTCTCGAAGTTGGTGAAAAGAATTCCGGTACCCGGCGATAGGATCGAAGAGGGTAGGGACAGGTTTGTTTCCGGGCTTAGACATCCTTCTTTGCCAGAAACCCCGATTTTCTCGAAAGGGCTGCCCGGCAGGAATTGCTTCCGAGGCAATGTGTGTGCTACATTCGAAAAATAGGAGTTTTGGTCCGAGATGGATTATTCGACGGGAGAGGAGTCTCTCTTGAAAACTTCGGCTTTGCCAGTTGAGATTGTTATCGTCGACTTCTTTAGCGAAGGACTCAGTATTATAACTGTGTCGATGCACCCTGATTGTCATTGCTTTCTTGCTTGAGAATCGAAGATAGCAGGGAAAATCGAGTAGAGGATTGCTCCGTTCGGTAAAACAGCCTTCATTTGCTTCTGAAGGAGAGGCTATCGTGCAGTGTGCGTTGGTGAAGACTTTACCAGCATATTGTGAGGCGAGCTTCTGGTCTTCAGGACAATCTTGTATAGTGCAGATGGTGTCGACCCATAAATATCGGAAGCCGAGTTTACGAGCGAGGTGGATGGCGTGTTGAAAAGTGAGTGGGAGCTCATTCTCGTTGATATGAACTTTCCATTCGTCTTTCTTGTTCAACGTTAATTCTTGGGATCCTGGGGTCGCAAGTAGTTTGCTCCGGCAATAGCTGAGTGCGAGATATTTGATGTCGGTTACAGCAAATTCCGGGGCACCAGTCTCTTGTAGATGTAACTCAGTTGGGTTTTCTCCGACATAGAGAAGTCTTGCTGGTAAGTATGGCGCATCTTCTTCCCACCCGGTCGAACAATTAGATTTGTGTCCTACTTTGCAATCCGTAAGCCAAGTTTTGGCAAGTTCAAAAGAGTCACTAGTCCAAATAGTGATATGAGCAGATGCAGATTGACTATTGAGCTTTTCTAAGATAGTCAGCAATGAACGAGTTCTAGAAAGAATGTTCAGACCTTCTCTTATTTTTATTGCTTTACAGAGATTACGACTATTCTCGGGTTGAGAAGAGTCACCTTCCTTGAGTGTTAAGTAGTAACGACCATTCTCGTGCTTCCATATATATAACCATAGCCATGGAAGGGCATCAGGAAGTTGTCGCCTGGGTATGTAAGGACCAGCCAACCTTAATCTATCCCGCTCATCGAGCAAGTGCCACAAATGATGGCATAATTGACATGACGCTCTCGACGCTCGAAAAGATGAGCCTTGAACTGGAATAGTCCATTTATACCACTCGACACGCTTTATAAAGAGGGCGAAAGAGCCGGACATAAGACGGGAGCGCTCGATAATCTGAAAGCATTCTTGACATAGTCTGCTCATTGATTGGCACTGATGCGAACATCCCGCTTCTGATAATAAAGGAGTTCTGGGATTTGAGAGGCCGCGCAGTGATCTCCAGCCGAAGCGTGAAGCTGCTAGAGTATACTTCCTCCAGAAACGCTCGTAGTGGTAAAGAAAATAGCTAGGCACACCGCAGATTAGATCGATTGTCCAAGCAGTGGCTAAAATCAAAGCGAGCAGTAAACACGCGGCAAAGGCCCAAAGTACAAAATTAATGAACAAGCAAACAAAAAACCCTAGAAGGGGAAGAAATGGGTTGGCATGGTTGTTTAGAAGACGTCCCTGGAGGAATATCAAAGCAAACCAAGTGAGGGCGAAAAGAGCACCGAGTAATCTAAGTAGTATCTCCACCATGATGAAGAGGTGCTATGCGAAACACAAACTGAATTGGAATAAACATGAACATGATTATCAAGCCAGCTGTCCATACCCTAACCAAAATTTGTTTTTCCAAACAGCCGCAGCCTCACTCAGTTGCGCAGCATATGGGGCTGAGCGAATTAGCCACCGCCACAACCAGCCAAACGACCGAGCTTTCCTTACTTGTACCTCCACGATGAATATTTTCTTGCCTCTCCTTTCATCTCTTCCCATCATCACAAATGGGGGGTCCAGCATTCGGATTCTCAGTCGGAGACTTCATAGCTGGAGCCCAGATCCTAACTCAAGTCATAAAAGCTTTCAAAGAAGCCGGAGGCGCATCCTCGAAGTACCTGCGCGAGGTATCGTTTTTAAACAGCTTCAAGGCAACGCTTGAGCATTTGGAGAGATTCGTTTCCAGCACAACCTCCCAACCCATACCTTCCTCAACCACCGCAACAACCCTTCCCTCCCAAACTCAAGCCAGCAACCTACCACAAGACATCTCGAAACTCCTTCAAGACATCAAAGCACCTTGGCAAGAGTTCAAAACCTTCTTGGATAGGTATGAAACTTCCTTGGGAGCAGAGTCTAGTAGGTCGAGACTTGCGAAGGTGCCGAGAACAGTGCAGTTTACTGTGAAGGATATTGGGGGGAAGGTTGAGAAGTTAAGGAATCAGGTGGAACAGCCGTTGCAGGCGGTGAATTCTCTGTTAGCATTACATGTGATGTGAGAGCACCCAGCATTTCCTACCTACTGTCTAATTTTTGGGGGGACGGCCTTGCTCGGGTGCTTTTTATTTCTTCGTCTCCTTCATTCCGTAATACCAAACTCCAATATTCCCTCACACAAAGACACCAACAAATCCATCCGCCCTCACCTCACTAACAAACCCCAGAGATACCCTCTCAGATCTCCCCAACCAACTGCTCTCACCATCCCAACGCGCCCAACTCATAGAAGCCATAAAGCTAGCCGATATTCCCACCTCACTCTCTCTCCAGATAGAACAACTCCAGCGCGTCGCCTCATCATACAACATGAAACAAGACCAACAGTTACAAATTGTGGAGACTTTAAAAACTCAGCTAGAAGAAAGAATCACTGGCTTGCAATCAGTGTTGGAAGTTGTTGCTGAACAAAGTGTAGATCTGAATTTAGGTGCCAGAGAAAGAGGTGCAGATGCGACAGAGCGGCACGAGGAGCAGGTAGAAATGACAAGGGGGGTTAGCGTAGGTGTGGAGAGGCTTCGGGGGGTGTTGGAAAGCAGAGCTGATCAGCTTCAATCGGCGTTGAAAGAGCAGAAGCAGCTTGTTCTTGCGCTGAAATCGTTTTTGGAAGACAAGAGCCAGAGCTTCCTCACCGCACCTGATGCCGAATCCCCTTCCCCCACCATTACCACCGACACTCCGAAAATGACCGAGAACTCAAATACAAACTCAAATCACTGGCCCTCGACCCTCTCAACAGCATACTTCGCCGCCCTACTCCTCTCAAGCATACTATCAAGCGTAACCACCACCGCACTCGTAACTCGGACCCAAAACCGCACTCCTCTCGGAGCAGGAGCCGGACGTCCAGTTTTCCTGCCAGTGGATCATAGCTTACCTGGTCTGGGAGCTTTGAATAGCATACGTATCCATCCTTCACTTTTAAAGTCCCCAAAACCTTTGGAAAACGAGAGCGCCAGCTCTGGATCCGGTCAAGTTACACCGTTGTAAGGTAGCTTGGATGCTACATTGAGAGTGGCCTCTACCCGAACTGGGTCGTCATCGATAGATTCAACTCGATCGAGAGGTTCGGCATGGGTCAAAGACTACGTGCGAACACAATCTGCAGTACGTCAACCATATGAACGTAGGACACGACCCGATGGCCTTGGCAATCTTGGGTTCATAGCCGCGTCCTCGATGGGCCCTGGTTGGGTTGGTAGTGTCCTTGAGGGGGGTGGTGGTTTGGATGATAGGGGAGTGGGTTGGTCCGATTGTGGTGTTGGGCTTGGACCGGTCATACCTTCGATTGGTAGTGGGGAGGGCCGTGGAGGTGATTGAAGTGTCTGGGTTCCTTCTAGTGGATAGTGAAGGATATGGAGGTACATGTAGCGGGGGGACATTTATTTTCCCGGCATTCTTATCTTCGAATCGATTTCTCCTCCGCAAATTCTGGCCGTATGACTCCATCTAATCACTAAGGACGAGTGGCAGAGATCAATTCTGCAGGATTTGGACGAACATACGGCATTTCAATCTTGGTGCGGGGCGATATTCTGAACGTGCAGGGTTGTCAGTAAGTGCAGTATCTGCAGTGGATGTTAGATGACATCGAACTTACAAGAGCTTTCTGTCCTAATTCAGTTTTCGATACCAATTGGCTTCGAACGAGACCACAGACGCCAAGAAAGATCGATCCAAGCTTGCTACTTACGAGTTACCTCGATTCCATTCATTATATACTCTTCGAAAGAATATATGAGTTATGTCACCCGACACAGCACCTACTTTCTCTCAATACATCAGAACTTAGAAGCAACAACAACCAGTTCTCGAACAAACCCGAGTTCCAGGGCCAACATGGCCTACACTTCTCCTCTGTCCTGCACGTGACTTACCTCCCTATCTCAAACGAAGCGACCCCTCACCTCATATGGGAATACCCTCACGCATACCATTATCTGGACCCAAATATCCTTGATCCTATAGTCTACCCCACGTTGTCAAATGGTAGCCAAGAAAGATAGATGGCCTCCCCGCGTGTTCCAGACTTTGAGCTAATTCCAACGACTGTTCCAAGGAAAGGGGGCCTGGATCCCACGCGGAGACACTGGTCCGTGGTAGTGAGCGCATCCAGATATCGAAAATTGGAAGTTGATATAGGGATCTTGTCCGGTTGGATAGTGGACGGGCTGGAGATAATGATTGCAGCTGACCTGACGGAAGGCAAGCCACTGTGGAGGGAAGTGCTCACATGGCTGCCATGGATATCAATAGATTGCTTTTGGGGCTGACAAGATCATGATGGGATTGCTTATGCGTGGTACGGTAAGCAGTCGTGGGGGAGCTATATAAAGAATCCGTGAGCGTTATGAGGCACAGAACATAACGAGCGATAGCAAACAGAACGTGGCACCAATGATGCCAGGCTTGAATTTGATAGTTGGTATTATAGACTACATTACCACTTGTTTCGAATTCTGGATCGGGACGTTTTTCTTGTACATAATGGCGTGAGGTAAAAATGATGTTGAATTTGACGAGACTTCAGTCTGACGAGCGCGGCAAAGGGCAAAAACATTCTGATACTATATGCTTTCGCATATTGTTATCACACAGTAAGACAGCTTGATAACAGACTGTCAAGGATATTTGCAAAGAATAGATTGAAGTACTAGCATGACGACAGAGGAGATGCTGTTGGACTGTCATCAATGATAATTATTCAACAGCTCAAAGCATTTCTGGTGTCTAACGTCGCAACAGTTATATTTTGGCTAAGCGTACGGGGACCAGCTCTGAAGAACAGCACTGTATGCGATATCCGATAGGTAGTAGGCAAGAACTGAGAGAAAGGGGGCAAGATCATTTGCCGAATCTGAGCACAGAGAGAAACTGTACTGTATATTCTGTACCTATCACTAGCTTTTGTTTCTGGTTTCGCGAATATTCTAGGATCTTGGGATGGATGAATAATTAGTTTCAAGCTCTGTCTCTAGAATCTGAGTGATGCTAAATCACACAGGATTTACTTCACAAACCGCAGTCATAACTTTGAACAAATGAAAGAAACGATGCATATAACTTTGCATGCGTAAGAAGGATTCAGGCAATTGCAAATGACTTCTCCAATCATTGTTGAGATTGCTCTTTCTCAGCCGTAATCTTCCGGTCAGCGCATGTCATTGCTTTCATACATCATCTTCCAATATGTTTGAGATGTCCGGATCAGTAGGTGCCACGAGAATGCATTGCTCAGCCGACTTCGTCTCGGCTTTCCTGGATTGGAACTCGTCCATATCTTGGTTCTTGGGTAAGCCTTAGCCTTACTTTCAACAGTATGTAACCATTTCTTGAAAGAGATTTTTGCGCAGAAAACAGTATTGTTTTATGTTGAAATTATAAGATGTTGTTTCATTCAGCCTGGAAACATCAAAGATCATATGACGTGCTTTTCAACTTCCGCTGCGCCTGGAGATGAGCGGATTCCCAAATGTGGAAGAGTACCACTCACACGGTAGCCAGGTTCTCGAAGTAATGGTGAGTATGCAGGTCTGGGAGAGACACGTCGAGGTTTTGATTGATGACTCGCTTGATCTCAACCACTCCGTCTCGACTCTTGGTAAACTAATCAAGCATCTTGATCTATTCCCACGTTCACGTTGAGGATTAAACTTTGGTATGCGTGTACTGTACATGTACAGTATGTAAATCATACCGGCATACATCCCCGGGAGTTGCCAAACAAGACTTCTTATGGTATGAATCTCATGAACCAATTGATGTTCAATCGCTAATACTGCTGCATGAGGAAGCAGTATCCAGAAGCCTATTTTCGAAAGTACAGATTTGCAACCGAATTAAAAGTCCTCAACTAAAGGACCTAACCATCCAGCCAGAGCACAACACATTGCTGACCAATTTCTAGAGGATAAGAAAATAATTATTCCGTCGGCATGGCATAGCGTGGTCCTTCCATGCCCACTACTAAAGTGGACTATATCTATCTTGCAAAATGGCAAGAGGTTGTAAGTGGTTGTCAGTTTGCCGAGCATTCCCCTTGCGGGTTACGGAAGCAAAGACTCCGTCCCGAGTCGGATGGAAGGAGGCTTCCGCGTTTCTCAACGCGTTTGGAGGATCCCATCAGGACCATTCAAACCGAGCGTTGATGCTGAGGAATACTTGAACGCTCGTATGTACCAAGTGGGGGTTCCTGGGTCGTGCTGGAAGGCAGATGTGGCTGCATCTTGACAGCTTCCATTGCGCATGAAGAGCCTATCTCATCGTTTGGGCATCTCCGAAGCCCTGGGATCCGGCCAGGCATTCCGAGAGGCGTTGGCTGCAGGTACCTTTCGGGAGGATCATAGCTGGATGGAGAGCACGAAGGCTTGATGTTTCCTGGATAGGATAACTGGCTGGACATTGCAGTACCTGAACAAGGACCCTGGTCAGCCTCGTTGACTGCTATACCCACTATCCGGTTGATATCTTACCGAGAAGGGAAGCTCACAATACACTGTGGTACCCTTGTATTCGGCATCTCTTGGTGTTACCTGTTGTAAAGTGTTGTAAAGTGTTGTATATTGTATTGAGGAACTGAGCTGTGCTAAGTGAAGTTTGGAGGTGTCGCTGACTCCAAACGCGGCTGCCGAAACCTAAAATTTCCCCGCCAAAAATGGACTCGATCCAAATGAACTAACCCAACTTCAACACAAGGAAGCCGAGCCGTATTACCTTCATGCCATGCAAATCCAATGCTACGATTCGTAAGACTTTGTTAGACTATTTCACCTAACCGCTTGCGTCATATAGTATGGTCTGCTTGAAGCAGCGTCCCGAAGACCCAGGATAGAATTCCTCGGCCCCTTGATGCCCACCATGATGTCCCCACCGCCTATCCTCGAGCCAGAGAACCACTTCGCTGCATATCCCACGTTAAACCGCCGTCGCCGTGGAGCTTGAGATAAGTAGCGATGGTACGTTAGTTTGAACGGGACCAAGACCCCGCAGCTAGATACATACCCCCATCCTAAATCTCCGTTGCTCAGAGTACGGATCATATAAGAGTAGGTTCTGCTGGCTCTGCAGGCCCAGGAAAAGAGGCCAGGGGATTATTTTGAGACTGACTGTCAAGCAATAGTCCTCCCTCACGTCACCTGCTCCTCTTCGTCCGTCCCCATGATACATTCCTCGAAAGACCTGCGAGCTCCCCGATATATATATCAACGACATGCGGACAGACCACGCATTTTCCTCGAACCCTCCTCCTAAGTCTACTGCTCCTATCACTATGACGAAGCATACCATCACTCCAATCAATAAACATTGGACCTTCAAGCAAGGAGACAAGAAGGACTCAAAGTTCTTACCGGTTGCACAATTTCCGACCAACGTCCACTTGGACCTCATTGCCAACAACATAATTCCAGACCCGTTCATTGGCAAGAACGAGAACGACGTACAATGGATTGGCGAGGTGCCTTGGACTTACAAGACTACTTTCACATCCCCGACTCTGACCAAGGAGCAGAGAGGAGATGTCAAGGCCGTGCTTGCATTCGATGGCTTGGACACATATGCCACAGTTGTACTCAATGGCAGGGAGATCTTGAAGACAGAGAGCATGTTCATTCCTGAACGAGTCGATGTGTCAACATATCTGAAGTTGGAAGGCGACAACGAACTAGAGATCACATTCGAAAGTGCATATTTGAAAGGCTGTGCTATTGTCGAAAGATATCCAGATCACCACTGGGGATGCTGGAATGGTGATACTTCTAGACTTGCGGTTCGGAAAGCGCAGTACCACTGGGTATGAGGCTCTTTTAACCTGCAGGATTATAACTGACTTAATTGCAGGGATGGGATTGGGGCCCAACTCTCATGACATGCGGGCCTTGGCGACCAATCAATCTTGAAATCTTCTCTTCTCGGATATCAGATCTTTATTTCACGAGTGATGTGGACGAATCTCTAGAGTCCGCAAAACTTGTCGCCAAGGCTGACGTTGAGGGCGGCGCATCAGAGGTCCTATTCGTTATCTCCTTGGACGGAAAAGAGGTGGCCTCAAAGACCGTCAAGACTTCCCATGGCCATGCGACACACGCTTTCGAAATTTCAGATCCAAAGTTGTGGTATCCTGTTCGCTACGGCGAACAACCTCTCTATAATATTACTTCCCATCTGTTGCATGGTGGCTCGGAGATCGATTCTCAATCTAAGAAATTTGGACTAAGACGGGCAAAACTCGTCCAAAGGTCTATGCCAGAGCAGCCGGGCACAACTTTCTTCTTTGAAATCAACAACATTCCGATCTTTTGTGGAGGTAGTGACTGGATCCCAGCCGATAACTTCATTCCACGTATCAGCAAGGAGAAGTATTATGACTGGGTGAAGCTAGTAGCTGACGGAAATCAATTTATGATCAGAGTATGGGGTGGTGGAATTTTCGAAGAGCAAGCATTCTACGATGCTTGCGATGAGCTTGGAATTCTGGTCTGGCAAGACTTCATGTTTGGGTGTGGAAACTATCCTGGTTTTCCGGAGTACCTGGCATTGGTGAAGACAGAGGCCGAGGAGAATGTGAAGCTTCTTCGACATCATCCCTCAATTGTCATCTGGGCTGGCAATAATGAGGATTATCAGTACCAGGAGTCAGAGGGGTTGACGTATGATCCCGAAAACAAGGATGCCGAGAGCTGGCTGAAGACCGATTTCCCAGCTCGCTACATCTACGAAAAGATTCTCGTTGATGCATGCAAAGAGCTGGTGCCTGACACCTATTATCACTTCGGTAGTCCTTGGGGTGGCAAGAATACCACGGACCCCACAATGGGCGACATTCATCAGTGGAACGTCTGGCACGGATCCCAGGAGAAGTACCAAAACTTTGATAAGCTCGTGGGTCGATTCGTGTCGGAATTCGGCATGGAGGCGTTCCCCAACATAAAGACCATCGAGTCCTTCCTGCCACTAGGCAAAGACGACCCAGACTGCTTCGCCCAGTCATCGACTGTCGACTTTCACAACAAAGCAGATGGCCATGAACGTCGAATCGCACTGTATCTTGTGGAGAATTTCCGTTACGCCCCTGATCCACTCGAGCAATTCATCTACTCAACACAACTCATGCAAGCTGAATGTCTTGCAAGCGCATATCGTCTCTGGAAACGCCAATGGAAGGGACCAGGAAAGGAGTATTGTGGTGGAGCTCTTGTGTGGCAAATCAACGACTGCTGGCCAGTTACTTCATGGGCCATTGTCGACTTCTACCTTCGTCCCAAGCATGCATACTACACCGTCAAACGGGAAATGGCACCTATATCCCTTGGAGTTACAAGGAAAGAACACCTAATTCCAAAAGACAGACACACTCGAGCATACATCGACAAGAAAACCAATATCGAGATCTGGGGTTCAAATCTAACGTTGGATGACATAAGAGCCGACGTCGTCGTCAAGGCTTTCGATGTCATATCGGGCGAAGAAACATACTCCAAGACCGTCAAGTCTGCTTTTCTTCTTCCCGAAAACCGTAGCACAGAGATTATCGACTTCGATGTTCCCGTTAGACACGCGAACTCTGGTGAAGAAGCACGTACTGTCGTTGCTGCTTATCTTTACGAAGAAGGCTCGCAGATTGCGCGATACATCAACTGGCCGGAGCCATTGAAGTACGTGCATCTGCAGAAACCTAAACGCCTGGTCGCAGAGCTCAGCAAAGATGGCAAGACTGTAGATTTGAGCGCTGAAGTTCCTGTCAAGGGCGTCGCGGTCGAATGCGAGGATGAAGGTGTGAGCTTTGGGGACAATTTGGTGGATATTGTGCCTGGAGAAGTGGTTTCTATTGCCGTCAAGGGAGCGAAGAAGACAACGAAGATTACGACGAGGTATCTGGGTATGGTGTAAGCTTTTCTTCTTGTGATTCTTGATGAGCTGTGTGTTTATTTGGCGCTCGGAACCTCTATATTTTCACATCTTCTCGTTATTCGTTATTGGGGAGTTTAGGATGTCGAACATACGAAGGGTCATGGAACATAGAAACGAATCTCTTCACTAGAACCCTTTCTTGCTTCAATGTCGTGTTGGCATTTGCTCGTGAAATATTCTCTGTCGCTTTGTGGGGAAATGGGAGGTGGCCGAAGCCGGTGCATTTTACCTTGACTTTATCCGGGCCTCGAAGTCCCACGTGCCCATTATCACCTCCGTACAGGGCATGCAATGCCTCAAAGTCAATGGTATTGATTTTATCAAAGAGATTGTCTGGAATCCTAGCCTTACATAGGAAGAAGGATCGTGAAAGATACCTATTCACCAGCCTGCAAAGAATGATAGCACGTGACTTCCTTGCTTCGTCTCAACAATGGAACGTCTGAAAGCAAGCACCAACATACCTAGGTACCTAAGGTAAAGACTGTGAAAGATTATTTGATACTTTACTTTAGCTGTAATATAAGTGTATCATTCCAGACATTCACTCTCTCATATGTCCCTTCAATTTCCTTCACAATGGAAGTTTCTATTACAGTTGTCAAGATTTTCTTCATTATTAACTTTCCATGAATGCTGTCTCAGACTTTAATGATAGAATAGACTCTGGGTGCACAGCAAACACTCAGCCACCCGTCGACAACTCCAGTGCCCAAGGACTCGCTCGGACAATGAACTCGCCTGTGCTCATCCAACCGTTGTATGTCTAAAGTATGTCTGTGAGAGAGATCTCTTTCATACGCTTAAAGACTTGTAATAGAATTGAATCATACAATTTAGGAAAGCACAGAACGTTGAGACTAGGTGAATAACAGGAACGAGGTAAAGATATAAGTTTACTAATAGTTTCTTCATTTTCTTAAAT